GTGGCAGTTATGTAGCCTCACTTGCTCACCTGCCTGTAATCACACCACTGTCTGTGGATTGTCACCTGTAGGGCACAACTCTAAATCTTCTCTGACCTGTCATTTAGAGTTTTATTTCAGTTGTTACTCATGAGAAGGCATGCCTATTTGTGTCTGTTGGCAACTGTTAGATGAAGGGTAGGGATTTTATCAAGGGTCAATGATGTTTATTATTGTCGTCTGACAATACTAGTAATAAAATTAATCAACAATTAATGTTGTCTGCTTGAGGAACTGAAGGTTTTGGCATTTAAACATCACAGAATCAGAGGAAATGATATTGACATGGTGTTATTGATATGGACATGTTTCTATTTCCTATTTTTCATAAGTTTTGGTTGTATACCTTCATGTGTTATGACACAAAGTTTGCACTATTTTTACCTTCCACATGTTTCCTACATATCGAGTACATTCTATTTCCCCCTTCCTGATGTGGAAGATGTTTTGAATTTGCTGTGCTGTAACCTATATACCCACCCTAACCCTTGGGACTAATCTATCACTGCCAGGGCCTATATAACACTCCCTTCCTGGGGTCACCCCTCTGACATAGATGGAACGGCCCAGTTTGCATCTGACCTTGACAGTAACTGAATTGGAGCTTGCCTACCATAATCATAATGGGGTGTTGACTGTGGGCCAATCAGTGAGTAACTAAGTGTCAATCCTGGCCTTGTATGCATGTTTCATGGCAGGGCAGTGTTGTTTACCTGCAGTATGTAGGTCAGTACTGGAGAGGGTACCCTGGGCTGGAAAGGGTGGGGTATACTACCCTGGGCTGGAAAGGGTGGGGTATAGTACCCTGGGTTAGAGAAGGGTGGGTTATAGTACCCTGGGTTAGAGAAGGGTGGGTTACAGTACCCTGGTGTGGTTTAGAGAAGGGTGAGTTACAGCAAGGAGATTTAACCTCCTTGTTTTCGGTACCCTGGGATGGAGAAAGGTGGGTTATAGTGCCCTGGGATGGAGAAGGGTGGGTTGTAGTACCCTGGGCTGGAGAAGGGTGGGTTGTAGTACCCTGGGCTGGAGAAGGGTGGATTGTTAGAGGGAGGGTTTTTATGTGGTTATTGTAACCATGCTGAGGTAACAGCGTTCTGCTTAGTGGGAAACGTGCAGGTTTGCACGTGGCTTGTCACCGAACCATGTCGAATGACAAAGTAATGGATGGATGAAGAGGGAGGAAAATTCCATTGAGGGAATGAGAGCATTGTGGTGTGCTCTCCCTATTCCACAGTTGGGGTAATATATTTTTGTTTGTTTTTGCTATTTGAGTGAGTATAGATTGAATTAGTATTATTCTAGAATTAGATTTCTGATAGCATTCCATCATATGCTTTAGGGAAAGTACTGTACTGTAACCAAATGTACGTGATGTTGTAAAATACTAGCAGCTGAATGATCTGTTACAAACATGTTCCATCTGTCAGAGACTATGGGGAACATGTTTCTGGTTGAAGGTGAGCTCTGTGTGTAATTTATCGGACAGAATGCTGTGATAATTCGCGGGGGATAGTTAGAAGGCAGTGGCTGCTGTGGAGGTAATCGTTATCGATCTGTTATTGCCGTGTCGGGCTGTTTTATACACCCGGCAGGCAGCGTAAGGCTTGAGTTACGAGCTGGGTCCCTGCTGTTGGCAGGTTGTGTATGATGTTTTTCATCGAACGGTATGATTAGAGTATGATATGATTTCCTCAATTTGTCAATACTGTTTTTGTCGTAATACTAGTAGTATTACTGTTTGCTAATGCTTGGTGACAAAGTGTTTGTGTATGCAATGTGTGTGGTGTGTAGTTATATTGGGATAAGGATATAACTACAAGATCATTGCATCAATTTTATGTGTCACTGAGTTTGATGATCATAATTATTGATAAGTGATCTCTTTTCATGTAATTTCTAGATCTTGGTTATTAAATGTTTGTGTATGCTGTCGTTCATAGGATGTTAAGATTACAAAATCATAACCTTCATTTCGTGTTCTATCAAATTTTTCCCAAATACCTTTTGCTAGAATATGATGAGTATGGTGCATAGTTTTGATGACTAAATAATAGAGTGCTTGTGTTGCTGCAGCATTCGTGTGAGAGAATAATAACAAAATCATAATATGCGCTTCATACAATTTGTCACTAATGGTTTTGTTATGTTTGTATCACCAAGTGATAAATACTAACTAAGATTATGACATTTACAAAAGGGCATGGGTATATAATTAGAAAGTCATGTTTATTTTACGTTCTATCGTGTTTGATAGTAATGGTTTAGTTATATCTTGTAATTATGCTGGCATGAATAGAAGGATATGGTTATGAAATCATTTTGTTATGAATCAAATTTGTCACATGGTTAGAGTTGTTGTTAGAATATGAGCTTGTTTTTTGTCATCTCTGTGATTAACTGTGTATGCTGCTTATACATGTAATTTCAGCTCAGTATTGGAGTGGGTTATCAGACACTTTGCTCCTTGTAGCAGGTAACAATCTAGTGCAGAGATTGAAACTGTCAGAAAAGCTGCACCTTGACCTGTGGTGTCTACGTGTTGACATCAGGGGGCAGAATGGCCCCGTGCCCCAGAGAGTGGTTCTGTGTCTGTTCAGAATTATGATTGAATTTACACTGATTTGATGTCTGAGGGAAGGATTTTAAGAGTTGTTCAGTACAAAGCTGTCAATGGCAAATATTACTAAGTGCCCTCAGACTGGAGCAGTAGGTAGCAGTGAAAATTTCAAAATTTTGAGATGATGATTACATGCAGAATTATGATGTAAGATTGAAATCAAATCTTAAAACTCTGCTGATAGGTATCATTAATGTACAGTCCCCAATGAAATTAATGTTGATTCTCGAAAGTGATGAATGTACAGTCCCCAAAGTAATCTATCTGTACCTGTACAGGGTTATAAGGTCATTAACGTATTGGCTTGTCATGTCCCAAACCAGAAAACCTCCAGAAATGTCTTGACAATCAATCTGTGAATAGCCTCATCAGGTGGACAGAGTATTGGAAAAAATGTCTGTTTTCCTGATGACTAATGTTTACCAAGTCCCTTTTGAAGAGCTTTCTTGAACAGTGACAAATTGATGTGGTACCAGTGTTTTTGTGGTTAAACCATTATTGATTCATGTGCAGTGGGATCGTTAACTGGCTTAATTACTGGTTACTTTCTGGGGTAATCGTGCCTTGAGTGCTGGCGGGTGTTCTGGGGCAGTGTTGATATTATTTTGGCAGGCTGTAAAATTGTTTTATCCATGCGTAGAATTGGAGATGCAGTTTTCATGAGCAGGACAGGGAGATGAATTAGAGGTTTTACTGCAGGGATTCAGCAAGGCCACAGCAAGGCAATTTGTTGGTTCATAAATTTGAAATAATACTAATAGTTTGGAACATAAACACGAGTCTGAGGAGAATTTTAAAAATCAGTTTTCATCTTGTCGTATTCTCAATGTCAGAGAACCAAGAAAATAAATTGATTTGGATTATTTATACGAATATGAGAGCTACATATGCAGGGATGAGGTGTGAAAATTGGTTTAATATAGTATAGCAGCCCCAATAAACCTAGAACCCCAATGTGTTCTACTGGTGGTTCTAACTGATGCAGGTACAGATCTGATATTACATTACCCTGTAGGGAAGCAGGTGTACACGTCCCAATTTGTATGTGATTCACAACTGAAAAATGATACTGTAAGGAGATAGCTGTTACCTGCCTGCAGAGCTGGTGTGTTCTATGAACTGATAGATCTAGCTACAGATACAGATGCTGCCCCTGTAGGGAAGCAGGTTCTGTTTGATTCACAGCTGGTTATTGTGGATACTGATAAGTCCTGTTGCAGGATTGTTGTGTAAACATACAAATCTGATAGCCATGGGTGTCCTATCATCCATCAGCCTTACCTTACAGGTGGCAGGGTGCCTGCTGTTTTATACCTAACATTACTAACACTGATATCATGTGGTTTGAATACATCTGTTTTGTGGTACATGTATTTTACTTGCTTTGCAAGAAGAGGACATACATGTAGATGCAGCCAGCTAGCACAGGGCAAGGGGTAGCTACCTAGTACCTTGTAGGCCTGTACATGTGTTACCTTTGACACCGTTACACAAACTGTAGTTTTTATGTTTTCGCTCATTCTGATTTTACTGGTTTGGCTGGAAGATAACATACAGCCAGGGCTGCCCAGATAGTCCATACCTGTGACATGCTGTACAGTGTAAAGGCTGTTAATGAACACTGAGTAGTTTTATGGCAATTATGTGTTTCTCTCTTTGGCACAAGATTTATTTCAAAGGAAATAACATGTCTGATGTGTCAAAGTTGAGAAGTATCCTCAGACTGTAAACAGCAGTGCTTTTACATACACAGTGGGGTGCCTGGACTTTTCATGGGATTTCTTTTTGTTTGTGACCTCGCAAAAAATCTCTGCTGAGATCAGACTGTTGATGACCTTCCTGTAAACCTTTGTGGCCTTTTTGTGGGAATGCTTTTTGTTTGTGACCTCACAAGAAATGGGACTGCTGATGACCTGGTGTGACCCTTGTGGCTTCCCCAAGGCGTAACCTTTGCCCTTGACCTTGTGAATGATAGGGGAGGCTGACACATGTAAATGGCACAAGGTCAGGCTGGAGATGTGGCAGGTAGAGGCTGGGGAAGGGTTGTCTTCATTACTCGAACTTGACTTCTTTGGAATCTGATTAATCTGTCCTTGGCAAGTGCTTAGTCCAGTGACTACCATCTCTGCTTCTAGACTTAGAAGCCATTCCTTACATGTGTCATTGATTGTTATGACTAGATTTCAATGAGCTAAACTGACTCCATGGATTGTTTTTTCCCAGATCACATAAGAAGATGCAGTTCAGATCTCAGAGCTGACATGATGAAATCAGTACTGACTAAGATGGGTATCACTGTGTTGAAGACTGTTATCACATGTTTGCTCCTCTTGTGTTTTCACAGAGCACCGACATGGCGGTAAAGACTCGGACACGTCGTCCATGCGTTCCGCGACCATGATCCCGACGGGCCGCCCTCCAGGTCTGACCTCACCTCACCATGGCAACCCCCGCCCGTCTCTACCCGCCAACAGGACAGCGAAGTCCGCCGGCATGAAGCTGAACCACCTGGTGCCGGTGGTGGCGCTGGACCGGGCCTCCGACCTCACCGCGCTCAAGAAGTCTGCCTCCACCGCCCAGGCAACAACCAAGAAATCCAGCAATAGCAAAAAGTCCACTTCCTCCTCATACTCTTCCAAAAGTAGCTTCGACAAGGAGAGAAAAATACCTCTGAAAGGTCAGCTCCATTTGTTCAATTGTTTACAATCCACATTGTTTTTCAATTGTTTACAATCCACATTTATTGATGTCGTTGCAAAACAAATGATTGTCACCTTTTCAAGTGGTCACCCCCAAAATTATCATCATCCATGCTGCATGGTATAAATTACATTTATCAGTGTAGAAACAAATCTTTTATTTATCTTTTTTCTGTAGTTACTGTAGAATAGTTTCCATTTGATTGTAATTAATTGAATGATGTACAGTGTTAACAAGAAATTCAGAAGATTTAACAAATTTGTTGAGTCAAATATTTTACTTAAAATGTTATGACAAAAATTCTGAAACCAAATATGCTATATCTAGAAAGAAACTTAAAGAACCCTACTACTTATTGACAAGTGAAATTGCACTGATTCAAGCAACAAGGTGAAGTGAAGGACTCTAACATCGTACCATTGACTTTGAGAAGTTGACTTTGTAACTTTAAAGTGGCCATTGTTCAGGGCACACCTGTAGGACAGGTGTGTATGGCAGGTAAGGCAGGTGTGCCGTCAATTTCCTGTCGTCTGGACCAGGTGTTATTTTGGGAACAACAAAGGTGATTCTGCTGAAGTGTTTGTTTTGTAAACAGTCTGTGTTTGGACAGTCCCAAGTGGTCTCACACCACAGTTTGTACTGAACCAAGTCTTATTGCGGTCTCACACTACAGTTTGTTTTAAGGCTGATCTTCTCTGGGTCTCACACCAGTATGTACTTGGACAAGGTGGATGTTTGTCTGTGGTAGTCAGCTGTCCATGTTTGTAGTGGACAGGTCTACCCTTTTAGTGAAATTCAGAGAAAGTGAAAGTGATCTCGAACCAGTTTAGCTCATTGAAGAGCTAATCTTCCACTGGTCGTGACAGAGAAGACAGACGCTATGTACAGTATTTACAGGTTCATTGTACCGGGGAAATGCCCCTAGCTCTTTTCGACAAGAACAATGAACAGTGGACCACGGCTTAACGTCCCGTCCTAAGGACTGCGACCCTAAACAGTAGCGTGCATGTCGGGTGAGCGACAACAGCCGGGATTCGAACTCCCAACCTCTTAGTCCAGAGGCAGGACCGCTAACCACTGGACTACGCACGCTACACAGAGGGAAATGTATAATGTTTATTGCGATATAATATGATTATGTTCATATTCTAACAGTATTTCCTCTGTTTGCTTCCTGCTCAGACCGAGAGTATGACCCCAACAAGCACTGCGGTGTCTGGTTACCCGACATGAAGAAGCCGTGCACGAGATCATTAACATGCAAAGTGAGTAAAACACGTTCCTGACGACTCAGCAGTCAGGCCTACATTCATTTATTTATTTATGTGTTATTACTTCTGCGGTGACATCAAGCAGTTTAAGACAAAGAGAAAGGGATAGAAAAATAGTTCCTAGGGATGAGCTACAGAAATCTCAGCAGCCAAACAATCTTTTCACAGCTCTGAATTGTAAAAGAGAGTTAAACAATTTGTTGCAGTTCTAGTCCTCAGAGAAGTCTTTAAAAACAGCTAAATGTGTGATGGTATCTTAAAAGTATGGCCAAACAGTCCGCACACACCTTCACTTCATTGCCATCTATAATATATGAGCTGCATAAGTTGACACTGATCCCATCGTTGCCTGCAGATTTGTCACTAGAAGACGCAAGGACAGGTTTGGGCCGCGCAGGGGGAATTTATACTCACTGCTGACGCTCTGATGCACTGGGGATTTAAAACACACTTAGGCCACATCACTTTATTTCCTTGGTTGTCCAAAATTTCAAGTAGAAATGATTTGAATTTCAAGATGTAAACAGAGTGCTGTCAGGAATTTGACTCCCTGAAATTGTTGCGTACCACGTTATATTATATATAGACTGCCCCCTTAAAATTTCTTTTTAATGTTGATCTTCCTCCGGTTCAACAAAACCAACCAGTTGTATTAGTGTGGCCTATAAACCCAGTGATGTATAGTACCATTGGAGGTGGCTGATAAATCAGACTTGGACAGGAGTTCATTACCCAATCTGTCTGTCAGAACCAGTCGGGCAAGGGATGAGGCACAGTCAGATGGAAATTTAATTTTGTCCCACAAAGCATTTATGAACATTGCCAGGGGATTTTACTCTGCTAAGTGCTGGCACTAGATCCAGGCATTGCTTCTACTGTTATGGTGACAGGAGAAGTAGATTAAGAACTGTAATTTTGAGCCACAATGAAGCCATTTTATCCTAGTGTTTTGTTGGTCACATACTTGAGAACAGTTAATTTTAGGGAGCGATTTAATTGACATTTGCAGCTTGACTTATTGGAGTACAGGAATGAAAGAAATGTTAAACGTAGGAAATGAGATCTTGTAGTCATCATCATCCATTGACTTCTGTGGCTGTAATGTACATGTAGCTGCAATCAGTCTTCTTTTATGTCACATCACTGATTCTACATGCAAAGAAGATATGGTGTTATGAGGAATGATTGACAGATAATGTCATAAAGATTGATGAATGATTGACAGCTTGTTTGTTATTTATTTATTTATTGATTAATTGATGCTTCCCCTCATGACCATCAGAAGAGAGGTGCCTCAGAGGAGAAACTATTGTTTACTGATTATTTGTTGTTGTTTTCCACAGACACATGCCTTGTCCCTCAGAAGAGCAGTGCCACAGAGGAGAAAACCATTTGACGAGCTGCTGGCAGAACACAAGGCGCGAGCGCGAGAGAGGGAGCGAGAGAAGGAGATGGAGAACAAGCTAAAGGAGCAGCAGCGGTTAGCCTCGCTCTCAGCCCACTCCGCAGCCTTCGCCCCCGAGATTGTGCCTCAGAAAATCACATCCCCCACCAAATCCACCCCACGAACCTCCCCGGGGGTCAACTCCGTATTCCAAAGGTCAGTGGCATAAAAACTGACTCTTAGCACTAAAGAGGAAGTGAATAAAAAGTGATCATTGTTCTTGACTTTTGTGTGTCAAGAGAGAATCAAAATACATTTTTGTTCCCTGTCCCCCACAGGCCATCATTCCAGCCCTCAGGACAGCCTGCTGACACCAGGCACGTCTCCCCGGAACCCAAGGCTCGCCCTGGCAGTGATGGGGAGGGGGAGGAGGAGGCAGATAGCAACGAGAACCTGGACTGTCCCCACATACTCAACCACCCTAGACCCGCCACTGTAAGTAATGAACTGTCCCCACATAACGAACTGTCCCCACAGACTCAACCACCCCAGACCTGCCACTGTAAGTAATGAACTGTCCCACATACTCAACCACCCCAGACCCGCCACTGTAAGTAATGAACTGTCCCACATACTCAACCACCCCAGATCCACCCAACATTCCTATCCTAAGATTTTTATCAACATCTTTACTTTTCCATGTAGGCAAGTGTTGTTTTTTTTGCATCACAAGCAGCCAAATTCATGCCAAATGCAGGACTGACGAATAATGGCAAAAGCCCTGGCTGTGTGTCTGTTGATGTATGAAGTCTTGCTTGATTTGTTCTGACTCTACAATTAGTGTCCCTTTAACCAGTGTTATTTCCATTCTGCAGATGTGTGCATTCGGTGCTCGGAGGTTTGGGAAGGGGTGTTACATGTTCAGCAGGAGGACAGACTTGTTGAGATCGGCGTTCACAGCATTGTTAGAGCGGCAGCTACACTCACCTCCCCTCAAGTAAGGCAACAGCTTCATGTACTGTATTACAATAGCATCATAGTAATGGTAGATACCCTAAGCCTTGTGTGCAGATGTTAGTTCAAATTAACTCTTTCATCTATTGTGCAGTTCTCTTGTGATGTTCTAGGGGGCACTCTTGTTATTTACTCGAGTATATGTGATACTAGTTCATTTGCTGATGCTCCAATGACAACTGTTCTATTATCAGTAAGTAGTCAGCAATTAACCACTAGTATGTGCTATAACACTGGTCCACAACCCAATGTCCAGTTACCTAACTCAAGATTCCATCAGTGTTGTAAAGTTTGACTAAAGTTTTGCTGAACCTGCATTCCCCCCTCCCCCAGGAGACCAGCATCAGAGCCAGTCGAGTCCCTGCACCAGTCCACCACAGAGCACCAGGAACCTCCGTTTGACCCCTACGACCCCTCGCGGATAGGGCCAACGTTAGACCTGGGCTACAAGCCTCCCCTGTTAGCACAGACCTGGGACCTGCCACTGGCCAAGCCAGTCCCACCCAGCTCCAACAAGTCCTCCAAGTCCAAGAAGACAAAAGATTCGGGCTCCAGCAAGAGCAAGAAGAAGAAGTCGAGTAGTGGGGGCGGTTCTTCTGCGCCGCCCGACGTCAGCCTTAGCATGAACAATTCTGGCGTTTACCTCACAAGTGCAAACGGGGCAGTTTCTCTGTCCACTCCAACTGGGTACACCATCAGCAGCAATATCCCGCATATCACCACACAGGCGGCCACCAAGGAGCACCTGGCCAGACTAGGCATGGCCAAGGGCACCCCGGCCATCTCCACCACTCTGGGGGACTCCATAAAAGGTCTCAGCATCGTGGTCACCAATATTGACCCCCTGGTCAATGGGCAGGTTATAAACGTGGGCAGTGGCATGGTCCAAAGGACTCCTAGTCGAGAGAGCGCGAGTGGTAACTCCGCAGGCGCCATATGCAGCACAGGTAGTGGTAGTAGTCACGCAGCAAGCTCTAGTGCCAAATCTCGCAAGAGAAGCAGCTCGTCAAGTTCCAGCGCCAAGTCAAAAGGCGGTAGCAAGCCATCCAATGGAACTCACTCACACAAGTCCGCCAAAAGCTCGGGACAGACTCAGGGTGGGGTGGGGAATGCAGCGGGCGGTCGAGACGCGGGGATTGGTGTCGGGAACAATTCTTTCTCTCCTCTGCAGCCCAGTCCTTCCACTACACCCAGTCCCCTCTTCAGACCAGTGAGTATATTCAGCAGGGAAATTTTATTTTTCTAATCTAAATGGATATGTAATAAAATACAAGTAACAACAAGCAGTAATGTTTGTCCTGCAATTTATCCTGTAGGAATCAGTTTTTAAGCCTCACATTACATCACAAATATGAGAACTAGAATGTTGTTTCCATATGTGTTTCTTTCTGGAAGGTGCTATTTACAGCATCTTATTTCTTGTTCTTGGTTGAATTTGGTTGAAACTTCTGTTATGCAGTAGTAACACAACTTGTGTTAAATGCTATGAATTAATGGAAATTGGCAAAGTCACTACAAAAGATTTCCAGCATTTATGAAGAGTGTTGTGTGTTTGGTTGTCCAGGGTTCCATCAGCCCTCAGATTGCAGACAGTTCACCGCTACCCAACGGCATTGGTCCGTCTCCGCCGGGGGTCAGTATGAAGGGCTTCCCTCCCACCATCAACCACTACCAGAACGTCAACGTCATCAGCCCCGGCCAACACAGCTCCTCCCCCAGCCCCGGATCCACAGACGTCTCACCAAGCAATAGTGGACACATGTCGAATATTGCCAAGTACAGCCAAAGTAAGTACAGTCCAACTACCTAAAGAAGAGACCCCTACTGAGTTCCCCTCCATTGAAGTTGTGGTGGGAAAAGGAAATTTGTCATGACCCTGTGTAAGGATAGCAGTTGCAACAACATTGTTGACTAATTGCAGAGAACTTTGTCGTGTTTCCTGGTACAGGTACGAGCGCCTCAGCCTCCTCTATGCGCGCCAACGCCCAGTTCCAGAAGCACATCGCCATCGCAGCTCACAAACAGCACCTCGACCAACACAGACGCTCCCCCAGCCTCGCAAGTAAGGAAAATACCTTCATCTTTCTTGGTTTATCTGTCTTTTTTCTTTCTTCTTTGATAAAGGTTAGATACTCAGAGAGAACATCACTTAATACAAAAATGAATTGCACAACTGGATAAATTATCAGATTTGTTGTTTGATATACAGTACCGTTCGCGTTATAGTTACCCTAACGGCCGTTACTAACGCGTTTTTTTCCCGTTAGTTTTCCGTTATTAACTGGTTACTTTTCCGAAAGTTTTCCGTTACTTTTCCGAAAGTAACGCGTTTCTTTTTCGTCAGACTTCTCCATTCATATGCAGGCGCGGTAACATCACAGGAATCGTGGGAGGAGTACTAATTTACCTCATGCGGGGCGGGAAATTACCGATACACACCGCTGGAACAGCGGAAGGAACGTTGATCTAGCCTGCATTTTACTATATTGTAACATTTAAAACGTTTTACGATCACCGGCGCAATTCAATTAGATCGACATTTTCTTTTGTCACTGTTGCCCAGGCAAGCGTTTCTATAGTTTGTCAACTTTGTTTTGCTGTTTTTCTCTGTTAACTTATTTTACCACCGAATAAGAAACCTAGATGATCTGAAGTTATAAATGCCCCGCGGTCCGCCGTACATAATAGGCGGCGGGCGTGAGGTAACGTTAGGGATGTGCAAAAACATCGCGGAAAATTCCTATAACACTCGAAAAAAGGCAGCATATTTACACGTGCCCACCAACATTTTTATGGCTAATTATTGACCAGTTTTGGGGAGTTTTGTTATGTCCTTGGAGTTTTGTTTAGAGTGGGACAGAAAGCCGTGCCGCGACTCCGACTCCATGGATCTCCATGCACTTCCGTGTTACATTACGTTGTATGTGACCAACAAAATTACGCCAAAGGCACCACAAATCCACATGTACATATATTTTTTTCCCGAAAATTCTTTTGAGTACGCATTTCGTCACTAGGATGTTGCTAATTAGTCGTAGAAATAAGGTAGAAACCAGCGTAAAAAAATTATGTGGCTTTCTCGAGATCGAGCTCTCTGCACTTCGCGCGCCCTGGCGCCCCAGCATGCAACGGGCTTCGTTCTAGCCAATCACAGCGCAGGTCATCTAAGGTGAACCAATCAGAGCGTAGCTACTTGCATATTATAATGAGCATGCTGCACCCAGGGCGGCCGCGGCCAGGGCGACCGGCCCTGAGTGCGCGGGAAATGTGTTTTGCAACTATATTTTTACGGGGATTTTCTGACGTTTGACGCTGACTTTGGCACGATATGATCGCACTACCATGTACACGCTACCGTAGGCGGCAAATGAGTGGTCATTTTTATATAGTCGTCGAGAAATTTTGGCGTTATGCACCCGGAAGTGAGCCGATCTCAGTTTGCGTTCCCTCGATTTTTGACAGTATCTCCCCTCAAAATAAGAAACAAAACTACCGCTATTAAATAGAACCATGTATTACAATTATCATTTCAACATGATAGATCTATTATATATTCCTTTATTAACTATGATATCATCATGGTTGTGGAAAGTCCTCAGCTGGCGAACCTTGCGCCGGGAGTGACGGTACATTTTTACCGTGAGTAAGCCGCTACTACTACTAGTACTAGTATTAAAGCCGCGCGCCTTACAAAAATTATAATAATTTTCTTTTGTGTCAAAAACCGCCGTGAATTTAAGGCATGAGTTACCGATTTATATTTCTTCTACGGCAGATATTTCTTGTTTCGTCACGTCCCATGACGTCCTGTGAGAGCGGTAGGCCGCCGCTGGTACAAAATGTACAAGACATCGTCTGCCCACTGCTACACTTTGTTGACATACATTGTATTACACAACGTAATTTTCCGCTAGAAATAACTATAGAATAGCATTAAAAGATAGCACAATTCGCTTCACACAGTCGACACATGGATAAACCACAAAGTTATTTTACGAATCACATGTCCACTTGCCTCTGGTGCTGTTATTTTTCAAGGGGCAACATCGCAACACATTAGCGGACGCCCCAGGAGGTGGCAATTTGCTATTGTCTTGTCGGCGCGCAAAACAAACATGAAATCCGACCCTATCACATTAACGCAAACGGTAACGCGTTAGAAATAATTTCTGACGATTTTCTAACCATTTTCTGACGAAAATCTAACCAAATACTGACGATTTTCTAACCATTTTCTGACGAAAAAATAACTCGTTAGTAACGGGGTACCCGGTTAACTATAACGCGAACGGTACTGTATTTTGTAAAGTTCTTAAAGTTCTTGATTCTGGATAATGGCTCTGCAATTCCTCATCATGGCTGTTGTTGTCTTTTATGACGTGCCAGATGGTACGTGTACAAACTTATGTTGTTTTTGTTTGTTTATTTAGGTAAGTCCTCCCATAGCAACCAACATACCATCTACAACCACCAAGTGTACTCGGGGGGTCAGCAGAGGCCAGGAGGGGGAGCCAAACAGCCCCCACCCCCCTTCCCCTTGCAGCAGGTGAGGCAAGTATAACACCTTGTCTTTGTCTATGTGTGTGTCAGGTGGTGTGGGTTAATGGTCGGTATTTAGTGTTGCCATGTTGGAACTTTTTGTATTTTTGTGTGAACAAGCTTCATTTTGTTGTTTCATGGAATTCTTCTTTTCATTTGTTTCTTGTGTTGTTTCAAGTCTGTACGTGTATTAGTATATTGAGAGGTTTCCAAAATGATGTGATCTGGAATATAAAAAGACCCCTTGGTAAACAGCTCTTGCTCTTGTCTAATCCTCCCAAGATAACAGTGCATCAACTGAAGTAAATGTTTTGCTGTGTGTCGACTGCAGGGACTTCTGAGAGTGCCAATCTCACAGCAGAGTACGCAGGGAGGGATGGCAGTGACAGGAATGGCCCAGGGACTGTTCCTTCAGCAGCCGCAGAGACAGAAGCTGTTCTCCCAGGGGGAGGATGGCCAGCAGACTCAGCAGCCAGCCAATGCCATGTGATCCCCCCACCCACAAGGCCCCATAGTCTCCCACTGTACTACTTGTGTCCTACCAGTGTCTTCCACTGCCACGAATTACACAGACACGTAATGAAGAAAAGGGGATGTTCAAAACCGAACCAGTTGAAGAGCGTCTTAGAATCCTGAAGAAATCTGCATTGTGTCTCCTTAAAGTTGACCTCTCCCCCTCAGTCTGTTTCTTCTCCTTGATCAGCCAGTGTTAGGTCGTTGTCATGGTAACAGGGTGAGTTGAATGTGACTTCCAGATATGACATAACCTTGCTGTAGACTTGAGCGCTTCTTGCAATGTTTTCATTATTTTCTATAGGTTTGGAGGGGGGGGATAAGACAGCTCAGAAAGATTTACACCCAGTGAGTGTGGCCAACAAATAGAGACAATGACCACTTTTCTATTTTTCAACGATCTTTGTTTTTATTACAACCCATACCTTCTACTAAAATCTCAACAGGCTGCTTTGGTCTGTTTGCGACAAATGTTAGTTTGGCTGCATTTGGAAAATTTGGAATTCTTATTACCGGTACATTTTCTTGTCAAATATTCCAAAAACTGCTGACATTCTAACAGATGATCAGCACATAATGAAGAGAAAACCATGCATTTTCATGCAATTGAAAAAGGACTTCCCAACATGAAATGTAGAAAAATCTCTGTGTAAATCCTTTCCTCAGTCATGCTGGAATTCAGCATCCAAGTCACCCTGGCATGGTCGAACCACCACTGTCAGCATACCCCGGGCCTAATCATTGGGCTCGCTCTGGCAGGTATGCAAACTAGGTAAGTTGGGGGAGTCCACTTTCTACAGTTGCCTTATATCAACACTGTCCCAGTACAGTTGGACCATTCCACATCCCAGGAACACAATAGGACACACGATAACCCCAGTCGTTTGAATCTGACAACCCATTTGAAAGTGAAGTTCTCTCTCCACAACCAAATACTTTGTCTCACCTACCAAAGTTTCCGCAACTTGCCAGCTGCCTTCAGTATGGCATAACAAATTCTGTTGACGAAACTTTGGCAGATGAAGAAAAAAACTTGTGGAAAGACCTTTCCTTTCCAATGGGGTACCAGTGTGATGAAGCTATCCATGGCTGTGAGACCCGCTCTAGTCCCTCCCTGTTGCTCCTACAAAGTGCTTTGGCCAATGGGAGATTTTTGCCCCTTGGGAATTCTGTACAGATACTGGCGGCTGCCTGAATAGGGTCATCTGGGGACACCGTAACTTATTCTACAGCTTCCGGATGACAAGACGGCTTGTTGGCCGCCCGGAACCATCACAAGCAAAGACGTATATTAAATATAGATCCCCAGGTCTCTCCAGGTGGCACAGCAGAGGAGTCTAGAACAAACTTTAGTGTAAAATGTCTATATTTTTAAAATTATCAATAAATTAAGACCCAGTTGCCACTCGTGTAATACAATCAATGTTGAAAAAGCTATTTTGTCAATTCCCAAGTTGTAACTCTGTACATATTTAATATGTATTTTTTGCACAAAGTTTATGCGCAGTTACTTCTTTGGGTAAATATTTGGCATCTAAGTTTATTTTATTTATTTAGGACAACGTATTTGTTACTTGAAATGATTTTGCAGGCAAGGACGTATGTATCTCAATTTTGTCGTGTTATAACGCCAGGATTTATTATAAAAATGAAGAAAATAGTGGAAAGTCCGAGTGACCTCCACTTGGATTGAGAAATTTGTATACCAAATAACTGTATCGAGACTTCTGAATTATTTAAATCGCTAGACTTGTACTGCACTAGGGCTAGCTAGTATTTAATGCTGAACTTATTTACCATAGGAAGCCGTCAGATAGGAAAAATGTTTTTGTCACCAAAGTTTCCTTTTGTATTGTAACAATGCCCAGTCTTGAGGATTACATTGTTGTTACTGAACAAGCATCTATATTGTACAAATATCGATGGTATGAACTTTTCCGAAAAAAATGTTAAGAATAGGAGGTCCTGAATACAGTATCCTGTTTGTATATATTCATTTGTAGGCAACAATACTTTCAATGTTGACAGAAAAAAATATTATCATGAAAAAAAATCTCATTGCGCCTTGAGAGGTATAATGGCACAGGTGACAATGGCGTCACAGACGTGCGATTTCCCCATGTTGTACAGAACCGCTCCCAGAACTGTCTACTTATGTTCAGCTGATTATCTCATTTCTCAGTTTTGTACCACTTTTTTTGTTATTGTTTAAGAAGAACAGAATTGCGAAGGAGAAAGTTCAGCGGGGAGCGTCCTTTCCAAGCAATCGGTTCTGGTGAGACGCCGGCTCTATGTGATAATCAGGTAGACGGGCGTCCCCAGGCAGAGACCAAACGCAGTGGGTTCGTGTGCCATGTTCGGAGAACCCACACAGGCGCCGGTCGGCAGCCGGGGAGGGCAAATAACAGATGACTTACAGAAACAACGTAAAGACAGGAAATGCACGGACAGACAGACAAGTAACAAACCGACGGACAGACGTGTGGACATGTGACGCACAGACATATGACTCACTGAAGACTACGCAAACCTTTCTTCCACCCTGGAGTGTGTCTCCTGCCTTAAGCTGCTTCTAGAGTTCAACATTATGTTTCCTTTTGACGCTTTGTTTTATTTTATTTTTGTTAGTGGAATTTCAGTCCTTTGGGTAGAGTTTTGAAAGAAGTCCTTCCGTAGGTTCGGATATGATTGTTGCTGCTTTTGTACATATCAGTATCAGCCAGTGAACTGGGTCCTGTCTTGAAGAAACCGAAAGTTTGCCCTCCTCGTCTGCCGCGCGCGTGTCCATGTGACGTTAGATCTAGACAATTTACTGTCATGTCTTTTCCTCTTTTCCTGTGGCAAAAAATCCCCAGTACCCGACTTTTTGTAACTCCCTGTAAATAAAATTTAATTTATACCTGTTTATGAAACTCTTGCTGCTTGGTTCTTGTGCGTTTGAGTTAGAGAGTGAATGGATGAATGAATGAATAGATAACTGCTTTATTAGCTTGCTGATGCGTGACAGCCATATGCTAAAAACAATTACTGTGAAAATGAATATGGCTCTTTCGAGCGTCTGTGACGTCGCCAAGACCAGGGACAAGTACATGTTTGTATTTCGAGATAAGACAGAATTGCTATTCTTTGCAGGTATAGATGCAAAGTTATATCATACCCGGGCCGCGATAACGTTCGATAACGGGTTCCAGACCGGGCCGTACTTTACGGTACGGCCCGGTCCGGAACCCGTTATCGAACGCTTCCATGGCTTCCATAAAACGATTCGAACGCGTTGCGCCCTAACCGCTTGTGCCCCTTTCGAAAATTCGAATACAGAATCCGGACGTTGGAACTGATGTTGTTGCATTTGAGGGTCTAGTGGCACCAACTTTTGGCTCATCTTGCATTGAAATGCGCGTTTTCTTGGGTGGGTATGATATAAATAAAATACAACACGGTGTATTCCGCACCGCCCTCGGTCCCGGCCCTCCCGCGAGTCGGATCGCCCTCCGGCCTGCGGCCGTCGGGCGATCCGACCCGCGGTCGGGCCGATACCTCGGGCGATACGGAATACCCCGTGTTGTATTCTATATGTACATAACACATGCCGGAAACTTTGGACTAAAAGAACCAGAGCAAGAGTATACCACAGACATGTCTGACACAGTTGGGTATCTATAGGTTTCTGTGGGGCCTCGTTTTAGCCTTGTATTAAACCATCTCACAGAAGCCTGTGGTTGCACTACCCACACCCTTCACTGGGCGGCGCTTTAGGAGCACCGTGTCACGGTCAGGTGCAGCTCGTTTGTAATGGCGAATGGAGTTCAGTGATTGAAGTACATTTTCCTTTCACAAGTCGGCGTTTCATGGGCATGCGCACCATGTCACGGTCAGGTGCAGTCCGTTTAATTTTGTGGCTAGAAATGACTTGAAGGCACGCAGATAGAGTGAAGACATGAGTAAGGCAATTCTATCAGGCAGAAAGAAACGCACCCATTAAAACACGGAGCGAAGAGAAGATTTGTTGCGAAAGTGTTTGTCTTCTCGACGTTTTTTGTCAACGTGTAAATAGAAAGACTGGGTGAACTTTTCAAGCAAGAAAGCATGGAAGATTTCTTGGGCGTTCAGCACCAAGGACAGGTACAATAGTAGTCAGGATCGTGTGTGTTGATTAGTAGTTAGCGACCCTGTTGGTAGTAGAGTATCTATATATCTCCATCTTTCTCTTATATCTGTGTGGACTGATGTGTGAAGAAACAGATCAGGAAGATATGACGAAGCTTGGAATGGCACGTTCCATCCTTCCGAACCGAACCTACCTAACTTGGAACAACCACACGGTGATGTAACGGTTCTGGAAAACTTTTGGAAAACGCGCTTCTTGTGTCTGACACAATTTCAAAGTACATACAACAAGTAAGCCTGGAGGAGAGGGGCAACAGTTCTCTGTATTTTCTTTTAAGACTTCCCTACGACATGGAAGGCGGCGGGGACAAGCTGCCACCGTCTCCTTTCCGGAGCTCGGGTCCGCTGTTCCCGGTGAAACTGCGGGAGTTAGCGGACGACCCGACCATCCGGTCCGTGCGCTGGTCCCCCACCGGCGCCACGCTGCTCATCCACCAGAAGCTGCTGGAGGAGGAGCTGCTGGACCAGGAGAACGGCGCCTTCAAGACCAGGACGTTCAGCTCCTTCTACCGGCAGCTGAACCTGTACGGCTTCCGGCGGGCTCGCGGGAACAAGGAGGGGCGGCCCGAGCACTCCGACGGCAGCAGAGAGGCCGCCGAGCTGAGAGAGTTTTATCACATGGTGAGTGGATTTTTAATTGAGTGTAAAAGCCTGATAATACATATCTCCTTGAACAGGTTTGAGAATCCCAGGGCTATGTCCTTATGAAATATGTCCGCTCTTGTTCCCTGCAGTACTTCCAGCGGGACCAGCCGGAACTGCTGTCCCTCGTGCGGCGGCCCAGCTGTTCCCGGGCGGCGCTGTCCGAGCGACGGGTCGAGAGGGTCCGGCTGCTGCAAGGCGAGTCACCACAAGACCGCGCGGCGCTGTCCGAGCGACCGGCCGAGAGGACCCGGCTGCTGCAGGGCGAGTCGACGCAAGACAACGTCGTTGTCAACGAGACCGTAACCTCTAGCAATCTATTTCATAACTGCAAGCACCAAACACCTGACGGCGGTACAGCAGATATTCTCCCACAGGTAAATCGCCAGTCCATGCCAGTTATTCCTGCCGCCGCCTCTCCAGCGCCGGCTGAAACCGTCACCACCACGTCCACAGGTTCAACAATACAAGAAGGAACTCTATATGATACCTTTGTGTCTACAGGCACGTCACCCGGTACCAACGTGATTTACCAGTCGCTCTGGACCTCGAACATTCTGGCTGGAGACCGGAAAACGTCCGCTCTAGACCAGGGGCGGCCGCTGTTCTGCAGTCCTCGGGGCTCTGCGATGATCCAACCACAGGAGTTCTCACTTCGGCCGAGGGTACCGGGGCCGAGACGGAATCTATTTGGTGCTGCTGCTAACCAGCAGGTTCCCGGAGCAGTTGGGCAGGCTATCGATGTTACTAGCCAGCAGATTCCCGGACAAAGTTGTGACGCTGCTATCCAGCAGATTCCCTTAATAATCGGTGCCGGGCGCTTCCAACCGAACACAAGCAGACACGCGCGAGTGGAACAAATGCAGTCAAAACTGCCACACGAGGGGAAACTCCGGTTGGAAGTACCGCGGATAGATCTTGAGGAACAGCCACCGTCGACGTCGAAAGTGCCATGTTTGGATGCGCCCGGAATGGGAGTACCATGGCAAGATTTACCACAGGTAATGGTACCACATGTAAAGGTACCACATGTGAAGGTACCACAGGTAAAGGTACCGCTATCTGAAGTACCACAAATACATGTTTCCCCAGCAGAAGAGCCCAGACTAGACGAACGCCAAATCCACGCAGCAAAAGTGGCAACGCAACAAACAGAGGTACCACATGCACAGAGAGAACCTCAACATACCGTACGACGACTGGAAGAGCAACAGACGAAAAGGCTTCGATCCAAAGCTTCTCCAGGACAAGGAGGTTCAAAATCAAATTTTAAACCTCCTTGTCCAGAAGAACTGCCAGCAGGGCTGTCACTGATAGAAGTGGTGTGGATGCCGCCCCCACAAGCTGGACTGCCGCAGACGAAAGTAGCGCCAGACGTGAAAACGCTTTCCTTGAGAGAACCGAACACAAGAGTACCTGGTGTACAGCTACAGCGGGTAGCGCCATCGTGGATGGAGGTGCCACGGATAGAAGTGGACACCCCATTTGGAATAGATGTCACACACAAGGTAGTGCCACTTGACAAAGTTCCACAGATGAGAGCATTGCCGGTAGAAGTCTCCACACCACAACCCAGAAGGCCTGCCTTAGACACGTCACAGTATCAGAGGGAAGTACCACGACTAGAAGTGTCTGACATGAAAATGCGCCAGATAGAAATGCCGGAGATGAAAAGATTCCCATCAGCACCACAGCCGACCGTCCCTCCTGCGGCCGCCAGCCAGTCACCACAGCCAATGATCGGTCCGACTGTCCGGGAGGAAAACCCTGCGGAGGTAGAGGTCTGTGCCCGCTGCAGGAGGAAATCTGGACCCTCCGGTGAGCATGCCGACGACATTGATCTCACGGCCGGAGAAACGACATTGCCGGTTGAACTTGAAACAAACACGACTGCAAAGGAGACGATGAAACCTGCTTGCCACAAGCCGTCCGTATCGGAGGTTTCCATCCCATCACCAGCTACGAATGAACTGTCCCCAGTACCGGAGGTCTTCGTCCCCCCGCCAGCTCGGAACCCAGCATCCCCATCTACAGGAGAGACCTGTCCGTTCACAGGTGTTTTACATGTGCCCATCCTGGGGAGTCCGAAAAAACGCACGGACTCTTCTTGTCCCGTTTCCATGGCAACAGGTTCCGTGGGTCCCGTCGTCATGGCTCCCGATTCTCCTGACGACGTTGATGACGTTTCCTTCCTGACTGTTGCCAACTTTGAGGAGGTTATGACGTCACCAAGCAAAAGACAGAAGGCGTATGACGAGAGAGAAAGCCAGGCGGACAAGACGCCTTGCGAAGAGGCGAAGTCTAAACAGTCAGCCTCACCTGCGGAGCAGGAATCAACACACCTATGTCTTGAAAAAGACAGCATGTCATCCCCGGAAGACGTTTCAGAGACACCGAAGCGGAAATATAGAAGAAGATGTAAGAAACGGTGCGAACGTGCGATGAAGGCTCCGCGGAAGAAGGTCCAGGAGATGACGCCTGAAGAAGAGGTCCTGGCGGCCGTCCGAGCCATTCAGGAGGAAGTGCGAAAGGAAGAGATCACTCTAGATCTGGATGAAGTCCCGGCCGTGTCTGAACCTCAACGCGACATGCCACGAACATTTCACGACAAGCCGCGACCACAACACGACATGCCACGGCAACTTGACATGCCACGAACGCCGACGACAAAGCCGAGCGCAGGTTTTAACAACGCGTCATTGTCTGTCGTTAACCTCCCAATTGTTTCTTACGCTGGGCTGGCACCTGAAGACGCCAAGAAGCTTCCGTTTAAGAAACGATTTTACTCTGGCTTAGTGACAGAGCAGAATAGGAGTGCTGCAGTACTGGAACCTGAGGAACAGAGGGCGCTGTCTTCAAGTATTGACGACTTGATCGTCCTCGGAACAAGTATAACGCTGGTACCACCACCAGATTTCAGTGTCAACGTTGTTACAGAGGATTTAAGGACGGAAAACGTACAGAAAACACCGAAGGTTGACACAACATCTGTGTCTCAGGATCAGGTTTATATCCCTATTAACTACAAGAGCGGCCTAAAGGCCATTGCCTCAGAGGTTGAGTGCGGAGAGGAAAACTTCCAAGATTTTGAAGTAGTTGAAATAGTTGAACTAGACTGTGAGATAGCGACAGAACAGTGTCTCCGGGACGGACAACGTGTAACATCAGGCGGTGAAGTTCAGCAAAACACGTGCACGATCCAACAACAGCAAGGCGAAGGTCATGTCGCTCAACCTTCAAATACGGACGCACAGTTTGCACTACAACTCATCCCTGAAGACGTTACCATCGTTTGATTTGAGCCATGACACTTGGGTCACAGACCGGGGCATCTCACATATGCTAAATAAAAGATAGACACGAAGCAAGTGCTGGAATAAAGTTTGTTACAAATATGTTCAAACGACACTTACTTAGTTTTCCATTTTATACTTTACATATACTTTACACTATACTGTTTCACAATTACATGTAGCTTCAAGTTTCATATGTACTCGTCTTGTTTTTGTACGTCTTTCGAGTTTGTGGCAGAGAATACAGATGCTATGTATATTTGAAGCCTCCGTTGGTTGTGTGGCTTAATAATGCATTTTAGGTTGAAAATCAGAAAACACGTCATAAGGAAATTTGAATTTCCCGCGTTGTAAGGTCAAAGTTGGAGCTCCCATCATGCCGTGTTTTGCCCAGAACGAGGCAAAAATCCGGGGTCTGAAGAAAATGGCGACCATTTCAGGTGAGTTTTTACGCGGTCGTTTGGCACGACTTGGTGTCGAAATAACAGGTTATTTGGTCAGTCTATTCCTGACAAATACATTTGTGGGGAGACTCGGTTCTCCGGGAGTGTATCTGATGGACTTCAGTGTGAAATGATGGGTAGAAACGGCCAAATTTCCTGGTGCGTGGCGCTTATTTTCGCTGAGCCAGTCGTGTGCGTGTGCCAATGAAAACGCACGTCTTTTCCTGGCTATTCATATTAACCTGGCCAAATTCTATGTCATTGGGGCTCCTTTCGTACTTCTAACCCACCTTATCACATTTCCTGCTGTTGCTGTTAAGTGTTGGGTAAAAATTAGGGGGTTGTTCGACGTTACCAGTTGTCAATTGTGCAGTATCATCCCCCGTTCTTGAATAAAAACATGTCATAACATCACGTTAATTTTGGTGGCCAGTATGAGCGTTTACGTGTTGAATACAAAACATCTATAAAACTTACCTTGCTGCAGTAGATATAAGTAGGAAATTCTACGGTAAATTATTTACAAGTACTTATGGTGTATATCGGTTCTTTGAACAGTGTGAAACGCTTAATTTGGATGATCCAGTTATCAGTTGGCACATGTTGATTTGAAACACAAAGGGCTTCAACAAAGGAACAATAAGAGCTCATCACACTTTCTCCTCATCCTTATGAGGTAATAGATGTGTTTCCCAGGTAATTAAGAATTTGATAAGAAGATTGGATCAGTGTGCTTCCGTTTTATTTGCATTGTCCTTGTACCAAGTCTGCTTCTGGCATTACCTAATCCTTTAGTATGAGACTATGACCTCACAATCATCAGTGTTGTTCAGACATGGCTGCCCACCTGGTTCTGTGATTGTGTCTGTCACCTGCCAGGTAAAAAGGGTGTAGGAGTTGGTCCTGTCTTCATCGTAGTGAGACGTCTGAAGATGCAGTGATGATCACTGATGAACAGGAGTGATGACTGTATTCTACCTGGTGGAACTTTCTAGAACAATCCTGGGTGACTGTGGGGAGGGGGGCACTGAAAGGAGAATAGTCTCGACTGTCTGTATGAACATCAGCCTCAGAGGGTCCTGCATGGTTGATCAGGGTATTTCGGTCTTGTAATAGCTGACTTTTCTGATATGTTTGGTAATTTGATACCTCATTATATGGAGCAGTTCATGTAGGTAAGGACTTTTTTCAGACCAGACTGACTTGACAGAATAAGGCTTTCTGCTTTTCCTTGGTTTTTGGCAAAATCTTCTCTATCTGAGCCTCAGTAAATCACTCTACCTACTTCCCTTCTACATGTATTACTAGTTAAACCTACGCAGATGTGTCTGCAGTTCTTATGCTGTTATTTGGCTTTTTGGCAAAAGCTCTCCCTACCTAGTCATCACTGTTCCCTTTGCATATTGTTCAGTCATAAACTTGTATCTTAATTCTTGATCTTTGTCATGAGTCAATAGGGCTTACCACCCTTCTGTGTGTAACAGCTGTACAGCTAATATACTAGTAAATAGTAGTAGTAATCATTCTGTAGTGGCTGGTTTATCCAGGACTAGAAATACATTTTGCCTGTTGCCTGTTAGCAATGCATCACAGTTCACAGTTTAAAGCATGAACCAACTTACTTGTAGGTTCCAAGTTTGTAGTGATGTATTGTACATCAAACACCTTGTTACTGTAACATCCTGCAGCCTAACCCCATAACCAAATAGAGAATTGGTATTGAAACAGCTACTTCAACGTTTAACCTATCCAGTGAAAGGGTCCCTACTGTGTAGTTCTTGGGAGAACAAATTTGCATAACGCCTTAATTGGCTTAATTACAGGTAAGAAACACTGAAACTTGTCGTCGTGGCTGTTAGTTGTTCTTTTCTGAGCTGGCATACGGTACTCACCGGGTGGTACATTGGTAAGTTAATTTATCTTTCTGTACAGTTGGCATTCTCCTTTTCTCTGTGGCTTCCATTTAAGATTTGCATTTACTATTTTGTAGTCTTCTGTATTCATTAAGGACATATTCTGGGGTTTCAGCAGTGTTTTATTCAGATTTACAGGTTGTTGAAAGGCATAGATGTGACTTTGTAAATAGTACCTTCACCAGTGGCTTCAGTTGGCTGAGCTACATCCAGTCATTTTTTTGTGGGCAGACCATATTAAGTAGTAACCTTTGGCCTTCAAAGTTTTTTGGGGGGGTCTGTTGAAAAGCTTGTACAAAAGCAGTGTGACATCATGATTCAGAGTCTGTCATTAATAAATAGGGATGACAGGAAAAGGCACAGCCAGTTACACAAATACTTGTTTCTTGGACTAGAAAATATCCTAAGATCAGGATGTCTGTTGGTAGCCTGTGGGCTAAGATGAGTGTACAGGGCTCAAAATATCCATCCACAAAATTGAAACTGCAGCAATATATAAAAAAGTTGTGTCCCTTTTTTCTTTCTTTCTAACTTAAGTGTTTTCCTGTCTGCTGATGTTTTGCACTTGTCGGATTGATGATAAGTTTGCAGCCAGATTGATGTGATATGCGGTATGCTCCTATTCTGCCCCAGGATTTCTCCTATTGATTTCCAGTCCTAATGACTGTAGCTCAGCCAACTGAACCCAGTTATAAAACTTGTATGTGAGACTCAGAGATTGGCAGATAGCAGACATACATGTTCATCATGTTCAGAGAATGGGTCATAGAATGGAAGATGGCTATATTCTGTCCTTTTCTTTTAATAATTTTTTTAGATGCAAAGTGTCTAAAAAAACTCTTGAAGTTTTGATCAATGGATGTTGTGCACATCTGCTGGATTTTCCTTAGTCAGTTGTTGATACAGTTCAGTCCGTTGTTTAATCAGGTTGTCAGAGTTACCTTACATTTCTACTTTGAGCCTACGGGTTGTTCTGAGGGAAAATCTTTTTATTAGCCAATGATGATTTATGTGGTCACACTCCCCTGTAAGCCAGTCTGTATGAAATACAAGGCATTGCAAGTCCTGGATCATCCAAAAATTGTTTTCTCATGTTATGGTATTTTCTAAGCAAGTATTCTGTACAGGTAAAATTTATGTCTTCAGTGTGTTATGTGTCATCACATGCTGGTAATATGATTGGGAACTTCAAAAATGCAACAATAGAAGCTGTTTCAAGAAATCCAGTTTGGTGAATCCTGAAATTTTACTCGTTGCCCCTCCCACTTTATTGTTCTTGGAGAGTTTTGTTCATGTTGTGATCTTGCAGGTGTTGCAGTGTGAGCATAATATACAACCTGAAGTTGATTTTACTGATTGTCTTGCTGTCAGATCCAGTAGTACAGAACAGACTTTTGTGTCCGAGTCTGTAAGAGTAATTAAACTTCTATCACTAGAAAGCCACTAGACGTGCACAGGGTCTGAATATCTAGTGTCAGATTTAGCAAGTAAGACTTCATGCAGGTTGATGTTGGAGAATTGTCAGCCTCCATTCTCTGCTGCCAGTAGGTATAGCAGTTTAATTACTTGCTGTGTCCGTCTTGATGTGTCATAAGGTGAGAAGTAAAAGAAATGACTGACAGTAGTTGAAGAGGTGAAATCACAGGTTTTAGGTCCTGCTAATTACCCAGGCTCTGCCAATGTTCTCAACACTCTCTCACTGGGGTTGTCATTACTGCTGTAAGGAGGGCTATGTTTACATGCAGATTGGCATCAGTTGGTCCCTCAGGTTTTTGGATCTGTGTAAGGGTCAAAACCTCCCTGGTTTGACAAGAACTCAACAGGTGATGTTGGTGATATTTCTGAAGAAAGCACATGGTTGCAGTTGGACTAAGCCAGTTTTCCATTGCTACTAGGATCATGGATAAGCTGACCTTGATCTTGATGTAAACAAACTTGTTGACACCATGTTGTTGTTGTCCAGTTTCCAGTATGATGTTTACCTGAAACCTGACCTAAGGCAGCCATGAAAATTGACAGAACAAAGCTGAAGAAAACAGTCTCAGAAGTGGTAAGTGCATTCTTCAATCAATGAATCAATCAATCATTGGTCCAGAGGGAGGCCAAAAGAGTAACATAATCAATCATCCATGGCATGACTGACTGCAGATCGGTTTTATTATGAGATATTTTTCAGTAATGATTTATCAGATAAAGTCAGGTTAATGTTATTCCTAAGATGACCTGGATGTTTCTGTTTCTCCCCAGCCTGCTGACTGTAAGGCACTGATCGAACACCTGAAGACTGTACCATTAGAGGAGCTGCCGGGGGTGCTGGACAGCATCAAGACATGGAACTATGGGAAGGTGAGTACAAGGAAACGTAACAAGCTGGTTTGTGGATAGGCTGATTAACTCATTCTCCTAGCTACCCAATGACTGAACGATCCTTGAGACAAATAGTTGAAATACAATTCAGCTGTAACTGTAAACATTGGAAGCGGATCCTTCTGCCATTTGAATAGGTCAGGTTTTGACACAGTTGCCTTGTTCTCTCTTTCTGATGAATTCTATGATGATTCCTGCAGTGGGATTCTTAGGTTGTTGTTACCAAAGTTGGAAGTCCTTTCCCACAAATCCCCCGGGAAAGACAGGAAGAATAGCTACATTTGTTGTAAGCTAAATGTGGATCCCAATAAAGTCAAGTCAAGATATACAGTGTGTCATGTCTACTTTTAGATAGTCCTTGAAATGATATACAGTCAAACCTGGCCAAGTAGACCACCCAGGGGACCACTCAAATTTGGCCTACTTGAGCAGGTGGTCTATTTGAAGAAAATCAGACCAACGACCAAGACATCACAAAGATATGGCAGTTTACAAGTATTATCATATTACTAGTATTATTAATTATAAACCATTATTGCATCATCAATGATTCATCAAAGTACTTTAGTACATGTATATTTTTACTCATCCTTTCTTGACTACAACATGCACACAAAAGTATAGTACTAGTGGTTGACACATGAACAAGCAAAACACTGATGTACTTCCAGAAATAAAATATTTATTGCATAGAAAGTACATCTATTTGATTTTTATACAATCATGTACCAGGGCTCGAACTTAACTTTTTTCCCTACTGTCCCAGAACTGTCCCAAAAATAAATTCCAACTGTCCCAAAGTGAGGATTGACTGTCCCAAACTGGTTTTCAGGAAGTATGTATTACAACAACAATAAAGCTGAGTCAGAGAACAGTATTGCTGTGTAAGCTAATTGTCAATTGAAATAAACACAAAATCAACTCAAATTGAAACTTGTCTTGGCTGGTTTATTGTGCCGACAAATGTAACAAAGACAAGCCAAAGTTCTTTTCAAACTTTCTTTCCATTTTCTTTCCTTCCACTTGTTATGTGCAGGCTACAGCAAGTGGCCCCTGTAAAGTGTGCATACTGCATGCTGCACACTGCAGTACTATATTATACTGCATGTATTACAATTCACAAATATTTACATGTTTAAATGTTTTACATTTCAAGGCCCCCTCCCCCTTCCGTCGGCGCATCCCTCTTTCGTACCGGCCGTACGATCTGGAGGCTGACACTCAGTTGTTGAAACCACGCCGTCAGACTGAGATGATCCTGAACGTCTTTGAGGATCGACAGCATTGACTGCATTCGACGCCGGGGCCGCTCGCGGCGAGGAGAAAAAAGAGGAAATTTTCCTCTGTGCCATGCCGGCCATGACTCTCAAATTTTCTGATTTCGGCTGTTTTCGGCATTCCATTCGTCATTTCGCGGGAAACTAGGCGAAGTTTACCGAAAGACACCGTACATTCCCGAGCTTTGCCGGTTCACTATATTTGGCATTGTCAGCTGATCTCCCGAGCATCTCCGGAAATATCCGAACATTAAATAGTTACAGTTCGCCATATATGGCAGATGCCTTGATTGGATGGAAGCTGTGATTGGTTGAATGTTGTTTACATGGATAGAATGTCTGGGAACTGGCGTGGGAAAGTGGCGCCAAGGCGGCGGGCTGCAATAGATCAAAGGCGATGGGCGGGGCGACAAAATAGTGGCCACATGCGTACACGGATGCCACACGCGCTGCTCAGCTGAGTGTATATCGAATTCGGCGGCTTTTGGTGAGGCCCAAAAATGGGTTGCGCGCCTGACAAACGTATGAACGGCTGACATTCTGATTGTGAATGTTCGTTATTTTTCCAGTGTCCCAAAAATGTCCCAAAGTGATTTTTCAGTTGTCCCGGCCGAAATTTTAGTGGCCAGGGGACATCGGGACATCGTTAAGTTCGAGCCCTGATGTACCACAGTAAAAAGCTTTGAAATTTCACAGCTTACTAGTATCTACACTTGGGTGTTTATAAAATTTAGCCTACATTACGATTTAGAGGTTTTTACAGAAACGATAAGGCGTTCATTTTGTGCTACTACGGGACTTTTTCGAAAACAATGAGACGAGTTACAAAATTCAGCGTCACCCAAGCGTGCAGACAACAACAATCAAAATGGCGCCCCGGCGGCCAACTTCACAACGAGTTACAAACTACGAGAAATGAGGCATAAATCTGCTTAATTCCGAGGTTGAAATACAATCAAAAGTTAACCGTCATTTGTACTACTGAAAATGTAAAAGCCCCAGTAGCGTGCTAGCACGTGCTACGACTAAGACGAATCGAAAATTTGGGAACCAGGCGTAGTGAAAGAAAATGGGGTGGCGTCACATTTTTGCGAGTCAACTTTTACGGCAAAAAAATACAATTGAACGTTACTGTTAAAGGCTACAGTGTCTGTAGAACTTTCTCGATGTCACCCTGGATTCCATTACGCTCCCATCCTAGGGCGAAGACGCCGGGCTTCGCTGTAAGCTCGTCTGCGGCCCTGCACATGCAGCGGCGTGCAGCGGCATAATTTGCGTGCCGCATGCAGCGGCTTGAAATTGTTAAAATCCCCACGGTCTGTATGAATCGTTCACCAGACCAGATGTCGACCAGACTTTTTCTTCAAGTTAATTATGACGTCCCGACGTTTGTAATTTTCCGAGACGCTTCTTTGGTACAATTAAACCGATCTTTCTCGAAGCTTGTGTGACTTGTTTACAAGATTCTCCACTTGGGATATTTCACCAGTATCATGGGTGAGCAGCTAGTTGAATAAGAATAAAAACACCTTAAACTCCAAAAACTTTAAGCCCTCAAGTCAATATTAGTAAATATCATTTTCTTTTATTTAAACATCGTCGGCGACAAATAAATTTACATTTTGTACGGTAGATTGTACAGTAGAATCAAACCGCACGTCAAGTTTTCACCCATATTACAGTAGTCTGTTCCAATGACCCAACATCGTGACCCCCGGCGCCATCTTGAATCGCTCGGCCGGGCAAAACACAACGTAAACAGGCCGATTCTCCCCATAAATCCCCGCAAGTTTTTATTAAAAATCGATATAGACACCCTTTTAAAAATGATGCGGTCGTCATGGGAAGGTTTTGGTCGTGCGTGGTCCCGACTCGAGCTGGCCGCGGTCGCGTCAGGAAGGTGGTCTACTTGGGCAGAGTGCTTAATGCTTGTGCCTATGGGAAAATATTTTCGGGACCGGAGAAAACCGGTCTATTTGGCCAGTAGGTCGTCTTGACAAGGTGGTCGCATGGGCAGGTTTGACTGTAGTATAGATATTGCAGCACTGAGCGAAACGAGATTTCCGGAAGAGGGTTCTCTGACAGAACCAGGCTGTGGCTACACATTTTTCTGGAAAGGCAAAGCAGCTCATGAGGACAGGATCCATGGAGTTGGTTTTGCCATCAAGTCTAGTCTTCTCAAACAGATACCAAATGTCCCCTCTGGTATAAATGAAAGGCTCATGAAACTTCGCCTCCCCATCAGCAACAAGCGTTTTCTTACCATCATAAGCGCTTACGCCCCCACCTTGACAAGCACAGAGGAAAGCAAAGAACAGTTCTATGCCGACCTAGACACTGTACTGCGCACTGTACCTGGCAATGATAAGCTCCTAGTGCTAGGGGACTTTAACGCCAGAGTGGGCAAAGACTATGAACAGTGGAAGGGAGTTATAGGGAAGCATGGCCTAGGGAAAGTAAACAGCAGTGGTCTCTCACTGTTAAGCAAGTGTGCTGAACACAACCTGGCCATAACGAACACCATGTTCAGANTTTTACGGCAAAAAAATACAATTGAACGTTACTGTTAAAGGCTACAGTGTCTGTAGAACTTTCTCGATGTCACCCTGGATTCCATTACGCTCCCATCCTAGGGCGAAGACGCCGGGCTTCGCTGTAAGCTCGTCTGCGGCCCTGCACATGCAGCGGCGTGCAGCGGCATAATTTGCGTGCCGCATGCAGCGGCTTGAAATTGTTAAAATCCCCACGGTCTGTATGAATCGCTCACCAGACCAGATGTCGACCAGACTTTTTCTTCAAGTTAAGTATGACGTCCCGACGTTTGTAATTTTCCGAGACGCTTCTTTGGTACAATTAAACCGATCTTTCTCGAAGCTTGTGTGACTTGTTTACAAGATTCTCCACTTGGGATATTTCACCAGCATCATGGGTGAGCAGCTAGTTGAATAAGAATAAAAACACCTTAAACTCCAAAAACTTTAAGCCCTCAAGTCAATATTAGTAAATATCATTTTCTTTTATTTAAACATCGTCGGCGACAAATAAATTTACATTTTGTACGGTAGATTGTACAGTAGAATCAAACCGCACGTCAAGTTTTCACCCATATTACAGTAGTCTGTTCCAATGACCCAACATCGTGACCCCCGGCGCCATCTTGAATCGCTCGGCCGGGCAAAACACAACGTAAACAGGCCGATTCTCCCCCATAAATCCCCCGCAAGTTTTTTATTAAAAATCGATATAGACACCCTTTTAAAAATGATGCGGTCGTCATGGGAAGGTTTTGGTCGCGCGTGGTCCCGACTCGAGCTGGCCGCGGTCGCGTCAGGAAGGTGGTCTACTTGGGCAGAGTGCTTAATGCTTGTGCCTATGGGAAAATATTTTCGGGACCGGAGAAAACCGGTCTATTTGGCCAGTAGGTCATCTTGACAAGGTGGTCGCATGGGCAGGTTTGACTGTATAAATGACTAAATCACCAAATTTATAGAATTTTTTGATAATTGACTTTTATTGTTTTCCCCAGTGTGAGTTAGTTCACTGGATAGATGTGTTGGACCGGTTTGATACCATCCTTGAAGAGGCCTGCCTAACACCCCCCGGTGCAGAATGGACTCTCCCCATCGACAGGCCAGAGATGGTCCAGTCGAAGGAGCGTCTGCTGAAGGTTCTGCAGTTCACGGCACTGCTGATAGAGCACAGCTTCTCCAGACACCTGTACAACTCCATGGAGGTACGTTCTACCTTTTGTCTGTGGTAACTTGGCATAACACGTAACAGCAACCATCTATAATTTTACATCAAATGACTTGTCCTACCAAAGTGCTACATGTCAGTCATAAGGAAACTGACTCTATTAGATGACATTTATGAGTTTTACAGTATTTCGTATGACAATGGTTCTGGGTTAATAAATCTCTTTTCTAGCTTGCATTGAAAAGTCTTCTTGTTAGTTTTTGATGCATAACTTGTTGAGGTGTTAAGATATTGAGGTAATTCACAGCTTTCTCATAGAAATCTGTTCTTATCCCCTGCAGAATCATGTGATGCAGCCGCTGTTCCCTTAGCCTTCCTCAGAAATAATGACCCCCTATTTGTTGTCTCCCTGTAGCATGTGACGCGGCTGCTGTCCTCCTCAGACATGGGGCTGGTGCTGCCGGTGCTGAACCTCCTGTATGTCTTCAGCAAGAGGTCCAACTTCATCACCCGTCTGGCTGCCGAGAAGAGACAGACACTCCTAGGCAGGCTGCAGCATCTTGCTGAGGTATGCTTGTTTGTTTGTTTGTTTGTTTATTATCCCACTCCTGGTTGCCAATAAGTGACAAATGTTACTGGGCAGGCTGTAGCACCATGCAGAGGTCAGGAGCCATTTTCTATTGTTACATCCTCAAAGGTGAACAAGTTTTGAACAAAGTTCACCTACTTTCCTTGTATTGAATATATGTTGTTCTCTTGACAGAGTTGGGGAGGCAAAGAAAACGGGTTTGGGCTGGCTGAGTGTTGCCAAGATCTTCCCTTCTCTGTAAGTATGTCCTGTGGGTGCATAATTACATTATGTTCATTTCCATCGGAATGCATCAAGGTATCCTAACTATATTATTGAATGTTATCTTTGATTTAAGATATTTGCAATTTTGTAGATTAGTCTCAGAAAATTGCCAGCTAAGTGTTGATTAAACATAAACAGTACTCTCGATGTTGAAAAGTTTGAATTTGTGCTTTTGCAGAGTTACCCTGCCAGTGCGACTACCTTGCACTTTGAGTTTTACACAGAAGTTACAGATGAAAAATCCACACCAGGGAAAAAGGTAGGACTGCAGCTTTGTTTTCTACATGTTGGGACTTGTACCATTTGTGATGTGATGACAAGTTAGGTGTAATTTGCCAGCTGTAATTAGGTCATAAATCAGCTGTACTTTTGCAATAATGAGCACTTCAATGAAATGTGTTTAAGGAAAGCTTGTCACCATGTAGCAGCTGCTTTTTTTGTGTGTGTGAAGAGTTTCATGCTTGTACAGTGATGTGCAGGTGCTGGAAATGTCTTACATGTGCTGGTGTTTGAGAAGGTGTGAAGTAAAAGTTATAAATCAACAAGACTGCAATATTATCACTTTGGCACAAGGCATTTGGGAAAGTTTTGTCACCCTACAGCAGGTGTTGTTTTATTTGTGTGAGAAGTTTTTCTGCTTGTCCAGTGATGTGCAAGTGTTGCCAGCTGTATGTAAAGTAACAGTGGATGGTGTTAATGATGTCATCTGTATGTCATAAAACTGAAAAAAGTATCTGACCTGGTATTGAAAGAGGTGGAAAAGACATCTGTGTTATGAATGACTTACAGCTAATACTGGGAATGAATCAGTTCTTAGTTCATTGCCTTTCAAGTAGAAAGGCAAAATAACACATTTTCTCATTGTAAGCAAGAAGTTCAAAACCATTCATCCTTGTCTTCCGTCACACACCCTTATAGCCTAGCATAAACTGTTTGCCCATCGGCAGATTTTGTTCACACTCCAGATTACAAACCTGTACATCCTACTGAGGAAACTCTGCTGCCTTGTGTATGTTCAGAATCCTTTCTTTAGTTGAGACTTGAATTTCTCCCCTTTCCCAGCCGGTGAATACGGTGCAGTGTATCCACATTGAGAACGTCGACAAAGTTGCCCAGAGCCCAGCTGAGATCATGGAGAATCTTCTTAAGGTGTATAACGTACCCAAGGACAAACAGGTAAGACTTCAAGGACGTGCTAGTAATAAAGATAACAGAGACTTACCAGAGGGTGTTTAACAGACCCAAGGACAAACAGGTAAAATGACAAGGACAAGCAAGTCATTTGAGACCAAATAAAATCCTAGTGACTTCCATAAGAACTGCGGTACGGCTGAGAGGCTTGTTTCAGTCATTAATTACTAGTATGTGTAAGTTTTAGGGACCCTTCTGAAATCAGTGACACAAGTGAGTTTTTCTTGTTTCAGATGCTGCTGTTCACCCACATTAGGTTAGCCTACTGTTTCTCCAACTACCGCCTGAGACTACAGTGTGTACAGGCCAGGTTACAGGCCCTGTCAGTCCTAGGTGAGCAAGAATGGTTTTGTTCATATTACATGCTTTGGAAATAAGACAGCGTGTAAGCGTTTAATGTTTGTATTTATGTGTATGTGACAATATATGCAAGGCAATGCCACTGTGTACCTGTGTGTGCTATATATTGTGTATTGTATATTCCCCAGTGTACTCAGCCGCCCTACAAGACAATGCCAACACCCTACTGTACAACGGGCTCATAGAAGAGTTGGTTGATGTGCTCCAGTTGAATGATACCCGACTTACGGTGAGGGAGAGTTTCAAATGTTGCATTTTGTCTAGCGTATAAATGTTCAATGATTTTACTAAAATCTGATCTGCATAACTGTATCAAAGAAGTAAAGTGCTACAATTTGTTCTTTGAGTAGTTGAGTGATCTGGACAGTAAGTTACACGTATTGCTGCTGTTTATCCAAATTCTGTCATACTTGGGAAAGATTGTTGTAAAACAGATCTCTTTTGCAGAAGGAGAAATATTTTACATTGTTTAATGAATGTCAAATATTGGCCTTTTGTTTGTTTCTGTAGGAGATCAAAGCAGCGTCGTTGAGAACGTTAACGGCGATCATCCACCTGGAGAGGAACCCCAAGTGAGTTTCCCCCGCTGGCCCACTGCTCCAACTTTAAACTTTGTCTGATTGGGTTTTACTTTTACCATCATTCCTTATTCTTTGTGTAACCCACACTGACAGGGACCCAGTCAGGGTGTAAAACAGTACTCACACACTGGCTCAGCCCCAACATGACCACCTGGTCTCCCCTCCAGAGTCGTCCACAGACTTTAACAGCTTCTTCCTTCTCTCCACTGGTTGGAGACTTGAAGGTTTCACTTGGGAAGCTCACTTCTACAACATGATTTCAGAGAGACATTGTAAGAGACATTGAATTTGAAATATCTAAAAAAACTACAAATGTTATTGGAGAAGTAAAGATACCACTGTAACGCTTCAAAGTTCAAGAATAATTTTCTAAAGTCGAAGTGGCAGTTTTAGATCCCCTGCCCAGCCCTGTTGTGAGAGTCTGTGGACACTTGTTCTGGCATGTTCCTTCCTCCCTCCCCCCGTGGGTGGAGTTTATGTTGCGTTTCTCATGTTGCATTCAGAACTAACGTACCAGCATTGTTCCAGACTCGGCCAGCCTGCCTGCAGCTGGTGTGGCTCACCTGTGTGCTGTGTTACAGGACTGGTGTACCTAACAATCCATACACTTAACAATCATGGATCTTCTTATAATGTTCTTACTAGAGTGGTGTTAGAAATAAACATGACAAAGTCCAAAATTAATGTTTGGGTTTGATTTAATCGTCAGAAAAACTAGTCCATGCAATAGATAATGTCTCACCTTCCTCTCATGATGTTGGTAGTAGGAATAAAACTCTGAAGAGTGCTTGTCTTCTTTGATCTTTGATGGTAGTAAAGTAAGAGGGAAGCAAGAAGTTGTCCGAAGGTGTAGATGACATAGACATGTAAATGCACCAACTCAGACTCCATGCTGCACCCAAATTTTCTTGTTACGTTGTTTGATAACATGACCTGGTCTGTTAGCTGTTTTTTCTGGGCAGTTTGGATGTTTTGCCTGCATGTTCCTGTTATAGGACAGTGTAAATATTTAGTAATGTAGTTATCTCTACCATGACCCCGCTAGGCTCGGCAACATTATTGACGCGACGGGCGCAGCCTCGTACCATGGCTTTCTCCCTGTGCTGGTCAGGAGCTGCATCCACGCCATGACAGGTAACATTTGTTTCATGTTTTTACTGAGTATTAGTATTTTTTCTTTGTATCAATGTCAAAAATCAGTTCCTGGGACGTCTTAATTAGGTTTCATTCCCTGGAAGTATCTAGCACTAGCATTTGATGCCTTGGAGTCCTGGGTTTGAATCTCAGTCCTTCATACCCTCACTCCCCACATATATCTGAGGTATGCTACGATACAAGAATTGTTTCTTGGACTTATGAATCGAATACAGATAAAAGCCTTATCTGTAGAACTTTGCTTTTTGGGACAGACTTTCTCAGAATTTGTCAGCAGTTGATTTTTTAAAAGTGTTTCACTGAACTATATTTCCTGTCTCCTCCCCAGACCCCAATGAGAGCCCGTTCCCCCAGCCCTTTGCCACAGCACTGTTCTCATTCCTGTACCACCTGGCCAGCTATGAAGCAGGTAGGGACCACTTCTGCACAGGTACAGTCCCAAACTTACATCCACACATGCCTGGGGTTTATGTGTGTGCCTTTGTTTTTTTCCTTCTGTATACTTTGCATCAGTGAGTGTTGTATATAATCGTCGGAGGTGTTCCTATAAAATCAACTTTGTGTGCTGTGATGATGTTACTATAATACATTTTGTAGGCAGGGGTTAAAATACCCGGTCTCGCAGTCTCGCCGCGCAAGTAATTTTTTCTGTGCGAGACTTATTCGGAAAGCCAGGTTGCCCGGAGCGCAAGTTTACGGCCAGCAGCTTCTGAAATAAATAGTGCCGCGGTCCCGCCTGATTGACATGTGGACCGGTTCGGACCGTAAAAATTTATCGGTCCGGTCCGAAAAAAAAACGAAACGTCGGTGGACCGGTTTTTTGGACCGGAACAAAAATCCATACTAACTGATGATCACTAGATACAAGGAAGCCAGCCAGGAAAATGAAAATCCAGCATTAAATAAAGAAATTTACCTTAGTTTCCGTACCTCTCATTTTTGCAACAATATTCTCCATATTTTCGTTACCGATAGTCATCTAGAAATCATAAAGGGAACTTTACAGGCCGCGTTTGGTTCGAGCCGAAAATAAGTGGTTTTAGACCACATGGTCACACTGTGCCGCTACTGCCACACATAAATTTTCACTCGAAATGAGAAATTAGCACCCAACAAAACGGACCATTAGTTTCCCAAGGCTGTATTACTCTTTTGTTCTTGTGGTCAACTTGTTTTCTTTGCTTGAATCGCGTAAAATACCAAGGAAAATACAAGGAAACTTCGGCAATCGGCCCGAATTTTGAGACGAGCGGCGGCCATCTTGGAATTTGTTGTTTATGCATGCCTGCAATTTGGCCCAAACCGCTAGAGGGCGATGTGATTGGTTGGGAAGTTTAATGTATTAATATATTCGGTTCTGAGGTTTTAGCCATAGAGGACAGTAGAGGAGAAGTTTGATAATGATTAGAACGGATAAAATGGGATAAAATAAAATTAAAAGAGGATAAATAAAATAAAAATAAATCTAAAAAAATAAAAATAAATACTAAAAAAATTTAAAAAATAAATAAAAAAATTTGTATTGGTTGCTATACATTTAATATTTAGCAATGATCATTTAGCAAAAATTATTTGGTACTGATAGTCTGGTATCCAGAATCAGGTACAGGTACAGGTCCGGACCTGGACTCTGGACCTGGACCTGAAAGAGCGGAACAGGTACCCACCCATATGAAGGCAGCATTTTTTAATAAACAATGATGTTTGACAGCTGTTGTGTTTGCTACTTGATAAACAAACCTATTAATTGATAAAAAGAAAGGATAATGGATATGGGGTAGCAGATTTGATGAATCCAGATCCTTTGAAATGGGGCAACCTGAAATCCTGATGGGGCAACCTGGCTTTTGACCCAGGTTGCCGCCCGGGCAACCTGGAAAAAAAAAGTATTTTAACCCCTGTGTAGGTATTGGAAAGTATGCTGGTATTTCTTACTTTTTCAATGTGCTGTATAGGTGTACATGTCTATGGCTCAAAATACTCGGTTTTGGTTTTCTGTAATTTGTGATGCTGAGTCCTAAGTTCATTTAGCTCGTCAAATTGTTGTTAATCTTTTTTCTGCACCCCGAAAATTTTGTATGGCAGCTTTGGATTATAGATGTGTCGTTGATTTAGCATCATCATGGTCTGAAAACCACCCTTCTGTGCTCCCCACCCCCCTCCCCCAGGTGGAGAAGCACTGGTGTCCTGTGGCATGATGGAGTCACTACTGAAAGTCATCAACTGGCTGGGGGACGACCAGGACAACATCATCGTAAGTGTGGCAAGTGCCTACATGTACATTTGACCGTGAACACACTGCATGGATAATTCATGTTCTGTCAAATCATTGTGTCAAATGTTCAGCACTCTAAGAGAGAGGTGCTTATTATAATTATAAGAATAATTTTGTTGTCCAGTTTGTGACTACATTTGTTGTTCTTCATGTTTTCCAGTTTGTGACGAGAGCGGTGCGTGTTGTTGACCTGATCACCAACCTGGACATGACGTCCTTCCAGACACACAGCGGGCTCAGCTGCTTCATCAACAGACTGGAGGTGAGACGGCATGCCTTTAAAAGGATACAGATGTCTTAAATTAAGGAAGATTCATCTTGAGAAAACTCAGTGAATGTTAAAAGGGGAAGATGTAGTAAGAAACAAAGACATGCCTAATTATTATGGGACCTTTGTGAAAAAAGGTGTAGACATGCAAGATGTTTGTGCCTGTGAAGATCTGTATATAGAATTGTAACAGCTTGTCGCCACAGTGTTTTTTGAACACCTTTTTTCTTGACTTGTTTCCAGCATGAGGTTGAGATCTGCAGAAAAGAGTGTCCGTTTGTCATCACGCCAACCATCAGTGTAGAGGATGGTGGAGAGGAAGAGGAGCATCAACAGGAGGAGAACAGGGAAGGGGAGGGGCAGATCGCCACGGAGACTAGGAACCAATCAGAAGAGGGAGCTGTTGCCATGGAAACAGAGACAGCGGCCAGCACGTCCAGTGGTGAGTTATGCAGCCAGCAGGGAACAGTGGACAGGAATAAGTCAGGGTTAAAGAAAAAGAAAGATCCCTGAAAACTGTTGCTTTTAGTATTGTACCCGATATAGATAAATTTAGACTTTGCACAATGTACATGAAGTACTTCATTCTTCCTTTAATGTATTACTCTTGTTTGTAGGCTAATTTTATGTAACATTTCTTGCCTTCGATACCCCTGGTGAAAGCCACAGATATCTTTTGTTTCAGCCAATCTTATAGAAGAAGACAGATTAATGTACATGTAGGCTGTGTTGTGAATGTTGTGGTTGATGGAAGTTGTTATGTTTATCCCTGCAGGGTCGTCTGATGTCCCAATGGAGATGGATGGTCCATCACCGGCCAGCACCAGCTCCATGTCCGAGGACAACCGCACAGAAACAGACAAGAAACAAGGTAGAGAGATGGCTGCTTGGTCATTTAAAGTTCTCTCTGTGACCTAACTTCGTAGCTAATTCAAATTTGGTGCCACATGGCTACCTTAGTATGCTGAAGGTTTAGATTCGCGCTTTTCTCAGTTCTTCGGCTGAATACACTGACTTTTCGTATCCCGGATGTTACCTCTTACCAATGTGTAGTTGGTAAGAAACTGAAAGTGCTGAAACTGCTTTTGGAAGCTTTGGAAGTGTGTTTCCTACCACATTTAACATCACTGTTGTTTTTTCCAGACCCTCAGAAGCAGTGTTTCCCCCAGAGAGCAGCTCTGATGAAATCCATGCTGAACTTCCTTAAAAAAGCCATTCCTGACCCCGCCTTCTCAGACAGTATAAGACATGGTAAGTGGTGTAAATTCCTTGTTGTTTAACCTCCTTCTTGAAACAAGTCATTATTCTGTGTTGTAAATGCCTACAAATGTTTCTCATCAGTATGGTATCATTTTGAATCATTACAAAATTCTACCATCTTGTAGTGAGATATTGCAACACAGGAAAGGCAATGCTCATGAATTCCAGATGGCAAGCCTTTGTCCATAGCTGAGTGAATTAAAGTTTTGAATTAGTCCTGAACAGTAAGATTGAGGTAGTGTGAATTGTTGCATTGTCTAATCAGAGTGTTTTGTCCCCAGTTATGGACGGTTCCCTGCCTGTGTCCCTGAAACACATCATCAGCAATGCTGAGTATTACGGACCCTCCCTCTTCCTACTAGGTAAGACCCATAGTTTTCTCCAATGAGTTTTCTGACTGAAATTACTAAGAACCTCTCAACTAGTGGCAAGTCCTTCACTCTTTAGTTTTAACTTCAAGCTATTTTACATTTTGCATGTTAAACAGATGTCTCTATTTTTGATTCTATAACCAAAATATGGATTTTACCAAATTTGGAGATGATAAACACTTTTTGTTTGGGGAGATTGACTTTGATATTCAATATTTTTCAATATCATCCATAACTCCATTTCTTCTGTTTTTACAGCGACTGATGTAGTGACAGTGTACGTGTTCCAAGAACCTTCCCTCCTGTCTTCCTTACAAGACAACGGCCTTACCGACGTGGTGCTCCATGCTCTCCTCATTAAAGATGTGAGTCATAGTGCTGCTTGAACACGAAGTGGTAGACAACACTAGAAGATTAGTATGATAAATATCAATGTTTCAAGGACAAGACTTACATTTTGTTTTCAGCAAAGTAAAACTTTTTTTCTACAGCTTAATTGTGTAGAAAGTGGATTTTTTGTTTTGTACATTGTTTCAAGATTGCAAAAAAATGATCCCTTTGAGAGAATAATAGTCTAATGTGTTGCATGTCAAAGTAAAAATTCACCCATTTCGTTCATTTACACATTGATTCATTCCTTCCCCCTTCTCAGGTGCCAGCCACCAGAGAAGTGCTGAGTGCCCTGCCTAACGTGTTCAGCGCCCTCTGTCTGAACCAGCGGGGACTGCAGGCCTTTGTGAGGTGTCGTCCGTTTGACAAACTGTTCAAAGTGCTGCTGTCAGAGGCCTACCTGCCTGCCATGAGGAGGAGAAGAAGCTCTGATACATTAGGTAAGGATTTTCTTTCTCAACCCCAAAGTTATTGTTAGGTTTCCCTTCCTTTTTAGTGGTAGGAACTTCAAGGTATAAATGAAAAGTATATTCTGGTCCAGTTTGATTCAGTTAATTTTTGTGATCCTGTTATTATAAGAAGACATCCAATGAAACAATGGGAAAACGTGATGGCTAAGCAAATACCAGTAGACCTTTCTTGTTGTAACAGAACTATGCAATCCAGGATTTGGATATGTTCCTATTGTGTGTATTTTGATGTGGTTATATAGAATTAACAAAAATCAAAGATAAAAGAAGTGAAAAGGGGAACCTTGATGTGAGAGTATGTTTCCTCCTGCAGGTGACACAGCATCAAACCTGGGGAACGCCATGGATGAGCTGATGAGACATCAGCCCACACTGAGGACTGACGCCACCAAGGCCATTATCAAGGTCAGCATGCAGTAGCATTCATAAACTGATAAAGTACCCAACTCAAAAGTCCCAATTGCAATAAGCCATTTGCAAGAACATTGACTTACAGCTTGCATCTTCGCACAAAACACAGACCTTTAGTTTTAAGTGACCTAGGCCAGACTAGAGGGGTTACAAAGTAGTCTGGGTAAGGACGTGAAGTCTTCCAACTCTGATCTCCTTGTTCTTGCCTCCAGCTGCTGGAACAAGTGTGTGCAATGGGCCAAGATGCCAAATTCATCTGTACGAAACCTGACACCAAGGCCACGCCTAACAGCCAGTCGCCACGGCAACCGGTGCTGGAGGAGACGTACAGCGAGGACGAGGAGGAGGAGGACGACGTGTCGAGTACCACCAGCCAAACCAGCGCCTCCAAGGGACAGGCACCGGAAGCGCAGGAGACCAAGTGAGACCTCAACCCTGACTGACTTAACACTGAAATTTGTATCAATGTTGCAGCTACTTGAGACAGAAGTATAAGCATTATGAGTAGCATGAGAAAGCGGTCTCTTCATTTATGCATGTTTTTTGCTCTGTTCTGTCCACAGAGCCCCAGGAACTGAGGAGGCCAGAACTCCTATTCCACTGCTGGACTATGTCCTGAATGTGGTAAGTTGATGGAATTTTTACCCTATGGCTGGGGGAGTGTTGTTCAGAGGCACTGTCTTGTCTACTTGCAGCACTTTCCCCGTGGCTGCTTGGTAAACTCAAGTGCCAGAAGACAGCCGTGAAGCAGACAATCCCAGCTGCTCTGTCATGTGGCAGGGACAAAATCACGGCAACACCTCACATAAGCTTAATGGTGTGCCTGTAGGATTCCTCTGTGATGATTTGGCTGCATTAAACATACAATAGTAACAGGGTTTGTGTCGGTAGCATAGTTGCTTCTCAGCTCAATAAGGCCTACCCAAGAACAGACCCAAAATATCTTCTTTTGAATTTTTTTCGTTCACAAGGTAACCATTCAGTCAATGCCAGTACAAACACAATCTCCTTAGCAGAAATGGTTATGAAGTTATAAATTTTTAAATTATGAATTTTTGTTTGCTGTTTATCGTATCTATCCTTGTGGAAGAACTTTTCAGCACATTTTCTTCTATCTCCAGATGAAGTTTGTGGAGTCGATCCTGAGCAACAACACGACGGATGACCACTGCAGGGAGTTTGTGACACAGAAGGGCCTGGTGCCCCTGCTGGACATCCTGGGACTCCCCAACCTGCCCATCGACTTCCCCACATCCCCTGCCTGTCAGGCTGTGGCCGGTGTCTGCAAGTCCATACTAGTAAGTTTGAGGCCAAGTTTTCAAATCTACACTTGTCTGCTTCATTATTTTCCTGAGACAATTGTCAGGTTTTTCAGCCTTGACTAATTTTAAGGGAAAGAATGGACCTGAGTTATCTACTGGTAAAATAAATGAAAATGAAATGAATAACACTTTTTCCGTGGATATCTATTGGATTGATAATAATGCACGTTTTGATGATAAATGATATTTTGATTGCACTGAAGCACATTTTGTCTCCTTTCTCCAGACACTAGCTCACGAGCCACAGGTCCTGAAACAAGGCCTGCTGAAGCTGAATGAAGTCCTGGAGGCATTGGAGCCGTTATACCAGCCCCTGGAACCTCCTGGAGGCTCCGTGCTTCTGCGTGAGCTGGCCAACTCCGCAGCCAATCCCGATGCAGTGTTGTCGTCACGTGACACGCCCCTTCTACACGCCATGGCAGCTGCGCACTCCTACATCCTGATGTTTGTACACGTGTGCAGAGTGGGACAGGTGTGTTTGTTGTTACAACTCTATATACAGGGCGTCACAGCCGGCAATGCATTGTCAAGGAATACTAAAATCAGATATGCAATTAGATTGCTTATTTCATTAGAACTTGAATGTATGACCATGTCTGCTAGCATTTTCACCTTCATCTCATGGTATATTGTGTTGTTTTGTTGTGTAGCAGTTTTCCTGTGTGTAATTCTTACTGTTTTCTCTCCACAGACTGATATCCGGTCGATGTCTGTGAGCCACTGGGGCTCAGACCTGGGACAGAACGTGCTGAAGGGCCTGAGCAGACTGTACCAGTCCCTGGTGTGGGAGAGCACCGTGCTTCTCTCCCTCTGTACTCCTGGTGCGCTTCCCGAGGACTGTGAGTTTGGGAAGACAGACATGACCAAACTCTTACCCAAGGACGACGGCAAGTCTTCCAGGAACAAGCTTGACGTGGGGAAGGTCGACACTGATAAACCTGGCACCAGCCTGGACAGTGAAAGAACTGAGGACCCCGTGACAGAAATGGAGGTTTCCCCCATGGAGGTGGAAGATGTTGGTTTGAACGACGCGGATAAGAAACTGAAGATTTCTCCACAACTTGCTGCTCAGATAAAACAGATCAAGCCGCTGCTGTCTGCCTCGTCCCGCCTGGGCCGTGCGCTGGCAGAGCTGTTTGGGCTGCTGGTGAAGCTGTGTGTGGGATCACCTGTCAGACAACGCAGCCGGCAGCACCCCCAGGGCAGCACCACGGCCCCCACCCCTGCTGCACGAGCCACCGCCGCATCTCTAACCAGACTGCTGGCTTCAGGCCTGTGCTGGGAACCACCTCCCAGCTGCCCCACTCCCAAGTTTAGGTCAGGCAGAATTTCAACTATCTACTCTTTCTGATCTTTCTGTCATTCTTTCCTCCATCCTTTGTTTATACTTTTTATACATGTTCTAATGTTTCCTTTCTGTGTTTCCAGGTTAACATTCTTCATCTGCTCGGTTGGCTTCACGTCTCCCATGTTGTTTGATGAGAAGAAGTTTCCATATCACCTCATGCTGCAGAAGTTCCTGTCCTCCGGGGGCCTGGACGCACTGTTCGAGTAAGTACACTCACAAGTAACACAATCATTTAATGTTGTTTGAATCATAAGATGAAATGATTGTTCTGAAGGATGTAATCCTTGACAGACAAATGTTGGTGATTGCTGATGAAGCTCGCTGTGTTTTCAGGACATTCCATTGGACCCTGACCCACGGGGGGAAGGTTTCCCTACAGGAGGGACTGGAGCACCCAGAACTGCCAGGTATGAACTCAACTTCCTGATTGTGTATACAGTGTGAATGTAACTTAACCTTTATGATATCTGTGTTATCCAAGGGTTGGAATTTAACTTATGATTTTTGGATTCTTGAACTCTAGATCTTTCCTGTGATTAGCTCAAGATCCAATGGAACATTGCCTTTGTGTGATCATCACTTACATGATCTTGTGTGCCCTCATTGACCTTGTAAAACTGATCCTATCTTACCATATTTAACCTTCCTGACCCTGCAGATGGTTCAGGAGAGTTCCTTGACGCCTGGTTGATGCTGGTGGAGAAGATGGTGAATGTGAAGAATGTTCTGGAGTCTCCCCACACGCTTCCCGCCAAACCCTCCCCCACCGCGCCTGGCTTCGTGCCCTTCAGCAGTGTACAGTTCCTGGTACATGTCCATAAGGTAGGGACCTGGAACCATGGCAAACTTGTATTGAATTTGCCTTTTACATTCACTTCTCCATTTTGTCAGTTGGATGTCAATTTACCCGCAACCATGGCAACCCTGTTTGAATATTCCCAGGCTGCCTTCAAGGCCGTGATGCACCTGTGGGATAAGAAGCCGCTGAAGACATACGGAGCGAGGATGTCGGAGTCGATGCTCGCCATGTTCTGCCACATCCTGAAAGGCGAGAGGACCATCAAGGAGCGGCTGGAGAAGGAGAAGCAGGGGGAGGAGGCGGAGAAGGAGGCCCAGGCGGCTGCAGCTGCTGCTGCAGGGACAGAAGGAGCTGCTGCAGCACCTGCTGCTGCAGCTGCTGCCGCTGCGCCGGCCAGACCACGGGAACCTGACTTTAACCAGGCACATCTACAACAGGTGGGCTGGACACTGATGGCTCTGTACCTTCCAATGACTAATGAAACACTACTGTACATTGTATAAATGTTGGAGTTCTAGGTTGGTTTTCAAAATATAAGTGTTTTTTGGTAGGAATGAATTTGACGAACATTGAACTTTTTTGTCAATGAAAGAATAACTTGAATTTCCTGTGTGTTTCAGCTGATGGACATGGGGTTTACTAGAGAGCATGCTGTGGAGGCACTGACCCACACCACGTCTCTGGAGCAGGCTACAGAGTACTGTCTCACCCACCCCCCTCCCATCCCTCTAGCTGCACAGGTAAGGCAGCAGGCTTAGGAATGGCTGGTTACTCTTGTCAAGGGTATTCAAGGTGTAATATTAAAGGAATATCGATAAAATCCCAAAACCTTGGGTCTGAAGGCCATACCAATTTGATTTGTTGGTTCTCAGATTTAAAAAAGATGTTGCTTAACTGATTGATGAACATGAAAACATTCTGAGGGGATGACTCTTGTGACCTCTTGTTGAAATGTATCTTTCACAGTGATGTTTGTGTATGTGGCTTTACCAAGGCACAGAAATGTCTGGTTTAGTTACTTTGTGGTACCAGACATGTCACAGTCATCCTCCAACTTCTCAATACACAAGGCTTTTTGTATAATCCCTAAGAATGTGTACTTTGTATGTTGATATTTCTTTGATAAATCCATACAACTGGATTACAATGAGAAATGAATATTTCAAATGCCATCTGGCATTCTTCATTAGTAATATAAAATGTATCCTGATGTTTCATGTTCAAGGAATCTGCTGAAATTTCAGGCTCAATTTAGTCTTCATTTTAGCGGTGACCAGGCCTGACATTTACACACACTTTAGTAGGAGACTGCATTGCCTTGCTAGTGTGGCTGTTTCTTGTCTTGCTGTTGATGTTTCAAGTGAGATTTAGGATTTTAAAGGTTTCTTACTGCAGCATGATGTGACTGCTTGTCATTCTTTGAACATCAACCTTAGTTTTATAACCACACTCAAAACAAAATTACTGTGACGCCTCCAAAGCAAAAACAAGGAAACTACTTGGTCCAGGTCTTGAACTTCCAGTGAACCAGTTTTGGTATTTTCTAGAACATGATGTAGTAGTTTGAGTAGTTACCAGCAGTTCTGATGATGTAATTTGGTAAGAATGTATCAGAATTTATGTTTTTAGTAATTATAGCGTGTTAAGAAAGAAATAGAATTTCAAGGTCTGGACTGGTGTTATAACAAGGCCATGGCAATGTAAGTCACCCGGTTCTCATGACTTGAAAAATATACCATTTAGAATGTTCAAAACATTTTGGAAATCTAAAACATTAGATATTCCAGCCAAGAAACGTTTACATTAATTCAATTTAAGATGGTGTTTTTTTTATTTAAAGCCAATTGTTACTGAAATCGGGCTTTGGAAGTCATAAGTGGCTTCTGTCTGGAATATCTATAAAGGATAATCTTTAATTTTGACATATAAATTGTATAAAATGCTATGCTGTTTGAGTGAGAGCCGAGTGTCTGCCTTGCTGTGGCCGGTGGCTGTGTCTGCCAGCCCCATCTCATGTCGTTTGTCCTGTCCCACAGGAGTTAGCGGATGAGATTGGGATGTCAGAGGAAGACCAGCTCAGCAGAGCTATTGCTATGTCGCTTGGAGCCAACGTTAACCCTGAGGTATTAAATAAATAAGACTCCTTCAACTCGCGTTAAGTCCTTCGCTGCTACGTTAAGCCAGAGCTTGAAAATCTCCTCTCAGATTCAACTGAAAGTTTTAATTGAGCCATTTCTGTGTCACTCTGAGCTACAAAATGTACTGTCAAACTAGCAAACAAGTCTTTGTTCTTCAACTGTCCCTCAGTCAAAATAACCTTGAGCTACAAAACCCTCCATCAAAACTCACATTACTTTGGATTGTATTGAAAAGTTCCATGGTTGATTTGCTTACTTCTCATTCTGTTTCTGGCAAGCAAGCTTTCCCACATTCTTTACTAGCAGGATGGTTTCTCAGGACATTAACAATGATACATGCTCTAATTTAGTCTAAATCTCCTGGACTGGAGTGAAATGGAAGAGTTCAGTATTTGGAAACAATGTTGTTGGAAGAATAATCCTGCATATATGGACATGTAGCATGAAATTTGAAGTGTAGTGCTGAGCACTACTATTTAAGGAGCCTCTGGTTTGGTGCAGATCTGAGGTCTGCAAGGAGTACAGTTGTAATCAAGCTTGTTTGGATCTACATTTGTACATGGCATGTACTATGACTGCTGCATGTTTCACTTCCTGTACTGTCTATACTGTGACTGCTGCATCTTACTCTGGCAACCTTACATATTCTTACAGGAAGACAGCTAGGTATAAAAAGATAATGCTTGAATACACATGTTTAGTTCCTGAAGTGGTTTGTACTGTATGGGATATTTTGTACAGTTTTGTAGCCATAATTATTGCAGAATTATAATCCTAATCCTAAGGCCTGTCTTACTCTTAACCGTGAACTTGATGGTGCTGATGACCAACATGTGTATTCTGAATGCAAGACCAATAGTACTACATGTATTTGGTATACTAGGTGCAATATTTGCTTGTTTTCTTTGTTGCTGTAGTCTTGTATTCGGTCATAAACTTTGTGTATGTTGTGATTGACTGCATACAGAAAGAAGAGATAGTAGTTTTCTGTCCACACTCTTATAAAGGTTGAGACCATGGCACTAACTCCCCCATTAGCCACTTAGTATCTTCCTAACAGCCCTCAGTGCTTGTGTGGTCTTTCTGTGGGCTGCATGTATCTATGGCAAGGGTGATTTGTGAAGGCTGTCCAAGAAACAAGTGTTTAAGGTGGAGTGGCCTTGCCTAAGTGTGGCTTTTTCCTCAGGAGGAGGCCAAGAAGAAGGAGGAGGAAGAAAGGAAGAAAAGAGAGCAGGAAGAAGCGGAGAGAGACAAACAGAAGGAAGAGGAGCCGCTCGACCCGCAGCTCGTGGCAGAGTTTACAGAGAACCTCCTGCCTGGTGGGTTCTCCTGTGGTTGTTTATTTATTCATTTAATAATCTTGAACAGATTCCATGGGAGCCTGTGACAGATGAACAGAATACAGAACTTAGGAGATTGTACAGTATGCATTGTTTGCTCTTCCTGCAACAACCAATGGAATCTAGATAGAGAAGCATGTGACTTATGTACATCCTGTGCTGCAGGTTGTCTGCGCCTGGTGGATGCGCTGCCTGACACAGTGTACCGTGTGTGTGATCTCCTGCTGGTGGCCGTGAAGAGAAACAACGCAGCCTGGAGGGACAAGATGCTGGTGGACGTGGCAGGACAGGTGACTAGGATACTGCTACAGCTTGATCCACTCCTACAAAAATTCTCCTGGAAAATGGTTCAATGAAACTTTGGATCCATTTTTATGGAACATACCAGATTGTTTTTGATTCTCTAACAGTTACTGTTACATTTTTAAAATCATATTGCCATTCAAAAGTTAAATCGCTTATTGTTGATAAGGCACAAGTTTGCACATGTTGAAGTTGTTCTCCTGTTCCCCAGATCCATGCCCGTGCTGTTGTGCTGCTGGAGGCAGCTGCACCTCTGCGAGCCGGTGATGACAGGACCGTCCAGGACTGGTCCAGCCAGCTGTCCAACCTGGCACAGGCGGCACAGCTGTCTGCCAGAGCACATCTCTTCACTCTGCTGTTTGAGGTGAGGGTGGAGAAGAGTAATTTGGTAGATGGATGGGAAGATGTGGTTGGGTAATATATGAATGAAAATGAATGACTAATTGAATCCAGATCTTAGTTGCATACCAGGACTTCTTGGTAATCTAACTTGCAGGTTGATGAAAATGGTTGTAGACTTCAGGATGGAGTAAGCTGTTAATTGTTACAGTGTCTAGGGACAATCATGTGAATACTGTATATAGCATCTGTCCTTGTTATGACTTCAGTAGCCTCAAACAGGAGTAAGACATGTTCTGATCCCCCCCCTCCCCTCCCCAGGAGCTGCGTCAGCCATGTGCCCAGGTCCTGGAGGACTCCGGCCTGGTGACAGTCCTGGTCAGTCTGTTGGAGACAGCACAGCAGTGCCTCTCAGCCTGCAAGGAGGCACCTACTCCAAAGTAAGGCACTGTTCTGTGGGAATCACAGCCAAGCATAGTTAGTACATACCAACCTGTGACAGTAGTAAAGCATATAAAGAAAATAATGCAAAAGTCAATCATGTTAAGTAACAAGTCTCTAAGTCTCTAAATGAGGAATGATATGATTACATGTCAGCCATAGAGGGTAATCAAACATAACATGGCTGAACATATAACCTTCTACCTGACTGGGATAGTGGTCATCATCACCACAGGAAACTATAGAAATCAAACTAACCTGGCTGCACACCCATTCCCCTACCATAGTGTACACACACGATGACAGGTGGGCATTACTGTGCAGCTAGAGAAACATGGTTCTCAGAAATCATCTCTCTGTCACATCATTGGGAGGGAGAATCAAGCTGGGACTACAGATCAACGTCCGTTTCCCCAAATTCCAGTCTTGTCATCTGGTATTTCAGAGATCGACTACGATTTATAGAGTACCCTTCTGTTGAATAGACAATCTCCCTTTGCAGTATGACCTTTGTACAACAAGCCCTGTGAGATATAAGAGTTTTGAGTCATGTGAGATGTGTAGTCAGATGAAGATGTACCATTTGTGTCCCCAGGTGGCTGGCACCTGTTGTGCTGCTGGTCGACCTGTACCAGAAGATGGCTGTGTCCAGCAAGAGGAGGAATGCCATCACCAAGGTAACAGCTGCTTACTAGCTCACCAGGACTCCCTGTAGAATCTCAGATAATTCTCTGACTCTCTGTTAGTCATGTTTCTCCTAGAGCTACAGTATAGTGTTCTGTCAGTGTTCCTAAGAAAGACAACCTCACTAGACTGATTTTACAGGAAGCCCCCATATTCATATTCATCTTCACCACTGTTGTGTGTGTTCCCAGGAGCTGGAGTCCCACACCTGGAAGTGGTTTGATGACAGGACCGGGCGATGGTGCAACTACAGTGCCAGTAACAACGCCACCATCGACCAGGCTTACCGGGCTGGGGAGGCCACTGTCAGGTAAGGGATCCTGGGGATCAATCTTAAATCTGTATAGTATAACCAGTAAACCACTTTTTACTCTTAGACTATCATTCTCAACCTGGAGCCCAAAAAAAGAAAATCTGTGACTTCTTGAGCAGTGGCTGCACACCCATTCCCCTACCATAGTGTACACACACGATGACAGGTGGGCATTACTGTGCAGCTAGAGAAACATGGTTCTCAGAAATCATCTCTCTGTCACATCATTGGGAGGGAGAATCAAGCTGGGACTACAGATAAATTTCTGTATCAACATCTGCATATTTGTAAAGTTTAAAATGAAGGTGAGAGCCTGGAGTTGAAGGAAACTGAGTCAGTTTTTGGAACGTTTCAGGTTTACCGCGGGCAGGCGACGTTACATCGTCCACTTCGGCACCATGGTGCAGATCAACGAGGAGACGGCCAACAGGAGACCCATCATGCTATCCCTCCCACCCAAGGACGACAAGGACAACAGCAAGGAGAAGGAGAAGATCAAGGAGAAGCGAGCCTCAGCCAAGGCATTCCTACAGAAGGTGGTGGGAACAGAACAGGCAGAGACTGAAGCTGCAGAAGAACAGAACACGGAGGAGAAGAAAGGTGCAGATCAGTTGTGCATGAAAGTGCTAAGTAGTAGCTGCAATAAAAGTAAATCTTTTAATTTTAGAGGTAAATTTACCTGGTTTAGATCTGTAGTAGAGCCTGCTATGTTGACCTCTCTGTTGACCTGCTAAACTCTGACCTTCCTGTTACACTAGAAGCTGAACAGAAAATGGAGACAGATGAAACTGCTGCATCAAAGGAGGAGAAGAAAGAAGAGGAGAAGAAAGGTGGGAAAAGGGGTTTCTGTTTTATTAGTGTCCTTGAGTAGCTTATTCCAACTGGTTGATGAATGATGTTATTGTCATTTACATGAACTTAGCAGGTACACAGCACTTGATGTTAGAAGCACTACCCATGCTGAAATCTTCTGTCTCTTTAGTTCCAGAGGAGGAGGTTAGACTGATAAAGGGCCTGGCATCAGAGCAGATCTCAACGCTGGTCAGGTGAGTTGTATCACCTGAAAAACCCTGTGTGAAATGTTTATTACAAAGAGTGTTTGTTTCTCAGCAAGTGTTAAGTTCAAATGGCTTATCAACATACATTCCTTTCTACACAACCAAATTAATGTGATCTTCTCAGCTGGCATGTATGTTTTATGCTTAACCAACCTGATGAGACTATTTACTGTCCATCTGTTCCAGGGCGTGTGTGGGGTTGATAGGGATCCCCGTAGACCCAGACACACTACACGCAGTGATGCGGCTGTGCCTGCGCTGCACCAGAGAACACCAGCACGCGCTCCAGTTCGCTGACCTCGGCGGGACCAAGCTGCTCCTGGACCTGAAGCAGTCTTCTGCCTTCACAGGCTTCAACGGGCTGGCGACGTTACTGATCCGACATGTGCTGGAGGAACCCAACACACTCAGGCACACCATGGAGAAGGTTTGTTTATCTATACTGGGCTTGTTGGAAGGTCTATTATGATAAGTGGTATGGTTGTGACAGGTAGACTTTAGCCCACTTTGTGCAACATGTACTGATTTTCAGTGGCAAGAATTTTGTTATATGTTTGTATTCTCTGTTCTCTGTTTGTGTTCCTTTTACATAGGAAGTACAAGCACATGCCAAATCAATAGTTAGACTTTTCCTTGAGAAGAAACTGAAGCTTAATATATCTTCCTCCCCCAGGCGGTGCGTGGGACTGCAGCTGGAGGTACGGGGAGTAACGTGCTTGGTGTTGCTGCGGGGAGTCTCGGGTCGAGAGAGTTCCACTACCTGCTGAGAATACTGGGCCCCGCGGCCTGCAGGAGTGCTGAACTGTTCCGGGAAACGGCGTGGAACGCTCTACGTATCGCACTGCCCCCTCCCTCCAGAAGGGGAAACCTAGGTGGGTTGATGACTGGTGTTCTACAGATCTGTTTGAATGTGTACATTCACGTTTATAGGTTTATAAAACGAGGAGACTTTTTTTGTTGCACTCAGAATATACAGGTTTACATGAAAATGTACTTAGGAGAAGACTTTTGATTGTGAAAATTTTTCTTTGCAGCCTCAGATGAAGAGGAGTACAACAGGGTTCTTGGCCCCAATGCTGTCCAGCTCCTTAAGACGGCATCTTCCAAGCCATTTGCACCTCCACCACTGGAAGGAGTCATCAAGGAGGTCATGTATGACCTTCTCAACGCGCTTGCTACTCAGCCAACAGAAACGAACACTGAGGGAGCCTCCAACACAGCAGAGTCGGACACAGAGACAGGGGAAGCTGTGATGAACTTTGGGAATGAGACGGGGACACAGGCCATCCGCAGACAGAACAGTGTAACAGAGCTGGATGGGGGTTCAGAGTATGACAGTGGCACTTACCAGGTAAGGGGCAGACCTTTATACTGTTGGTCATAGACAGAAACCTGCTTTTGTCAGGTGTATTAGAGAGACTGGGACCAAATTCATACAGCAAACCTTGATGAAAATAGAGCTGTTTACCAATTTGCCATACATTGTGTATCCATTACAACTATTGTACATTGAAGTTTATTGTTTTGTGTTTTTTTCTTCAGCTGTCCGGCAGTGACATCTTTGTGAGCGCCCCGAGCAGTCGTGCAGCCAGCACGGAGAACCTGGATCAGCAGGGCACAGAACCCGACGACAAGGCCAAGGACAAGACTGCTGCCGAGCAGAAGGCCAAAGCTGCAGCCAACCGGCCGCTCATGACCAAGTCTGCCATCCTGAAGCTGCTGGCTGAGCTGGTGCGCTCATACGCCAGCGTGGCTCTGCAGATCTCCCAGTACCACTACACAGCAGGCCAGGTCGACGGCATCAAGGAGGTGAGGCAGAGTCAAACTTACAACTTACAGAATAAATCATGACACTGGACAAACAGAATCTTTGGGCAATGATACAGGCAGGGCTTTACCCAATAGATACCTAGTTAAGTTCTACGGTGTGTTCACATCTGCTGCTGTTGGATTTTTGTTGATCGTTGCTGAAATTCCCACATGTTGATTTAGTTCATGTTTGTCATCATGGATGCAAAATCCAGCAAGTGACAAAATTTGAGTCAACATTGTTGATTTCTTAGTATTCACCAGCAAATTTGATGTTTCAGGATGGCACTGTGCTGGCATATGTGTTGGACAACCTGCTGCCCACAGGCACTGATGACAGTGACAAGGACACCCCGATGCTTGCGAGGACCCTGTTGGCTGCCATAGCGGCCAGTAACCACAGTCCTGACGCACAGGGACTGCTGGTACAGGAGGTCAAGGCTGCCCTGAGCAGGGCCCTGGCACTGCCCGAGAGCTCAGACAAGCACACACGCGTGCAGGCACTGGTGGGGCTTATAGGGACCATGATGGAGGCATGTCCACCTACAGGGGGCTTCCAGCAGCACCAGGTACCACTCGTGTTTTTACGGTACAAATTGGTTTTGAGATAGCCCATGGCCATTTGACCTAAGAACTGACCAAGAAAGGCCTTTGATGCTTTGCATGTGAAAGACAGCATTTTGGGCAAACATATAAGTAAGGGTTTATGTTACCTTTTTGTATTTTCCCCTTGACAACAGCAAGCCTTCAAGTCCCAGCAGCAGAACAGCATGAACAACATGATCCGGATCTTCCTACGACGTGGCCTGGTGACAGATCTGGCCCGGATTCCCCACAGCCTGGATCTGTCCAGCCCCAACATGGCCACCACGGTGAACGCAGCGCTGAAGCCGCTGGAGACACTGTCCCGTATCGTGAACCAGCCCAGCACCATGGTGGGGAAGGGTGGTGCCAAGGCGAAGGAGGGGACACAGTCTGCCACCGGCGAGGAGTCGGGAACCAGCCAGCAAGGTTTGTTTGTTTCGCAAGAATGAATTATCACAATGTGGAAGGGAGGGCAAAACACCTTTACACTTGCAAACATGAAAACAATAGAACAACAAGACTCTACAGTACAATATTCACAGAAACGTAGATTTAATATAACACTTAATTTGTGACGTCAATTACTCTTTCACATGCAGTTAAGATGTTCTGCTTGTGTTTCTTGTTTCCCTGTTTCTGTCATTGCCATTCTGATAGCTACTTTTAATTAGAATTTAATATGCTGCTGTCTTTTCATCATACCATGGTTTTAATGCGTCCCCTGCAGACACAGATGCAGAAACCCCCAGAACAGACGACGGAGAGCAGGGGACTCAGGAGGACACCCAGGCTACCAGAGGTAACGACTTGTGGGGATATGGGTCTTCTTCATTGTTTGAAAATTGTTGAAATTTGACAATTCAAACTGTTCTTTTTAGGGCATGAGACATTTTTGTGTCTCAGTAGTTTTTGTTCTTTATTTGAAATCACTCAAAACAGGACATTTTTTTGAGAGATGTAGACAGTAAATTTTGCCTGTCTGCCTGTCAGGTGAGGGTGAGGATAACGAGGGGTTTGCGGAGTCTCTTGAGGCGCCGGTGAGCCAGGAGAGCCACACCAACTCCATGCAGTACAGCGCTGACCTGGACGATGTGATCGACCAGCTGCTGGAAGGCGACACAGAGGACGACATCCTGGCAGAAACACTGATGGTCTCCTCCACACGCCGCATCCAGAGGGAATCCACTACAGGTCAGCAGGCTGCAGTTTGTAAGAAAGCTGTTAGGACTCCTTTAGCACTATGAGACTATCTATATTCTAAAAGAGATCCTAAAGTTCTGATGACTTCCCAAGTCTAATATGGGTAATGTGAGATTATTGGTGTATTTGCTGATAATATTTTTCATGCAAAAATTTATAGTCAAGCCTGTACAAGTGAAAGCATAGGGAGTCCACTACCTTGCCAATTAGATATTTTCCCCATTGACTCATTCAGAATCCTGTCTATAGTAACCACCTGTTCACATATAGCAGGTTTTATTGATGCTCTGAGTGGACTTTGGCAGTTTGACTGAACTCTCTCTCTCTGACATGTCTTTATTTGTTGCCGGCAGACTCGCAGGGCCTGGGAGATTCCCAGCTCACGCAGGATTCCAGGGATGGGGAGGACACGGAAATGGCGAGCGAACATTCGCAGGAAGGTGTGCGCAGAAATGGTAACACGTTCTGTTTGAACCTCGCGGTGCTTGTGGTGCACGTAAAGCAATGGTGAATGGCACAGCACTGCATGGGACTGGCCGGCTGCACAAAACACTTTTATTTGGCTTCTGGACTTTTTTGTTAACACTTTCTATTTTCGTGCCTTTCTATGTTGTAGTAAAGAAAAGCATTGTTTTTTTTACACTGCATTGGATTAGTCAGCTGTACACAAAACCTTTTTTCGTTCAGTTCCTAGTTCATTTAGCCCTGCACTTGCATGATTTGCCTGTCAAAAACTGCCATTTTGTTTCATCTGGTCGTTTGCTACCTTTTTAACTTTAGATACTTTCTTTTTTGCTGTTCTGTTTAGTTTTTGTGGCAGGAATTGAAAGCTACCTGACTGTTGAGCTACCAGCTTAGTCGTATTCTGCATGTGATTTTAAATTCAGAAAAAGATCTCATTCAAATAAATCTGCATAACAACACAGCTTGCATGCTGTGACTTTGGTAAGACTAAGAATGCTCATGTGGAATGTGGGTACACTGTTTTACATCTAACAGATGTGGTCAATGCATTTAGCCAAAAGACTTCTTTTAGCTGAAGTAAGTCGGTCGGAGATATGTGTAAAACCCAGCAGGCTGTACCTGAACTTATCCCTCTCCCTGCAGACATGGTGGTGGTGGAGTCTGGGGAGGAGGATCAGAACGATGATGATGATGAAGATGGAGGGTCCAGTGCCGACGACTCAGGCAGTGAGGAGGAGGATGAACATGATGAACAGGTGGGATGTTTCTTCATGTATATTTTTTTGTTAAAATACTAAGTTAAACTTAAATGTCACACTGACTTCTAGACTTTAGGCAACTTAGTTCATTTTTGAAAGTCAACAATTGCCAAGTGCAAATAAAGAAATCAATGAATGTTGTATGTTCAGGAGGAGGAAGAAGAGGAGGAGGAGGATGGGGATGAGGAGGATGTGGAAGATGAAGGATCAGAGATGGGGAGGACGTTTGACATAGATGAGTACGAGGATGACTCGCTGTTCCGCCTGCAGGAAGGAGATGAGGACCTGTTCCTCCAGCTGGAGGAGATGTTCTCTAACGCTGGTAAGGCCATGATAAGTCCATTGTTAAGATCACATCTTGTGGAGAGTTAAAATCTAGTGAAAAGGTGAAAATATTTGGCCATGATAGCTGCCAGTGATGTTTTCAAGTGACAGTAAGGCCAGTCATACAAGATTGTTTGTACCACATCCTTCTATCTGAACCTTCCAACCATATACAAAGTAGGAAAATTTTATTTTTTTAAAGCTTATACCTGGAGATATACCTGGAGTAAGGCCAGGCTAAGTCAGTTGTTTAAATGACATCCTCTGGAGACCTTAGATCTGATGCTTAACAGAAAAGTGTCACAGTTAAAAGGACAACCTTATTTCTTATGTTCATGAAGGGTATGGAGGAAGGATTCCATTTTGATTTACATTTTTGCTCATTTTTGTACAGTTTTATCACACTTGAAATATATTTTCTTATTTAATGGTTCTTACATGCTGATAAGTGTCAAGCTCTTACTTCAGTTTTGCTTACCAGTAATCTAAGAGCTGCTTCTGTGTATCTTTTGAATGTGCAGCATCTTTAGTGCAGCTGGCAGTGAAAAGTGAATGTTGAAAAAGCTTGCTTAAGCAGTATTTTTTTCCTAAAAACACCTTTGCTGCTTGATGTGTATAAATGTTCAGAGCTGCTATAACACTTCTGCTGGCTGCCAGGAGTGAAGAAGTTGGACCTAAACGCTGCTTGTTCTGACTGTGTTTCTCCCAGGCGAGGCTTACCAATGGGGGCTGCCGTCGTCCGTGCGCACATGTACATACCCGCTGCCCGTGGCTGTGCATGACGACAATGGTAATGATGGCTCAGGTAGACGCTGCTCTGTTCTCTCACGCTTCTTGTCGTGGAAGGCAGCATGCAGCTTACGTTAACCTGCCGCTCACTTCTGTTTCATTTCCTGTCTTATTTCATGTAATAAACTTCAACAGTTATGTTACTGTACTGTTTTTTGCCTGTTTAGTTTCTAAAGAAACCCTCTTGTCCAACACTCATTTTGTCCAGTATTCTCAGTACTGTATGTCCCAAAGTGTGGTCAATATTGCAGTTTTGTTTTCATCATACAGTGATGAATGTTGTTGCAGCAATGTTTCCAATTCACCAATTGTTGGGCTTGATGAGTATTTTTGTACTGTTAAAGTAGTTTAGCCCCTGTGCTCTTTGGTGTTCATGTATTTTGAAGGAAACTCCTGTGCCCATAATGAGCACATATTTTGATGTTGCTAAAAGATTAAATTTTGCTACATGTAGCTAAGCCCCTGTGTTGCGGTTCGTGTATAATGTTACATGTTGAGAGTATTACTACATGTAGCTAAGCCCCTGTGTACTGGTGTGTATTTGAAGGAAACCCCTCCGTCCTCCCAGCTCCGTCCATGAGCATTGCGGTGAGCCACCCCCTCATGGTCCGCCATGCCGACCACAGCCAGGTGGCCGGGATCGTCACCTCGTCTGGGCGCGTGCATCGGCTGGGACGAACCGGGCGGGGCCACCGCCACTACGTCCCCGCCACCCAAACCATCCACGTGCACTACTCCGGCGGCACCAGGCCTCAACCACCTGCCATTCTGCAGAGGTGAGGATGTCAACTGTTAGGACAGGCAAATTTGATTTGTGTAGAAAGAAGCAGTAAAGTTTTCAATTCTGAGGTTCTACTTCATTCTATGTTGTGCACCCCAAATTTTTTCTGTGCACCAAAATTTTGAGGTTAGACCAGTGCACATGCTCCCAAGATTGAATGTGGAGCCCTGCATGTGATAACTGTCTTCATGTTGCCCCAGGTTACTGGGCCCCACAGCAGCAGCAGATGTGCTGCAGCTCACCCAGCAGACCGGCCGGCAGTACGCTCGAGTCTTCATCGGTGGAGATGACGTCCGTGTCATGGCAGGACAGGAGGACGACATCTTTGATGACCTGCTGAACGAGGGCGGTAGTGGCGGGTTCAGCGACGCTGCGCCCAGTACTGGTGCTGGGCTGCTGCAGAACGTGCTGACAGCACAGAACCGGTGGGCCGAGGAGTGTCGGGTACTCGATGGGGACGGCGTGCACCATGTCATCGCTGGTCAGTCATTACTGTCATATTGTTTCCTTCATGGTTTTCATAGAGTGACAGAATGATTCAGCTCCACTGTTTTAAATTTCGGCCTCCCCGGACCTACAGAAAAATCTATATTATATCTATATTAGTAGGGAGAGCTTTGAGATATTTCTTCCCACAATGGCTTACAAACTGCATAATTTTAACTGTAACAGTAGTCTTAACCCTTGTTAAATTGAACAGTCCCTTTGTTATGTTCCTTTTTATGTGATTCCTTTCATTCTCTTTATTGGCCTTAGTGAAAGTGCTCCTTGTCCATGGTTACTTCTTGTTTCAAAGTTTGTTCCCTTCTCCTTCCACAGCTGTGAAGAAGTCAATCCTTGAGAAGCTGGAAGAACACTGCAAGAAGGAGCTTGAGGAGCGTCAGGAGAAGAAGAAGAAACAACAGGAGGAGGAGGACAAGAAGAAGGAGAAGGAAGAGGAAGAGAAGAAGAAAAAGGAGAAAGAAGCCAAAGAGAAAGGAGAGACGTCAGGGCCTGAGGGTCGGGATGGGGAGGCCATGGAGGTGAGACGAAAACAAGACATTCCCAGTTCTTACTCTTGTCATGCAAAATTGGTAATCTGAATGGTATTGATGTAACAAGGTGGAAAAGATTCCTCATGCATGACTCAACTTATTAAAAGATTAGAAGATTAGATTTATTTAAATTTGACCCAACCATGTATGTTGGTTATTGATCAGTGTTGTTTCTTCCCAGGTTGGAACCTCCGAGTCCACAGAAACGTCAGACTCCACCTCCACCCTGCCTGGGTCCCAGTCACAGGCTTCCATCGTTGCCGAGATTATTTCTGCTGTCGGCGGGCTGGACAGCAATGGGCTGGAGCCCAGCACTGAAACGGCAGAGCAGGTGCCAGAAGGGTCCACTCCATCCAGGGGGGAGGCAGCTAGCACTGAAGCAAGCTCAACAGAACCTACCACATCTGTACCCACAGCTGTTACAGCTTCTGCTGCGTCCCCCGCTCCTGTCGTGGCACGGTCCTACAACGTGTCGGTGACCCCTTCCCTTCCGTTTCCGAGTGACTTGCAACAACTGGTTGAGGAGGAAACTGCACGACAGACAACAGAGGAGGGGTCAACATCACAACAACCTGGAGAAGAAACAGTACCACAGGTTTGTGTTTTGTTTTTTCAACTTGTTTGTACACTGTATTTTTTCATCACCTTTAAAGTTTGTTTTATTACATGTTTAAGATTTTGACGGTAGCAATTATTTAGAAGTTCAGATTCCAGCTCTGAAGGTCAGGGCAGGGAGAATGTTGTGGTTTTGTGCAAGAAGTTCCAACATAGAATGATGTTTTAATGTTTATGTAGGTTGCTGGGTTCCTCCCTGCTCCCATGGAGACAAGTAGCAGCACAACATCAGGACAGGACGATGTGACCACGTCCACGGACAGCTCCGTCAGCATCAGCCCCAGCGCGGGAACAGACGCAGCCATGCCCATGGACACGTCGGAGGCAGCCGTCAGACAGGAGCCAGGACAGCGGCAGGGCAGCGCAGACAGCGGGACGTCAGCAGGGACAGGAGTGACAGCAGAGGGAGGGGAGGCAGAACAGGCTGCTGCTCAAACTACAGGTGGGGACAGTGGGCACATGTGTCAGTCATGGATATTAACAGTCAAGATTTCAGCAAAGCTTGTAGGCATTGATTTGTTTGTGATGTAATGGTGGGAGGAGCCAAATGTTTGGGGTAAGCAACAACATACGGTGTTGAAAATGTTTCATCAAATGTCATCAGCTCATGTGTGTGTAATACAGTTACTGGTTTGATTTTGATATGACTGGGGAAGAACAAATAACATACTATGCGGCAAATGCTCTACATGTTGTTAGCCTGTTTCATATGTGTAATGCTAGGTCTATGGGAGACTGAACAAAACCAATAGTGGTATCACATCCAGGCTGTCTTGGTGCACTGCTACACATGGCTGGTGGTGATGGTGATGCTGCTGCATGGCAACAGTTCCTGCTTTGATTTGCGAAATTGACCAATCTGTGATTCTGGCCACTGATGAGTCATCTCTCTTGATGAGTGAAAACTCAATGAAAATCTTCCTGTTCCAGCTTTGTCTGAGGCCAGACACGAGACACGCTCATCCCTGTCCTTATCTATCTGCTGTTTCTTTTTCTCTGTGATTTTGAGCTGTAATTACAGTCTAGCTGCATGTGGCTGGACAAACTGAAGTGCCTTTGTAACATCCTTTTGATCCTGCATGTCGTTTCATTTGGGTGAAAATAAGGTACAGAGTCAGATAAAATCACCACAGGTCTATGGCTTAAAAAGGTTTTAGTTGAGGCCTGAAGTTGACGAGAGTTTTTTCTTGTGGCAGACGGGGAGCGCAGTGGCACAACGAGTGGTGCAGACTCCCAGCCCAGCACCAGCACGGGCACCACGGAGGGGTCAGCCTCCAGCTCAGAAACACCCACGTCAGAGGGTCAGAGTGCCGCCAGCACAGCGGAGACAACACAGGCAGGCCCAGGCAACGAGGAACTCAACTCACTGCTGGGATGTAAGACTGCGTATAAGAGATTTTACTTACATTAGAAAAGTCTATTAAAGGAGACCAAAGATACATTTTATAACTCAGCTGGCAAACGAGTTTAGGACAGTACTGAACATTTGCTGTGTGTGAATATCCATGGTGAGATTATTCGTATGTTATACATCAGCGAGACATGATTACACAGAGTATTTTAGAAGTTGTAAAATGGATAGAAATTGATGGATGGTTGAATTGATAAATGGTTATATTTTGTAATTTTTTACCTATAATATCATATAGCAGGGGCTGTCAAAAAAAGAGTAAATATTGATAGATGAATTAAAAGATGAACAAAACCTCCTACAGCTGACGTGCAGCTTCCTGAGGGCGTTGACCCCTCATTCCTGGCTGCACTTCCCGAGGACATCCGCCAGGAGGTACTGCGCACACAGCTGGGGATCAGAAGAACGCCCCCTACAGCCCAGGCGGGGAACAGCAGTGGGAGCAGCAGCAGTACAGCTGCACCTGACAGTGTGCAGGTCAGCCCAGAGTTCCTGGCTGCACTGCCACCTGAGATACAGGAGGAGGTGGGAAGCATTGGTTTTACATTCTCGACAATTTTAACACTGGAAATTTAGTCTTACTTTTATAAGTCAAATACATGTATAACTGAATTCATTGTCACAGAAGCATAGTATATGTACAGTGACAAACCTGCTACCTAACCCCATTGCCAGTACAAATTTTGGTGCCAAATGACTACTTTAACAGGGAGAAAGACAAACATGCGTCTGTAGATGCAGGAAGAGATGAATATATTCTTGTCCCTGCAGGTTTTACAGTATGAGCGGATGGAACAGCAGAGACTGGAGGCCCAGAGAGCAGCAGCTAACCCTGAACAGCCTGTAGACCCTGCAGGGTTCATACAGAACCTGCCCAGCTCACTCAGACAACAGGTCCTGGCAGATATGGTGAGTCAAGTCCATGGGGAGCATTGGAGGGGTAACTGGGGGTGGGGAAGCAGTGTGTGTGTATGTGTATGAGTGTGTGTGTGTGTGTGGATTACAAGGGTGTGTGTGTTTGATAGCCAATATTGAAAGGACACAGTTGCCAGGCCTTGACCTGAAGTTTTCTGACATGTGTGTGTGTAGATTGTGTTGAAAGCTCCTCTGTGCCCCCAGGATGACACAGTGCTTGCCGTGATGCCCCCGGAGATCGCGGCGGAGGCGCGGAACCTGCGGCGGGAGCTGGAGGAACGACACCGCCAGCTGATGCAGGAGCGGCTCTTCAGCGCAGCAAGCGGTAGCGTGCTTTCAGCTATCCTTAGGACTTCAGGCAAGAACCATGGGCTGCTGTTGGTGCACAGAAGCCAGGCCTTGGCACATGGTTGTAGCCCCAGTAAAATGTTTGAGATGCTGCCTGTTGATTTGTGAGAGCAAAGGCAGCCCCCCCCCCCCCATCCCAAAACAGACCAAGTCCATTTGAAACATTGTTACAGCTGCAGAAAAATACTGCCTGTTAACTCAAAAAATGATGTCAGTTCAAATATGTTTGTGTTGTAGCCACAGAAAAATGTTTTAATCCAACAGTGGATTTAGTTAGTACAGACGTACTAAAATCCTGCAGGCAGTGCCAAAAAGCATATACAGAACAACTGGTCCAAAATGCTGGTATCCTCGGTACAGGCAGCTCACAAACCAAGTAAATCTGTAGGAACGTTTTCTGTTTTAGATGTTGCCTGTTTTGAGATGATTTTAATGGTTTGTTACAATGAGAATTGGGGGCAAAGTTTTGATGTAACTTGAACTGGATGCTGCCTAAGGATTCATTGTAGAGCTGGCAGCTGAGAAAAAACAGTTAAATTGACTACAGAGGAGTATGTATTTGCTGTGGAAGTTGAACTGACTTGTGTGAAACTGTTTCTATGGGCTGATTAACCAGTTTGTTGTCCCAGATATCAGTCCATTTGAAAGCTGTGAGCAAACTGTCATTTTGGCAATTGGAGGTTTTAAGTTTCTCCAAAAGGGGCTTATTTCCCTTGCCAATTTATTTGACGAAATAAGCACAAACAACAGCCCAGTTTTGTTTTTTTTCTTGTCACTTCTTGCCACTTAGAAGCTTGTTCTGCTTTGATTTCTTCTTTCTTCCTTTGGCTAAAGTTTGCTTTGCAAAACTGCTGACAAGCCATTATTTTTTCCTTACTGCATAAAAAATACTGCTTCTTTCTACAGTCATTTTTATCTGCCAGCACTTGCCTCAGTATGGCTTACATGTAGATGTTTTAAATGTTTTCTATTGAAAATTTCTGCCATTTTACACTAGTTGGTAAGTTTTCTTCCTGAATTACCAGTTCTCATGGTCAAATAGTATTTCGCAAATGCCCATCCATTTTTTACCACTTAAATGATCATCAAAACATCAGGCACCTTTCCAATAATACTTAACAGGCAATCATGTTGTTTTCATGTATAAGTGATTTGACTTGTACATGATCAACATATATATCACTGCACTGCAATTACAAATGAAGATGAAAATTTCTTATATTTCTATTTCCATAGTCCTAAGTGACATGTTTTTCCTTGAGTTTTTCATTGGAGAAGTCTGTTCTTTTACACAGCCTCAGTATTTTCCCTGCCTTCATCAGGGCCAGATGAACTCTGTGACATCATTCTTGCTAAACCACTGCCTTCGGGCAAGAAGTCCCGACAAGAGATCTGCCCAAAGGAAAAATACTGAGGTTGTTTAAAAAGAACTCTGTTCTTCATTGTCCTGCCCACCTGATGAACCTATATAGGGACAAACCATTTTTACTATCTGGCCAGAAGTAAACATAGATTTTGTTGGTGTTCTGCAGGTTTGGCCAGTCGGCTGGGAGGGAGGGGGATCCACTACATCCAGTCAGCCCTCCCACAGCACCACAGGAACACCTGGCGCTGGGGCACCCAGCACAACCGGGCAGCAACTGCCACTACTGCCAACCAGGTAATACAGCAACCAGCAACTAGACATTGTGTAGGTATAGTAGGTACTCAACAAAACCAGCTAGTTACCATAACTGTGCCAACCAGGTAGAGCAGTAGTCAGGAACTGTATGTGGTGTAGCTATGTGACTGTGTGTTTTGCCTGGCCTTTGGTAGTGTTCGGCTTATATCAGAAAGGTTTCTTGTCCTTAGGATATGGGAATTTTATTTTTATAAAGAAAGAAAAGTTTTCCAGTTCATAAAACCTAATCAGTTATATCATAGTAAGATTATGATATTATTTATGGAAACATTTATTGTTATCAGTTTATATTTTCATGATTTAAGATTAGATTTTCAAACTTCTATTTTTCCTTTGCCCCATTTCTCCAATCTTTCCTGTTCCAGGTTCGTCTGCGAGGCCGTCAGCTGCTGGACCACGAGGCGCTGGCCTGCCTGCTGGTCTTGCTGTTTGTGGACGAGCCAAAGCTGAACACCAGCCGGCTGCACCGTGTGCTGAGGAACCTCTGCTACCACAACGGCACACGCATGTGGGTGGTGCACGCACTGCTGTCCATACTGGACCGCACGGGAGACAACTTGTGCAAGGTACGTCACACGTTGGGTAGAAAGACCTTTTTTAAAAATGTAAGTCCATTAATGAACCCTGCCTAACTTGAACTCTTTTCTGACATGCTAATAAAAGATGCCTATGACATTTCAGCCCCTGGAGATCACTGATGGTTCAGAGAAAGGTTCGGGTAAGAAGTCTCGTCCTTCCAGTTCCACGTCCCAGGACATGGCTGTGGACACACGGACCTCCCAGCCGTCCTGGCTCTCCATAAGTCTGGACGCAGCCCTGGGCTGCCGGGCAAACGTTTTCCAGATACAGAAGGTTGGCGGGAAGAAGCACGTGGAACGACACAGTGGGGCCGTCCATATACACCCGCAGGCTTCCCCCATCGTATGTAGACACGTCATGGACACTCTCATCTCTCTAGCCAAGGTTTTCCCCGGACATTTTATCCCTGGAAAGGCCAGGGAAGCTGGGACCTGTTCCACTAGTAGTAGTAGTCAAACCCAGGCTAACAAGGTAAAAGAGACTCCAACCACAGCAAGTGTTGCAAACAAAGTAGGTAGCAGTAAAACAGACACAGACTTCTGGGACGTTCTGGTTAAGCTGGACTCCATGAGCGTGGGGAGGAAAGGGAAGGGCATGGCCAAGTCTCACGCGGGAACCAGCACGAGTGACGGGGAGCAGGGCGGGGAGAGTCTGGAGACCTCGCCCCTGGGCCTGCTGCTGCAGATGTTGGCCCACCCTGTGATACGGCGGAGCTCGGTGCTGACAGACAAGCTGCTGAGGTTGTTATCCCTGGTGTCCATCGCACTGCCTGAGGAGATGAAGAAGGCAGAGGAACAGGCGAGAGAAGAGGCAGCCAGGAGAGAGGACAACAGGACAGAGGAGTCTGCTGCAGGTAGAATACACTTCAGTTTGATAGTCCTTTTTTCAATGCTGTTATCAAAATTGTTAAGTTCAGAATTTTTGTTGTCTTTGCGAATTTCTGGAAAGTTAGAAAACAGCCAAAAACAGAGTTTTAAAAACAAAGCTTCATTCTTTGTTTCATCATTGGCCTCTTTGTTAGGTTGGTAATTTATCATGATGCTGTGATTTATGTGGGCTTTTGGATAACTGTTCATGATCTTTTCTTCCTCCCTTCAGAGTCAGGAGCAACTGGAGGTACTGAGGCAGCTGCAGTGGAACAGAGACCAGCAGAACAAACAGGTAACAACAATAACCAGTACCCATAGTAATGCTGCAATAGTATGTCTGATGCTGACATTGTGACTGTTGGAGACTCATTCCATTGCAGCACTTTCCTACATCAAAATTTGGGGCTGAATTGTATATTGCTGAGATTGGTCTGCAAGGTAACTGTCCCTGGTGCTGACACTATTGCTACTGTTCTTTTCCAGCTACTGTACAGTCTGCACTTGAGCTGGTGCCAACAGCAACCTCCACCCCCTCCCCCACCCTGAGCCGGAAGGACACAGTAACCCCCCGCCCCACCTCAACCTCCTCAGTCTTCGATGATTCTGCAGGGAGAGCAACAAACATCATGCTGGAGAAACAGCTCCAGCTGGCTGTAGATGTAAGTACTGGCTAAAAACAGTTGGACACCGAGGGATATGTCATTAATTACACAGCCAATAAAGTGAAATCATAGAAAAACTTAAAAAACATAGGTCAGCAATCGATAAATTGATAAAGCCGTTAAGTCTTTTCTAACTGGATAATTGAAAGTTTAATGCGTAAACGTTTCAAGTACCATCCGGTACTCTTCATCAGTACAAATGTAGAGGAAATAGTGAGGGATAACATTTTCAAATGTAAAACTTTTCTGCAGATGGCCACAAGATATATAGCTTTTAACACTCTTCCCGTGATTTAGAAGCTGATAAACTTTTAAGTCCCGCTCCTGTTCAAAGGAAGGTGATACCTGTCCCTGGTGCTAATGTTGCTTCACCTGTCCTCAGTACTGATGTTGTTGTTGTTGTTACAGATCCTGACGTCCCATTCCTGTTCAGAGGAAGGTCTGGAGGACGCCACCAATGTGCTGCTGCAGCTGTCCAGAATAGACAACCAGACCCGAGAGTCTGTCCTCAAACTGCTTCTCCAGGGGGGCAGACAGCTGGGTTAGTACTCACACCAGGGGTGTTGGTTAATCTGACAATAATGATCAACAAAGATCTTGATCAGCATGAGAGCAGGGAAAGTTGATCAATGCAGGAAAGAATTGTGATCTTAACAGATCATGGTTTGATTTGAGATAATCATTGTTAAACAGTAGGAAAAGTAAAAACTTAAATGCTTGCTTAACTTTGCATACAAATACAGTAGTCTTGATGACTTTTTTTGGTAAAGGAGTTCTGTGTTTTATGGTAAATGTCATCCCTGACTTTTCTTCCCGCTTTCTCCCAGGCCACACACTGTGTGAGCAGATTTTCCAGCTGCTGCAGGAGGTCAGAGATCACATCTCCAGACTAAAGCAGCAGGGAGCGCCCGGGGCAGAGGGAGGCATGGAGGAACTTGTCTCTCCAGAGGAGGGGGCCGGCACATCACAGGCCAGACAACGAGGAGTCATCTCCAACAGGTAAAAACTTAACTGGGAACATAAGGTTGCCAGGTGGGAAATACTTTGTAGTATTGTCTTGAAATATTAGTAGAAATGGTATTGAACACAGTTGATGATGACAGAATTGCCATGAACTTGATTAGAGAGCAGTATAGTTGTTGCTGCTGCTTCGGCGAAGGGTTGATCAGAGAGCCAATGCCTCCTTCCCTCCAGGTTTGACAGCCAGATGGTTGTTGTTGCTGCCCCCACCAAAGTGAAAGGAGGTCGGGAGCTGCAGCTGCCCAGCATGGCCCAGCTCACCAGCAAGACCTCCACCCAGAGCTTCTTCCTCCGCATCCTTAAAGTCATCATCCAGCTACGAGAAGCTGCCAGGAGAGCTGTCAAGAAGGCACGGGATGCAGAGAAAAGACAAGGTGTGGAAGCTTGCTTTGTTGCCAATTAGCTGAAGGTCGTATGTCATTGATATATTCCTTGCTACATGTGTACCTGATGATGGTTGTTGTGAATCACTTGTTGGAGGGAAGAGAAATACATGTTAAGTACTTTGCCATGCTTTTTTAAAATTTTCCTGATGTATGATAAAGACAAGGTAAATGTATCTGTTCAGCAAACATTACTTGTTGTGTATGCTGTAGTAAGTGTTCTGTGTTGCTGATGTGAAATGGCCTCCACAAGTTGGGCAGGAAAACTGTACCACCTGCAGTTGATACAGGAGATCCTTTAAACTCTCCTGCTGAGGAATTTGGTACTGGGTTAGGCAGCAGGGAGAAGGTTAAGGGAAGAGTGGATAAAACACTACAGGTTTAGGTGACACAAAATGAAAGTAAGTCTGCTGAAGTATGTCATGCATTGCTGATCAAAAATAGCCCCTTCAAGGAAACTTCCTTTTGTTTCAATTCTATGAAAATGTTTTGGAAATACTGCGGGAAAAATCTGCAGCACATTTGTGTAGTTTGGTTGCTGCGGATGTTTAGGTTTCGAGTCCAACGAAATGTAACCCTGCATGCACAGGAGGCCTAAACATCAGCACCACAGCATCAAGCATAGCTTCGGCTGTTTCAGCGTTGGAGGCGGAAGCCGAGGCTATCATTGAGATGGTGGGAAGGAGGGAGCGAGAGAGACTGCAAAGGGAGAACTCTGCACCAGCAGCACCAGGCACGGCAGCAGCAGGGGCATCCACCAGTACTGAGGGTCAGGCTGAAGCGGTAAGGTCGTCTCTTTTAATGAAGCACTTATTGAATTTCTTAATCTTAAGTAACATGTGAAGCATAATATGCCATCTATCCAGTATCCATGATGAGTTTTTGTGCTTGAGATGTAGACCTGCATGTTTCTTCCTTCCCCAGACCGCAGCCTCAGCAGAAGAGCCAGCAGGCCCTGCCCTGGGTGACATCATCGGGGAGGTGCCCATGGACCTGGAGCAGCAGGCAGCTGGGTCAGCAGCATCTACAGCTGAGGACACTCCTGCACAGGCCGAGGAAGTACAGCCAGCAGGGAAAAAGGAGGTCAGGAAACATTCATTTTATCACTTTCTAACCTTCTGGAGCTCCTCCAGGCTCCTACTTTGTTTTGGTTATAGATTAAAGCTGGGGGAAGATTTAGACCAAACCACGACAAACACTTTAACCTTTGTGCTATGTGTATTTCCTCCTTTTCTTTGACTTTTTGACTTTGACAAGAGCTTCCTTAACTTCATTATTACTTTCTATTTTGTCTTAGGATCCCGAGGAGCCTGAGTTGCCGAGGCTGAGCAGTCAGCTGACCCTGGAGGAACTCTGGGATACGCTGAGCGAGTGTCTGACAGCGCTATCAGACACGACGGACCATCACGCGGTTCTCGTGCTCCAGCCCGCTGTGGAAGCTTTCTTCCTCGTGCACGCTGCAGAGAAGGAAAAGGAGAAGAAGGCAGGAGAACAGAGGTGGGTTGTTAACCTCCACCAAACAGTCTTGTTTCACTAGCATTTCTGTTCAGGATATTGAAAAGTCACAAATGAAGTTTTTGTTTTGGGTATTGGTTTACACAGGGGAGAGGGAATAAGACTTGAGGACTGGTCATCATTAAGATCCAAGAATTTTTGAAGGCCATGAGCACAGGACACTGTAAATTGTCTACCACTTGTTTCTGAAACACATTATTTCCCCATTGTTTGCTGCAGACAATCGGAGAGGCAGCGACATGACAGCCATCTCAGTGACCACGCGCCCATGTCACCGCTCCCAGCCACACCTGCAGACAGTGGGTCCAGTCTGGCACGCCAGGAGTCTGTTGCCTCTGTGTCATCTGTAGCAAACCTCACCGGGCTTCCACATGACACACAGAAGTTCCTCAGATTCGCAAGTCAGTCTCGTGACCTTTTTGTTCCTACTGTATAACTATTATTCTGTCTTAGAGTTCAGTCTTCAAGTCTGCTGACTTGTAGCACATTACAATGTAATCATCAACTCTAATGGTTTAGTTGACTTTTAGTTCCCTTTGTTGATAGGCAATGAAATGAATTGTTTTGAACTCTGCCCAGTTTTCAGCATTTCATATCTATTTGTGAGGTAAATTTCAGTGCTACTAAATTCCTTTTTTGGTTGTTCCCCTCCCCAGAGACCCACCGCACCGTGCTGAACCAGATCCTCCGCCAGTCCACGCAGCACCTCGCTGACGGGCCGTTCTCTGTGCTCGTGGATCACACACACATCCTGGACTTTGATGTGAAGCGGCGGTTCTTCCGGCAGGAGCTGGAGCGGATGGACGAGGGGATCCGGAGAGAAGACCTGGCCGTGCATGTCCGCAGAGATCACGTGTTCGAGGACTCGTTCCGCGAGCTTCACCGCAGAACACCGGAGGAGCTGAAAAACAGGTGCATTTCTCTTTGTTGCCTTCAAGTTGTGTGAGACTGCAACACCCATTACTTCAAATTCCTTCCATAATTATGCATTGTGGAATTCTTAATTTTTCATATGGTGTAATCTTGAAGAGCTAGTTTTTGTAGTTACAGCAGTTTCTTTGCAATGTACTCCAGTGTACAGTATTGCATTGTACTCCAGTGTACAGTAGCCTGCAAAGTCCTACTTGAAGTGAAGTAAGTGTTGGTTTGTGGCAGGTTGTACATCGTGTTTGAGGGGGAGGAGGGCCAGGATGCCGGCGGGTTGCTAAGGGAGTGGTACCTCATCATCTCCAGGGAGATCTTCAACCCCAACTATGCCCTCTTCACTACATCACCAGGTAAAGAACAAACTCTTCATTCGCCTGGTAACTTTGTTCATACCTCTGAAGAAAGCTTATTGTGTTTGGTGGGTCATAGCATACATTGCCATTGCATGTTACATGCTTGTTTATTGTGATGTGTGATGATGATTCATTTATAGGATTGGCAGTATAGTTTAGTCTGTCGGTGTGGGACCCAGCATGTCGTAGCCTGCTTTCATGTTGCAACGAAAAACTTGTGTACCTAAAAAGCTCTTACTCATTGGACAGAAATTAAAGCATTTTACACAAACATGCTTTGCTCGGACTCCTATTTACTGTTTGCCAGTTGCCAAAGAAAATGGAACATGCTTATAGTTAGTATTTCTTTTTTTTGCTTATAGTTAGTATTTCTCTTTTTCATTTCTTAGTATAGAAACAAGATCAGTTAGAATTTTTCCCTCATTCCCAGGTGACCGTGTAACGTACCGACCAAACCCCTCGTCACACTGCAACCCCAACCACCTCAGCTACTTCAAGTTTGTGGGGCGCGTCATCGGCAAGGCTATCTACGACAACAAGCTGCTAGAGTGTTACTTCACACGCTCCTTCTACAAGCACATCCTGGGCAAGAATGTCAAGTAAGACACTTTCACAAAATATTTGTTTGTTTCTTCTCATAACACTTTGGAGAATTCTTGTGTGGAAGACAGAATCGAAATGTAGTTTGCCATACTTTGCCCTTTGTAAGATTTTTTCCTTTGATGTCTCCCTTTCCCCCTGTAGGTACACAGACATGGAGAGCGAGGACTATCAGTTCTACCAGGGTCTAACCTTCCTGCTGGAGAACAACATTGAGGAGTCTGGTCTAGAACTCACCTTCAGCACAGAGGTAGGATGTGCACCAGCTCTCAGATATGTGTTTTAAGTTCTTTCCTGCTTTCTCATGTCAATATAACCCGGGTACATGTACTGTTAATGTTTCTAATAATGCTTGTCACTATTACTGTATAAGGAGAGGACAGTAAGCAGTCCTTGCTTGTGCCCAGTTCTCCCAAAGCAAAATGAATAAATGAATGGACATTGTGTTGTTCTGTCTGTGTTTAGATCCAGGAGTTTGGTGTGACAGAGGTGCGTGACCTGAAGCAGAATGGTCGCAACATCACTGTTACGGAGGAGAACAAGCACGAGTACGTCAAACTGGTGTGTCAGCTCAAGATGACTGGATCCATCCGCAAGCAGATCGACGCCTTCCTGGAGGGATTCTACGAGATCATTCCCAAACGACTCATCTCCATATTCAATGAACAGGTGAACCTTTTTTTTGTGTTCTCTTTTTTTTTACATTTCCACAATTTCTTTTACCTTTTTACTTCCTCTTAAAGGTGTTCATGCCTGTGTTTTGTCATGTAAAGAAAGCTTGTGTCTTATGGTATAGACATGTTCAGGAAAATTTCCTGTATCAGTTAATCATTCTATACTTGACTGTATTTCCCCAGGAACTGGAACTGCTGATTTCAGGTCTGCCCAACATTGACCTGGATGACTTAAAGGCCAACAGCGAGTACCACAAGTACCAGAGTAACTCCCTGCAGATCCAGTGGTTCTGGAGAGCTCTTAGGTCCTATGATCAGGTCAGTACCACAGAAAGATACACCAGCAAAGTACCACTGTTCATCATCAGGTCAAGGTTTCTTGATCCAGTCCCGGTACACTGCTGGTGTACAAAATGTCTATCCTTGTTTTAACCAGAAGAGTATATTTAGATGATTAGAAACTGATATCTCACCTACATGTATGTTTTAGTCATGTAGTGATGAATCCTTCTGTGCTCCCATTTCTAGGCGGACCGTGCCAAGTTCCTGCAGTTTGTGACGGGGACGTCCAAGGTGCCCCTGCAGGGGTTCTCCCACCTCGAGGGGATGAACGGAACACAGAAGTTTCAGATACACCGTGACGACCGCTCCACCGACAGGCTGCCGTCTGCACACACATGGTAGGGGCACCTTTGCTCTCCTTTCATGCAGTGTAGACTCACTAGTTGGGCATTACTGTGTGCCTACACGTCAGTAAGGTTCTCTAATGACTTCTATTGATCTTACAAAGATTAAGAAAGGTCAGACAAATTTGATTTATTGCTTTTCTGACTTCAAGAAATACTCTAGTGGTAAACTTGAAAATCAACATAAAAATAAGTCTAATGGGAAAGTCTGTACTATGATACACATACTTTCAGGGATCGGGAGTTGGCATAGCCAGATGATTTTCTCCAAGCCCTCCCTTTTCATCTTGTTATCTTGCTTAATCTTTTACTTTTACAACAAAGTGTTACTGGTAATGTTGCCTGAGTTTCATGTACTTTTTCCTTCCTTTTCCCACAGCTTCAACCAGCTGGACCTCCCTCCCTATGAGACATATGAGAAGCTCCACTATATGCTCAAGATCGCCATCCAGGAGTGCTCCGAAGGCTTTGGCTTCGCCTAACACCCCTCCCACACCTTCTGCCCTCCTTGTTGCAGAACTATTGATATGAAGTACACAGTAGCCCTCTGACCCTGCCACCACCCCAGACCTACAGACTTACAGTGGCTGTTGGAGGCTCGAAGTTTGGAATGTTGCCACATGTATGTATGTGTACAGCTGTCATGTACAGAATTGGTGACGCTAGGACTTCCGTACGACATATGCTAAAAATTTGACAGTAAAAATGTTCGACCATGTTGTTTGTCAGACATAAAAAATGCTAATCCAAATGGCCGCCCCCCTCTCCACCCTAGATACTTATATACAATGGAGACTGTCACAAAGGGGGAGGGGGGCAGTACAGCTTACTAAACGACGTAACTTCCAGCAGTGGACACTGGGAGATGAAGTCAGCATTGAGGATCTCAGGCAATAACGTTGCTGTTACATGGCCATGGTGCGTCAGTAGTTGACACAAGTATTGATCCTAGTAGCTAACTTCAGACACTAGTTTTGTAAAGAGAGATGATACCTTGGGTGGGTAAAGAGGAAGAAGAGACACTTGACTATGTCCAGTGCGTTCAAAGCATTTTGCCTGAATTATCTTGGTTGTATTTAAGATTCCGTGGTTTAGTAGACGTAGCTCTGTTGAATATAGGTGTTTTTTCACCTTGTCTAAGAGATAAAATTGCACTATAAATGATGAAAGGTTCATATGTTGAAACTTCGATATTATGAAGATATATGTATTGGAAAAGATGTTGTTGCTTATAGGCTTATAGATGTAAGATAGCTTGGACGCAACTTAAGACAAGCAGAAGGGCACAGCCTCCAAATTCAGAGATTTTTCATTTTTTGTTTTACCATACAGGTTTACTTAATATTGATGCCGAACTGTTACATTTGAGGACTCTTGGAAATTGTTGAAAAGTGAATAAATGTCAAATGTGAGCCAAGAAACCTTGTTGGCCAGATTTCATTGTTGTTTTGTGTGACTGACTACCTAAGATACATGAAGTTGTTTCTTGGATTCTCTCTTGCAAGATTTAGAAAGCATAGAAAATGGATCTTACAATTGAATACTGTAAGAACTTTACATCCAGCATCATTTAAAATACTATACTACTATACATAGGTTGGACGATGGAAACTAGAAAGTTCGAAGCAAGTGTAGTTTGGTACCATGAGTTGAACAGTCCACAGTGCTTGAATGCACCCGAGTATCTCTAAACAATTGACGAATGCAGGACTTCTCTCGTGTTCCTGCTACTGAAAGGTCTTCACAAACTCTTCATAGTTGATCTGGAGTGAACAATAGAAGAAACAGGACAAGGATAAACATTTCTTTTGGCGCACTCTATCACTAAATCAATCAGGTCCATATAAGGGGCTGAGACGATGTTTCAAACTTTGCTTTCAAGAAGCTAATATCAGTTTCTTCGTCCAGACAACCCCTTTGTCCTTAAAAATGCTTTTTTCCTTTATTTTTCTTGGTGAATGGTTAAGAACAGCGTTGGTTTGATTAACAGCAGACTCTGACCTTGCCATCTCCATCTGTGTCGCACTCCTGCAGCATCTCCTCCGCATCCTCGTCTGTCAGCTGTTCTCCCAGCTGAGCCATGCCCTGGATAATCTCATCCTTATCGATGTACCCGCTGTTATCCTGTACATGTCATTCAGAACATTCAGTCAGTCCCACACAACGTTACAAATATATACATTAAGCACAATGTTGGCAGCACTCAATTTGTAATTAATTTCTACTAACTCACCACACCGAGAAAATGAATTACAGAAAATGTCAACTGCAATCCTTGAAAGCTAATAAATGTGAAATCGTAAAATTACAGTTAGTCGACATTGGAGACACCAACAACAAGAAATCTAATCATCTAGTTAATTAACTAATTATCTACTCAACTTATTATCCAATTAACTAATGATAACAGTACCTTGTCAAACATCCTGAATGCTGCCAGTGCTGAATCTGCGAGTGCTTTGCTCTGCTGCATCCTGGTCAGGAATTCGGCAACGCTCACGAGTCCATCTCCGGTCGTGTTGTCCTTTATCCAATCACGGTGCTCCTGTGGGGTATGACGTCATGTTATAATTGCCTTTATCCAATCATGATGCTACTGGAGAGTATGACGTCATGCTATAAGAACTTTATCTACTACATGTATGAATGTCTTGCATATCACCATCAGCAAAGACGTAGACAATACCTGCTTCTGTTCTCCTCTCAGATTGACACCGACAGATTCCAAGACGTCGGTCATCTGCTGCGCCGTGACCTTCCCACTGCCCTTGTCATGCGACAGGAACTGTCGCTTCATCTCCGCGAGTTGTTCGTCCGTTAGTTGGCCTGTCATCGTTTTCTCCTCGGTTTCCTCCTCTGAGACAGAACGAACAATACAAATCGGAGATTTTAGGCTTTCGGGAGTATGCCTTCCTCGGCTTCCCGAATGTCGATCCCTGTCAACATCGACCTGCTGCATAGCTAGCTCCCGCGGGCGGACCCACACATTCTAAGACATTTGACCTTCTGTCATTTATCTATCAAACTTCCTCTTCACCCACGTGCTGCCAACCTATAGCTAATTTGTCGGGACAGACACACCCATCGCTCAGCCACCGAAATCAATACTTCGAATTCCGAGAACAGCGTTTGGTAAACCCCAAATGCTGCAGTAAGAGAATCTTGAGGCAGTTGAGAAACGTGCCGCCAGCTACAGGTTCCATGGGTTCGCTTCAGTCCGTTAGTGTTAGACCACAACAGCTGGAGAAGTGTGGCGCACTTCCAGAGATCCCCGAGCTATGCTGGCCAACATTACGACGGCCGCGGTTTTGATATATAAAGACGTTAAACATCAACACTATTACCACTATTGACGCATCACCAATAATCAATAATTATCTTACAAAGAGCAGATGAAAACACCATGTGCACTGAACAACTTTCCATATACACATGTACCAGTTTAAAATCCACTTGACAAATAAATACACGGATCCAGCTATTCCCCGGCCTAATCGTTATCCTTTCGAATGTATTACCCTAGTGACCTAGTCATGTCCGATCCAGTACAACTATCTATGGGCCCCGGATCAAATCGTTCCCCCGGCCCGCCCTACCTTGCCGTAAGGTGTATGACAGATTCAAGTTAATGTGATCAAATTGTAAATACATGTCGTTTTTTAATTTTACCATGCCATTTTCCTTTCCTTGTATGACACATCATCAACTATTTGTTTTGAGGATTCTTCGAGTACATTTGACCGGCACGCCGGCCAGGCCGCGATGTCTCACGCTGGATTTTGTTTTGTAACATGTAACGTTAAATGTAACGTTTGATAATGCGCAAGTAAGTATAGAGTTTTGTCCAGAATTCGTACGCAGAAAAAGTGACTTACCGTCAAGTGCCTGTCAAATACAACAGCACCGTGAGCTCGCTGTGGCACCAGGCCGGGTGTTCGTCCCCTTTTAGCTCCCGCCTAACGCGGCATTTGAATTATTTCCGTAAAATGCATGTGAACGCTGTTGGCCTTTAGTCGCGTGCTCCCTTTCGGGGAGCGAATTCGAAGCCTCGCTATACGGCCACACTCACTTCACATCCTTTACACAATAGTCATGTTCTTCGGCGAGGTTCGTTGTCCTGTACTGGATGGAGGAGGTATGGGGCAATATACCAAATACACGTACAGGAGGAATCAGTCGTTCTTCAAGGAAAACATGTGGTAAAGGTAAGGTAAAAATGAAACAAACATCAATAAAACGCATAAACCGTTAACGCATAAACTTTTCGCTCCAGTTTTTCCCCAAACTCTTTCTAGAAGTGTAATAATTCATACCTGAGGTGTCCAGAAGAATCGTTCCATCCCTGGTGAACGTACACCTAGCTTCTTTACAAAGTTTAGGCCTTTACTCCCTCACGTTTTAGTTAATCATTTTTCTAATTTTAATAATAATGCCAATTCATTACACGTGTCAATGAGGGCCTCTAGCAGTTCATAGAATTATTGCAGGTACTTGAGGGGGATTTTTTTACATGTAGCGAAATAAAGCATGGTTTGACGTTTCCCTTTAGGAAACAGGACAAACGAAGAGAGAGAGGAAGACGAGACACAAATCTTATTGACAGGCTGCGTAGGTACAACCATGGTACAACCAATGTGGTAGCAATTCATGACGTCATATTCGGGAAACCGATCAGTGCCCGGTTGCTCGGTGAGGCTTTCGGCAATCTTCGGAATCGCTCGGCCTCCCTGCGTCGGGGTCAAGATGGCGGGGTTCATCAGTCCTTACGTCAATCTTGTCCGGAACGCGTTTAGCGTCATGAGACACAACGGCGGGGTCATAGGATCCGTGTGGACACTGTTAAGGTGTGGAGATATTCTCTACCACGTCGTTTAAAAAAATAGTTGATAATTGTTGTTGCCTTCACGAGCTAGAGAGTCTAACGTAACGGCGTTGTGACCTTCAAACATAATCGTTTATACAAGTCGCGTCGTCGAAAACATACAGTGCATGATTTAACTTTTGATGTCAGTACAAGTGTTTCAGTATGTTGTGATTAAGTCGAACTATGTCGTTAAACCATAATTTGTTGGAAATATATCGTTATAGCTTACGAGCATGACGTCAACCAAAACACAGATATATGGGTGGGAAGGGGGCGAGCCTTCACATAATCTTTACAGCTTTGTATCGAGAATTATGTTTGATTCTGTCCCATGTTTCAGAGCGGGAGACCTGCGGGAAGGCACCCTGGTAGGGGTGGACCAGTTTGGCAACAAGTACTTCGAGAACAAGAAGTATTTCTATGGTGAGTTTTTTGCGCGATGTAAAGAGGGTGACACTATAGTGTAGAGGCCCACTCTAATTAATCAAATGTTTCCCAAAGATTATACCTGTGTATGTGACATAAAAGCAGAACGACAGAGAAGAAGTTATCGAGGGGGGGGCGGTGTTATCTCTATGTACTGTGTTAGGAGCCCTCAGCATATAAGAACAATGAAGAAGAATATATATGTGTTCCCATCTGCGTATCAGTAGGACTGATTTGTTGTGTTCCCCGTCTGCAGCCCGGCATCGGTGGGTGGAGTTTGGAGACAAGCAGAAGAGCTGGTGGGAGCCAGATGCTAGCCAGATCCCACCAGAATGGTAGGTTGCTCTAGTAACCAGCATGCAGCATGTATTTCTCCTATGCAGCAGTGGCAGGATAGACCAATCCTGACTGTTTATCATAAGTAGCAGTTCAACCAATGAGACTGTGAGATTAGGATGAAAGTTAAACCTGCATCTTACTTTTCCTTCCTGTGTCTCCTCCAGGCACCGCTGGATACACTGCATCGGAGAGCACCCCCCAACTGAAGTGCCTCTCACCAACCCCAAATTCAAGCAGGAACATCGCATCAACTTTTCAGGGAACAGCAAGGAGAACTATGTTCCCTACACCACCACGCCCCCCAAGATAGAGAGCTGGCAGCCCCCCAAGAACACCCCATCATAAATGTGTGACAGAAAAAAAACCCCTATAGATTATCACTTCCATGACTGGACTTTCTTGTGTAAATCTGTGAACATGTTTTGCCTGAAACAGAGATAAACTTGTCAGAAAGTTTTTGTTGTGTTGTGTCTCTCTGCCCAGACAATTTCTCAATGTCTGCATTGTCAATATATATAAAAATGCAAAGTTAACGACTTCTTTAAAAACACAAACACATCTTGAATACCTTAACCAGTATACATTTATTCAGACAAATTGAAAATGTACAATACTCATTGCTGGATCGGATCCAATAAACTGGTGTGGGACAGACTTCTGGGGCAATATTTTATCCTCGGCGGTGACAAACCATTTATTTCTAAAACCAATTTGCTGAGTGTAAGGTCAAGAGATCACCTCTAGGCATTGGACTAAGCTTGGCTGACTGGAACAGAATCTCTTCGCACTAAATAAAAATCATCAATATTTGATACAAGTTTGACTCACTGAGAGTGTTAACAGGCCCGATGGAAGCAGGGAATACATACATGTATGTACATGTACGTGTCTGTATGCTTGTCAACCGACTCTACACACTCAGGCTGTAAAGGCACACTGATCCTACTGAAAAAGTTGGCATAGTTTTGGCTTCCTAATCTATGATTACCCCTCCCCTTTAAGCACCAGGAGAAGGGAACTTTTTTTCCGTAAAGCCACAGAACTGACCATGGCCTCTGGACCTTCTTCAGACCATAGTTGGGAGTTAGCCTGTGAGTGTGAGCAAGGTTGGCGTTGGTCATTGACGTTGCCTACTGGTCGTCTAATGTTTGAAAAAAATAAAAATCGAGAAAGGCATATTCGTCCTGGATGAGATCAGAGGAGCAAACTGGAGGTAGAATAGGACAGATTCCACCCAGTGCCGACCTTGGTTGGTCTGGAGCAAAGTCATGGGGAGTTCCTGAATGTGTGTGGTTCAGTAGGGGTGGGAGGTAGGTTGGAGACTGATGAGAAAAAAATCGCACAAATTCTGTCATGAGCATAAGGAGGTTGCCATATATTCACAAATTTACAGTTTGAGCCACAAATTTGTCAAATGGCACAGCAGTAACTTTATCAGCAAGTGTTGGAATACTGGAAAATTGAACTAACCCAAAAATGCATTCATTACCTTTCCTCATTTAAAGGGTTAGCCCACATCAATCACACATTTTGCTCTAGGATATCATATAAGTATAGTCAAACTGGAGGATGAACATGAAAGTAGAGCCTGAGAGGAGAGTCTGTACCTGTTTCAGGGAGTAAATGTCTTCAGATGCATGCCCTGCCCCCCACTGCACAACACTGTTGGCATGAAAAAAAAACTTCTTCAACCAGAGTCATCTCTCATCTTCATCAGAGAATTCAGCACACTGAAGTTGAAGTAGCCATTTGGCTACTATTTCCCTATTGCTTATGGCATTAGGTAGCAGGGACATGGTTGATAGATAAATCTTACATCAGGCATCATTAAAAACCTTTTTCAAAGTTCTGCCCATAACAGGCATTTCAGGCAAGTTTGGCCAATACTTAGTCTTAGATTGCATTGCATTCCATTCTAAAGGCTTATTGAAAAGAGTAGGGGTCCATCCCAGTGTGAGTTAAACCTTACAGTCTGATCTTACATGTACACGTGTGTTATACACATTGAGGCAGTTTACCAGTTATGAGAAACAAAACGAAACAGATTCTTCCTATGTTTGTTTTTCATATCTGGAAAAGAAGCTTTTCTTGTTTGGACATTTTTTGCCAAGTTGTCATGGAAAATCTGCTTCCTTATTTCACCTGTACAAAAATTAGGATACATTGGAATGCACTCTGCCCTGACAACAGTCGCTTCGCTTGACATTTTTTAGGACCTGATTGTTAACAGGTGACCAAGAGCGTGAACAAACCATAAACATAAATGTAAACAGTCAAGTCTGTACCACCAGAACTTAACACTATAGTATGTTGCCTTTGTTCTAACATACTTACACATTTAAGACACATATAATCAATTTAATTCTGCATCAGATTAAATAATCTTACTATTTACAGCATCATGAAAGCAATATAGAATTATCTAAAATCCTCCAAAGATTCCATTTTACAACTTTAACCCTTCCCAATCTGAGTGCAGGCAGCAGGTTAACCTCTTTTCAAAAGGGTTAAAGGAAAGTGGCATCTACAAATTTCTCAAGACTGGTGAAACTGTTATTCTTTGGGTTCAGGTCTTCTGGCTGGAGTACTGATGTCTGCCACCGGGGGGCGCTGTGGGGGTGCAAGCAGGTCAGCGTACAGGTGAAGTGTTTCCCGCAGGGCCTCGCTGAGCTGTGGCGACGACGACGTCACGCACTCCACCAGTGCCGGGTACAGCTGGATTGCCTGGTTCCACACTGCAGCATCAACTAGGGGTTAAATGTACATTGTTAGATATTACAAATATTCAGATTGGTCAATTACTAAGAAAACAAGCATACCAGTAGTTTCCTGAGATAACTAAAATACAGTAAATCAAAGGTCAAGCCTAACGCTGGTAAGAAGCAGTAAAATACTGAGCATACCTCTGTCAGCAGCAGTGACCTTGAGGGAGGTCAGAAGGGTTGTGACAGCTCGCAGCACAAAGGTCACCTCTGTCATTCGATGTCTGAATGAAACAAAAGCATTCAGCAAAACAAATCATGTCATAATTGCCATAATTGTCACATTGCAAACTAGTCTTGAAACCCTTCCATGAAAGAGGCTGACATTTTATTGAGGCAGCCTTACTTTCCAAACCACTTCTACAACCTTTCATGCTAGTATCTGATTGTCAGAATTCAATATCAAAGAAGGAGGAAAGAACACCTTGGCAGTGGCAACTTCCCACTCAGCCTCTCGTCTTGAGTGTACTTCACCAGGACATCTTGTGCTCGCTGTAAGAAGGCTGTCAGCGCCAGTTTTGTGATGCCACCGCCGGCAGAGTTTTCTCCAGTCGCTAAGGAATATTCCAGTAGCGTCTGGAAACACACGCGGGAGAAATTCTCCCGTAGTCGAACCAACATGTCTCCTTCTGGGTAATAAAGGAAGAGAGGAATCACAAACAAGCATGCACATTAACACACACACACACACACACACACACACACACACACACACACACAATAACACATCAAGAACTACATTCTACTAGATTTTCAGCCCTGGGACCTAGAAAATGGAACAATTATTATTGCAATAAACAGAAAATTTAGACCTATACCTGGTATCCCGAAGGTGGTGGAATGAATGGATCCCTTGTTGAGCAGGGAGATAATTTTCCGAGTGAATTGTGCCGGAATGTTGTCAGCATGCGGAAGGATGTCTTGTCTCATCAGCTCCACCATCTAGGCACAGAAACAACAGGGCAGTCAGAGAGGGCAGACATCACCCCCTCAACGGGAAGCACCTTCTAGTAGAACTTACAGAAACTGCAATGCAGAAACACCCACAAACACACACACACAGACATACATGCACACACATGCTGAGAGTCACACGGACTCATTGACACAATACATTAACTTCTCTCCCAAAGCAACTCAAGTCTTTTACCAAAACATTATATAAATCAATATATCGTTCAAAAACTAACATGAAGCTACTTGAATGTCACTGTCACCAAGCTTGGATCAAAATCTATTGGGCAGAGACATGATTGACAGGTGTCAAGACATAACCTGGACATCGATGGCTTCATCCTTCTGATGCTGCTCCACCGACAGGGTTGGGGGGGCTGGGCTGTAGGAGAAATAATGGGAATCCATGTTTAACCTTTCCACTGCTGCTATAACCATGCAACAAATTTGGTGCCAAAAGGCTACTTCAGCGGGGAGGGTTAATTTTAGCTTTGGTTTTGTTTATTGTCACAGTAAATCAAGAAACTCCATTCTTAATTTAGTTTGGTATGACAAGGTTTATGCAGACATCTATTACAAATGGTAAACTGACTGTTTGGAGAAGAGGAAGTCGTCCAGTGCCAGGCCGAGTTGCGTCCACATCGTGCTGAATGCCGGTGCGTTCGTGGGTTGCCTAGCAACAGGTAAGCCGACTTCCAGCACCTGCAGCAGTGACTGGGCGGCGAGTTTCCACATGGAGCTGCTGGGACAGGCGTACTTCAGCCCCAGGGGCAAACGCACAACCTGGGAGGGGATGTAATAAGTGTTAGTGAGGCTAGGTGGGGGGGGGGCATGTGAAATAATCATTGCCATAGAGAGTGCAGACTTCCTGGCTCCTCTGTCCCAGAACTGGAGCCATGAAGTTCCACATGGAGCTCCTGGGACAGGCGTGCACGTAAAAGGACTGAATTTATGTCTGTAACGTAAATGCACACTAAGAAGCTTCTGATCTCACCTTGATGATTTTCTCTAAGACACTCTCCTGTATTACCACCTTGTGGCAGGCTGTTTTCTTGTACAGGTCCACGACCACCACCAGCGACTTCTCTGAGAATGGTGAGTAGTTCAAGGTCACCCACTGCACCTGAAGGTCACAGAAGATCAGAGGTTACACTGTGTTTCATGGTTTTAGCTGTATTAAACACAGTAAAAACCTGTAAAAAAAGTTCTATTTCAATATAAACACCAGTATGTACATGTATAGATGTGATCATAAAATAATTCAAACTGAAAATACATGTACTATCATAATACATGTACTATTATAGACACCTTTACACAGATGTACTGTCATAAACACAAAGATTTTGAAAACAGCCATGACCTTTCCTGGAAGTTTCACCTGCGAATTCCTGTCAGGTCCATTAGTGGATCTTGTCTCCAACGTCCCATATTTGGGAGGCTGGCAGGAGTATTGCACGAAGGTCAGCAGGAGATCAAACACAGCAGGGTACATCGCTTGCATCAGCTCAGGCCCCACGGAGATTGCCTGTAAGCAAAACAGCATTTAGAGACCATCTGTACAGCAGTTAGAGACCATCTACGTGTGCAAAACAGCACATACAATGTAGATACAATCTGTACTGAGCTAGGTGTAGAACTAGAGCTACCAGCAAATAACATAAAAAATCAAGCCAATTTAGCCTACGTGGTTCAGATAAATAAAAGATGTCTCAATGGTGGGACCAGAAGAATATGCTTACCTTCTGCAGCCCCTCCACAGCCCTGAGTACAGAGTCCTGCAGTGGGGACAGGTTGGAGTCCAGCCCACCCAGGGGGATGAGGAATGGGGAGGCATCGGCATGGACAGGCACAGACACCGCTGTCTGGACAACCTGAGGGGCACAGCATGAGAACAGCAGTTAGATACATGTGTACCATATGTACAGAAAACAGTAGTTAGAGACCAGCATGGACATTTACTGACACAGCCATCTGTAGCACCTAAAGGGGCTGACCTTGGCAAACTTGTCGAGGTCACTGGCTACGAAGCGGTGGCTGATGTGTTTGAACAGCGGAGGGAAGATCTGCACCAGGGTAGCCAGGAACTGCTGAGACGGGACGACAGGGACCTCCCCTGGCTGCGGCAGGACGGTGCAGCTGGTCCCGATGCCGTACCAGACACGCCAGGCATTGGACCACAGCCGGTTCTGGTCATCAGAGGCTTCTACAGCAGGAGGAAACATGTAACCAGAACATGGTACATACCATAACAGGTGTGCCAGGCGTTTAACCACAGCTGGTTCTTGTCATCTGAGATTTTACATCGGAAACATGATGTTTGCTTTTACATGTACGACAAAATTTGCTTCTACAGGGGATGATGAACAGTAAAATAAGGTTAAGTATTCTAAGTTGAGAGAGTGAAAGAGACCAATGAGGTAGTGCAGATGTCCCTGCACCTTTGGCTCAATAATGATGTTTTTTTCTGAGTTTTTTCTGTTGGTGTCTCATATCATAAGATGAATTTGAGTAAATTAAATAAAAAAATACAGATTTCCTCACCCTGTTCAGCCTGTTCCTGCCCATCTGTCTTGCTGACAGCATCAGGCACCTGGTCTCCCACCAGCAGTTCCTGGAAGCTGTGCAGCGCCGCCACAGAAACCTCGGAACTTGGGCTGAGAGAAGCAGACTCCACATGCTCCAGGAGCAGGGCCCATGCACGAGGATAGCCATCTGGAACAGATAATCAGTCAATCGATCAATCGATCCATCCATCCATCCATCCATCCATCCATCCATCCATCCATCCATCCATCCATCCATCCATCCATCCATCCATCCATCCAACCATCCATCAATCAATCAATCAATCAATCAAATTTATTTCTACTGGGTTATGTGGACTCAATATGGACAATAGTTGTTGGTTCTTGACTCTAGAATGACTTTACAATCATGATAGTTTTACATTTAAAAAGTCCTTCAAACTCTGCAATAGCTTTAGGCCCTGTAATAGTTCTGAGTATTACAAGTTCTACTGTAACAGACAGAGGACAGTGGTTTGATTGACAGCTGTCCATACCCAGCAGGGCGAGGGCCTGGCGGCGGTGACAGAAGACCCTGGCCACGCCGGCCAGCGTGAGAACTCGTGTTTCGGCCCACTGTTTCTCGGCCGTGTCGCGTGAGTGGTGGATGAGGATGTTGGTGTTGTTGCTGGACTGTTTGTCGTCTTCCTTCTCCACCTGACCCGTCGCTGCCTTCACACGGTCCAGCAGGGGAAACAACACCTGCAGATGGGATACATCATGTTCACATGTTACTTTTAATATTATGCTCTTTGTATTCCGTGGAGTCACACGGTACAATGATCAGAAGATGATGGACATGTAATATCTAATCATACGTGCCACATCAAAGCATCTTTATTTCAGAACTAATAAATAAGATAAGAGTGGCCTAAGGCACAACATAAGACCTGCCCACACCTGCCACAGTACAGTCTCCCAGGTGGTGGCCTCCAGCTGCGCGCCGTGCGCCTGGATGGTGGAGAACAGCGTCTGACAGGCGCTCTTCCTGACCGCTGGCCTGCTATCCACACACAGGTCTGCCAACCGTGAGTACAGGCACATCCACAGGCTGTCTGATGGGCCAAGCAATGACTTCTCTATAGCAACAATAAATGTTTTAACAATAAACAAACATCCAGCAGGAGTACAGGCACATTTACAAGTTGTCTTTCAATATCAGAAAGGAAAATGAATACATCATATCAAACATGATAACATTATGAGTACCATACATAAAAAGTATCAAAGTTCTCTTGAACACATCTTCTCACACATTGAAGGAGTTCACTTAATGGGTGAACCTGAACTAGTACTGGAGGAGTTATCCTTACCTCCTGTTGTTGTTGAAGGCTGCTCATAGTCCTGCTCCAAGTCGCTACGGATTTTCTCATTGTTCTGGTACAGGAAGTCAGAGATGTTCCACTGGAGAGGATACAAACAACACTGTCTGAAAATATGGTCATTTTTGTAGCTGCACTTTGGGTTTGAATAAAGCTGTCTAAAAATCCAAGTTGATTTCAATGTAACTGGTAATTGACCTCTTGATTGGTCCTTACCAACAAGCCAATGGAAGTGAGGCTGATGTTGAGTTCCCTCTTCTGCAGGCCAAACCTGGTTGCCACGGTGATGCACACCTGGAGACAGACAGACGGCATGGCAGGGAGGAAGTCCGTCACCACCAGCTGCAGACTCTGGAACGCCGTCCGAATTAATGCCTCCCTGAAAATATCACAAGGTACTATAAGTTCTACCTGAGCTACCTCATATGACATTAGGCATGCCCTAGGTTGTCCTGACCTGAAATAACCTCTGACCTGACCTAACCTAACCTATGACCTGACCTACCCCTGATCTGTGGCAGCTCCCAGCACCTCCAGTATAACAGGCCAGGCGTGCCCCAGGTTGTCGCCGTTGTTCTGCAGAACCTGCAGCACACAGTCCAGCTGCTTCTGCCGCACGTCCACATGGCTGCTCTGGCAGAGCTCTTGTAGAGGAGTCAGCAGCAAACCTTGTAACTTCTGAAACAGAAAACAACACTGGTTATATATTACTCACTTCACACACTACATACACTATACTACACACATTCACTGCACCACACATACTACACTACATACAGTATACTAAATACTACACAAACAAACAGCACTTAATACACTACACACATGCATGGACATTTAGTGTTCCTCACCTTGTTGTCCTTGAGCGGGGGTTCGTAGTCATGTGCGAGCGCCGCCTTCACCAACTGGGTAATCGCCTCCGCACCCCAGTCACGCAGCTGCCCATGGGAATGCTGGGATACCTGCAAACATAACAGTTATCAAGACTTTCATCTCAGTCCATTTAAGCAAAATTTTCTGTTGTTCACACCCACCCTCAGGTGGTTATACATAAACCTTAGAGAAAGCTGTCTCACCTCTAACAGATGCGCTGTGACTGGTCTCCAGAGGATCTCAGCCCGGTTCAGGTTAACCAGCCCCGTCTCCAGTAACTTTGCAACAGGGAACAGGGACGGCTCCTGCAATACAAGGTGTCTTTTTACAGGACAGGAAAGTGTGCTTGTTTAAACGTGTGAAATTTAACTGTACACTCTCTGGAATGACTTTTGGCTCAATACTCGTCGGTCATCATACAAACAAAGACGTGGTACCAACCCTGTTGGCTAAGGCAGCATCCATACTTTCTTGAGAAAGTTTACTTAAAGCATCTATAAGATGGTGGATTGCAACTTCATCTAGATATCTGCAATACAAGAAATATTTTATAGTCAGTAGCTACAGTAGCACTTGGATACTCCAGCCTTCATTGTGGGAAAAATAACACTTTTGCTTTTAAGTTTTGCAAACAGACAAAAATATTATTTTTTTCTCACAAAACTTTGCAAATCTTGACAAAAAGTAGAATATAGTAGACTGTCTGTTGTTCTACACTTACTGTGAACTCTCAAACAAGCGAGACAGCATGTTGGAGAGAACTGGCAAGTCAGTCAGGACTGTCGTCGTCAGAACCTGGCAGAAAGATCATAGTTTAGAAGTGATCAGAGCTGGAAATACTGTGGGCAGAACAGGAACATTGTCATCAAACTCATTATCAGATAAATGATTTCTTTTTAAATTTAATCTTTTGGAGATGCTTCACAGCAAAAAGCTTGTAAATCAAATATCAAGTGAGAAACAGCCAATATTTTTACTACTCCACAAAGATCCGTGACTTACAGCATTGGGAGCATCAGTCGTGCTGGCCTTCAGGGATCCTCCAGCTGCTGGCTTCAGGCCTAGAACCCACACCAGGTGCTGCAGCAGGATGGAACAATTATTGGTATCCTCTACTTAAGGTGCTAAGATGAGTGTAATAATGATTCAGCAAGAGTCCATAAAAACAGAGAGGTAGGAGGGAAACAGGAGTCTGACTACCGGTATATTCACTCTGTTTACCTGTGTCTACCAATTAGAACTTAGAAGGTAAAGACCTGTAGTGTGATTAGGGATCAGTGTCAGAGTTAAGGACACCAGCTGTAACACCTCACCTGTAGTGTAGTCAGCACCAGGTGCCAGGCTGTTCCCAGGATGGGTCCGTGGCAGTGTGCCATATCCAGGAGTGACCGCATGCACTGGATGTTCTTAACTGTCAGCTGGAAATGGGAAACAGCATGGATTAAGTACAGGTAACAGGTCACCCTGAAACTGTGGTGAGAGACCCTGAAACTGTGGTTAGAGACCCTGAAACTGTGAATACATGTGTAATAAAACATGATGACATAAAAGGATGACATAAAACTGTGGTGGGTAACCTAAGATGGTATAAGGTCCAATGACAACTCATTATCCTAACAAGAGAAACCCTTTATTCACAATCACAAATTTTAGCCCAATTAACCCTGGAAAGAAAGGTACTGAGTTGGAATGACCCTACAGATGCTGTCCATGACTTGGTGAGATACTGCCCATGACCTTGGTGAGATACTGCCCATGACCTTGGTGAGATACTGCCCATGACCTTGGTGAGATACTGACCATGACCTGTGCGGAGGCTGAGGATGATGTAGTGGGTAGTGATGTTCCCACGGCGACGACCTGGTCACCCAGCGTGCTGTTGTGTACATGCTGGCTGGACGAGTCTTTACTGGATGTCCGCATCAACCCTGCAGAGGTACACAACAATGTTTACCTGCACCACAACAGATTCCAGGGGCTGTAGATCCTCATGAATACTTCTTTTTACTTATATATAATTTATTTACATGTATTTATTGAGATATGCCTCATTTGTGGAAAGATTGGCTTTCCCAGGTGGAGGGAAACATAATACCTGAACAGCTTTTACCTGCAATACCGGTAACCTGAACATGCAGGGACATGTCCAGCCCTGAAACAAACCCATACCTCTCTCCTTGGACACGGCAGCCAGCCCTGGTGTGTTGAGGATGGTCAGGGCGTAGTGGGGAGGGAGACAGGCTTTACACAGTGTTGTCACAAATGCATCACGCGGCACGGTCAGGCCCAGCTGGCCACAGATGGATGCAAACGTCTGGATGGCCTGCAGGATGGACTGGGTCGCACTCTCATCCATACTGGTGGGACCACAACAAGAAATCAGAAATAGCAGACTTCAACCCCTCTACCAGAAAATAATAAAATTGGAGCAGAGACAGGGATGCCTGTTTACAGGTACTCAAGGGTTAGAGGTTAGATGTCAGACATGAGAGGTTAGGTGTCGGAGATCAAAGTTTAGGTGTTAAAAGATCAGAGGTTAGGGGTTAGAGATTAGAGATCAGAGGTTAGGTGTTAGAGATCAGTTAGGGTTAAAGGTTAGAGATCAGAGGTTAGGGGTTAAAGACCAGAGGTTTGGTGTTAGAGATCATAGGTTAGGGAGATGTGACTGACCTGGAGTCCAGTAGCAGGGACAGGGCTGCCAGCACACTGGTCCATGAGGAAGTGGCTAACGTTTCACACAACTGCTGGTCAGCTGGAAAATACAGAACAGGAACTATTGTTACACATAACAGCTGAGATAAAATTTAATTTTCACCTTTGTACCTGTATCACTATCACACCCTTTGCATCCAATATTATTTTCATTACAAAAGTGGTGATAAGAAGTTAGTTGAGTAACTTTCAGTGGAGTTCCTTACCTGGTTCCAGCTGCTGTGGAGAACTCGGGATGACGAACTGTTTGCTCTTGTTCTTCCCGATTTTTGGCAGCTTCCCGCCAGGTTGTTGTGGGAGGATGTCAGAGATGATGGTGCTGATGCTGCGCACACAGTCCAGTAAGCAGGCAAAGGCAACCGACAGGCCGTACCCCTCTGGGATCACTGGTGGGTCCGTCTTGTCCAGCATCTCAAGACTGGGGGAGAGGAAAAGACAGATATAAGTCAGTGGAAAAAAGAACTATACAACACAGATTTCACAAGGCCTGGATGTCAAGGGTGAGAGGAGAACGTAGTAACTGTTAAATGCTAAATACTATCATGTCAAACTTTAAACTCTAACCATTGTAGGTACCTTTGACATTACACTAACACTAGTAACAGATCACATTTACTTACAATGTGGGTTTGGCCACCCCTGCACTGGCATGGAACAAGAGTGGGATCCACATCCCCCTGTACTCAAATGCTGGTGGTGGGGTGGTCCCCCCTGACACGGGCAGACCCCCCAGAACTGCAGGGGGGTTGCTGTCACTGCCAGTCCCCTGAGAACCTGGGAAGAACATTCAGAAAGTTCATGAATTTACTAACACACACACACATGTATGTCATCAAGTACAATAGACAGGCCTTCATAAGCCAGCTTGTAACAATACTTAAAATTTGGTCAGACTCCAAGTCAGATACTAGTATATGCATCCTTGAGACTCAATCACTTGCATGCTGCTGGAAAGGGTTGCAGTCTCTCAGATGGTTCACATGGTCCATTGTTAATTGCTTTATGACAGCCATCCTCACCTGATTGGCTGCTGCCCCCGGAGCTAGCGGAGTTTGCAGGTGCCAGGAGGAACAAGGTCTGGATGTACGATCCCACGGCTGCATTCAGGTCGCGGAAGACTTTTGTGGAGTGCTGTTTCATGTCGTAACTTTGGCAAAAACATCTGGGACAGGAGAAAGGGTAAAAAACAATAGTCAAACTATCTGTTGTACAACAGTGGGGGGGCATATTTCATGGTGCTTTCTGCTTTCTCATTGATGCACAGATTTGAATAATATAAAGGAAAAAAACTCCCTTGGTTTTCTTTCAGTTGAACAGCATGACTCTGCCTTACCTTAACATATTTGGCTGTACACAGATTTTGTGTAAAACTTCCACAGCTAAAACCCTCTGCCAGCTGGGCTTGTCTGCATCTAGGAACTTCACTAACAACGATAGGAAAATCTCACACTCCGTCATCTGGGAACAAACAAAAACATACACATCAAGAAAATATCAGGAACATCTCACACTCTGTCACCTGGGACAGCAACAGGAAAATCTCACTCTCCTTTATGAAGAAATTCAGTTGAGATACTGACCAGTAGAGTGTAGTAGTTACTGATGAGAGCATACACCAGTCTGAGCAGCCGCATGGAGATGGGGAAGTACGGTTTCTCGGCGGTGGTTGCTGTGCTCGGAGCCGCCACGTTTTGTTGGAACTTGATGTTGGGTGAGAAGAGCTTGATGACAAGTGGACAGACTCGTTCTTTCAGCAGAAAACTGAACTCTGGATGCTGAAAAAAAAGGAGTAAAAATTATCAACAATTTTTATCTCAAGATTGCAGATCATATTTTGGTCATCCGAAGTGTCAAGACATGTTTTTTTGGTGAATTTTATACTGAGTTTCTCACCCTGAAGAAGACTGGTGAAAACTGTGTCAGGATGTTTTCCACCAGTTCCAGGCCAAAGGTTCGTGTCATTTCAGTCATCCCCACCAGCCAATAGGGGCTGTCTGCGTTCACCAGCTGGCACAGGTCCTACAAACAAACAAACAAACATCACCACTCAATAGGGCTGTTGGCAACAAAAACAACAATAATATGCCCTGCAGGAGAAGTATGTTTTATATCATATGTATCATAAACCTGTAACCTTTAGGAAGCTCACCTGGAACAGCAGGTAGGCATCAGCTGCACACGGCCCCAGCGACACAGGTGGCTTCTTACCTGGACGGGGACTTGATGTTGTTTTCTCTTTAACTTCAGAATTTACTGAAACACAAAAATATGATATAACAAAACTGCACAGTATTCTTCAAGGGAGGTCACAGTCAGTATCAATCATTTACAACACAATTATTACACTTGAAGGAAGGCCACTTCTTGGCTTTGTCTTCAACTTTTCTTCAAGATTCACACGAAAAAGCTCCAACTAGAGCACTATCTAAGGACAAAGTACCATGTTAACTCTAGACTCTGAAAGTTCAGGAGAGCACAAAGGCCCTAGTTCTTGTACCAAGGAGTCATACCTGTGGTGAGGAGCATGTTAAGAAATAAGTGCCTGATCTTAAGGAATGCTTACCTGTGTTAGGATTGTCATCTCCGTCCTCCACCACGAGCCGCTCAAACACGACAGACACGACCTGCTGAACGGTCGCTGCAGCCGTGTTCGCCACAGAACTGTCCTTACTGAAGTGCAGCCGGAAGCACACAACAATGGCCTGGAGAAGATATATCTTCAATTACTGCAGATCTTTTGAAAATTTCAAGGCTAATGCAGCTCCTGATAAATATTCAACTCTTGACATACCCAGAAACATCAGTCAAAAGCTGTAAATGGAAGCTGAGATGGGAGGTCAGCGAAGGAAGACCCTACCTTAGCCAGTGGGTCATGGTGCAGGTTGCCAGACATGGTGATCAGCACCAGGATGGTCTGTAGAACCTTCAGTTCCTCCATCCCAGCCTCCATCAGTCCCCACAGCACAGCCACTATCTGTTCTGCTCCAGCCTGAGAAACAAACAAACACTTGAGGTCACTTACAGTCTAAGCTGACAGATTCAGTCCAGTATCAATTTACTACAGCCTTTAGTAAAAAACACATCCTACCTGAGGCATCCTAAAGGTCAATAGATCTTTATGATGTTTAAAGAGATTGTTGAATTACTGCAGGTTAGTAAGTATGCTGGTAGTACATACCTCTGACACAGCCCTATGTGAGATGAGCCTCTGTATAGATGTGAGTGAAATCTGGACCAGTCTGGGGCAGCGACTGTCACAGCCCAGCACCAGTGGCTGGAGAACCTCCAGGTTTGCAGCAGAGATGGCTGCAGGTGACAAACATTACACTGGGCTTAAGTATCTGTGACATAACTTTATATATATTAGCCTCGTTGTGCTAATGCTAAAATGGTGGTGATCTCCGATAAAACCTGAGTATTATGAATACAAAGTACTTTAAGTATACAGACTACAGGACAGAGATTCCCCACCTGCTGCTGTATCCTCCTCCTTGGCAGAGATGGTGCGGATCTTCAGAACAGAACCTTCTGCTGCCTGGGGGTGGGGGTGAAATATGGAACACATTTATCATCACATGTAATGTTGCAACCTTTGCAATAGGTCAACTCCAGGTCCATGTATTGTTCAACACTATCTTTGTTTGTTTAAGGTTTTGTTTATTTATGGAAGACTCAAATCGACCTGCTGGTCACTTTTGAGGTCATCCCCACACAGGGTATTTGTTACACCTGAAGAGACGACAGTTTCCTACCTGCCGCACCACCGGGTATTTCTTCTTGGCCTCAGCCGAGAGGTTCCTCAGGTCGGCCAGCAGTCCATCCACCAGCTTCTTCCCCAGGTCTCCCATCATGCTCTCCTGACAACATGGAGGATTGAACATATGATGGGACTTTCTCATTGATTGAAAAAAAATTAATCTAGTTTAATTCACATCAGTAGAGTACATAGGCTTTTCATATGACGTCACTTGTGCCATGTTGTATTACAGTGCATGTCTGTTATACATGCCAATATGCTGCTGTAATTCACTTACCTGCCAACATGGTCCCTGGGTATTCAAATTATAATTATTATGCCAATGAAAAGCCTCATTCATTGCAGATGTGATGTATCAGGGTAAAATTCCTTTGGCTTTATTCAACAACACTTCAACAACAGTGGATCACGGCCTTACAACATCCAGTCCCAAGGTTCCCACAGCCCTCCTGTAAGTCTGCCAAAAGTGCCTAACATTTGCATTTTACTTCCTGGACCTGTGAGAGTGGTTTCATACAATACGTTTGCAGACTTTAGACAGACTTTTCCATGCAACACGATGTGTAGCAAGCACACAGGACTGTCTTAATAAAGTCTCATTACAGGTAACAACTGTGAACACACAGGCTCTCCCAGGGAAAATTCTGAACTGTTGTTTCACCCAACACGCCCCCCTCCCCCTTCCTGATAATTTTGCCTGCCCATTCCAAAACAGATTGGATTCATTGGAATATTCTCATATCAATGACGCATCATAATAACCATGCTGTAGTGTATAATCAGAGGGAAGCGGCTATGATGTACTCAAATGAAGGTCAGTTCTCAACTTGTTGTTAAATGGAGAAATTACAACTGTTATAGTATGATTTACAAAGCTAGCTCGGCTGAGCACACGTCAGTGCAGTGGAAGGGTGTGAACTACAAACACTCCCCACAGAAGGCGGTGTTCAGTCTTACCGGGGTTTAGGAGTGCAGAGTCTTGTGAGTCTTCAGGCGCCTCCTAACTGCTCAAACCGCGGATAAACCAGCGCCACAGGCCCACAACATATCAGGTTTGACGGTACTGAACGCGTAGGTTTGGTTTGGGAAGTCACACCTGCACGTCATCACAACCTTTAACCCTTTAACACGTCAGAAGGAGGGGGCACAGGCTTTAGATCAGTTTTTGATGAGAACCTGACTCAACTGGATCAGAAGTTGCATATTCCTGATATTGTCATTAGCTTTTTTTGGCAGGTTTTTGATTCAACTGACTACGGTCAACAAAAAAAAAACTTCTGGTGTCTGCATGGTGGACAGTTGAAGTACATATATTTAATACCCTCACCAAGTGGTTACTGCCAAGTGTAGGTTGAACCAGAGAGTTGGATTTAGAGCATGTTGGCTTTCATTTGTATGTCATAATTCTTCTCCCTGGTCTCATAATGCTTTTTCGTGTAGTAACTGCAATCGTTTACACATATGCCAATTTGCCAAGCAACTTCCTTTCCAGGTTTATCGATCCAACATGGTGGACATAGACTATGTCATAGTCACACGAGTGTAAACATACACATCCCCTTCCTAGAATAAAGACATGAACCATAAGATACACAACAGGCTCCACTGGTGGTTTTACAGTCTTTTATTACAATAAGTGAGGAAAACATCCAACTTTGCCAGAACCGTTCCAGTCATTGCTATAAGAGCTGCTCTAATTACAGTCAACACCAGTGCAATGATTTTTATTTTCTCTTCTAACTCAAAAAAATTGTTGAGGCCTCGGGCCACCATGAATTAACACTGATTGTAAAATGACAACTACCAGAATTTCACGGATATCTTCCACTAATATCTTACAAATTACCTTACAAAGGAGTCATTTTACACTTCATACAACATCTCGCCTCAACAGACAGGGGAAGACACAGGTTTACTCCAAACAAATCTGCACAGTTCTGCTGCTGGACAACACAAAAGTTCATACAGGGTCACAGTGTTGTACAGCCTATCAGGTCCCTTCATAGTGGGAATGTTCAGTTCATTTAAATAAATACTAACTAATAATATCAACAATCTGACCAGAATTGGCTACACACAATTTGTTACAATTGTACAGCTGATCATTCAGTAGTTATGTTTCATTCATTTTTTTATAAGGGCGCTCTGAAGTTACATGGATAATATCCTGATGGGCAGAACTCCTTGACAGACTTTTGCCGCATCATTCTTGGACATGACTTCAGATGATGCCAAGGGCCAGAGAAGTTTCTTTACTTTGCAACAAACTCAACGGCCCTGGGAAAATGTTGGCCAAGAAGTCTTATACATGAATATTGTCGACGTCTTATATTTTTCTTACTTGGAGCAAACCAGCTCTCCACCAAACTGTTGTACAAATTACACCAGCTTTAATACAGCAATAATGTCTCACAGGGACGGGTAGAAACAAGTGGTCCTTGAGCATCGCATTTCTTACAAGCAGTGCCTAAAGTTCAGTCAACGTTTGCCAGCATGTGAGAGTCTTCAGCACAAATCAGTCTAAATTACAAGCGTAAACTACGACAAATGTTCCATCATACAACTGTTTCTACTGATTGCCACTAGTCACTTTGGTTGGAAACTCTACATTTTAAATCTACCTTGTTACATTTTCACTTGTTACATGAAGTTAAGTTTCAAAATGTCATTTTAAGGAGCTGGTTTTCTACTATGTCATACCATAGATGACATTGTTCATTTCTGGTGTAACATTCAGAGTTACAAACGTCACTTTATTTCTAAATTTTTTAGAGCATTTCCAAACCAGAAGTGACCAGAGTAAATAGAAGGTATACAGTTTTGTTGGTGGTTTGGGCAAACAGACAACACCATTGGAACATCCATTCATCTCAACTATTGGAAAATACAACTATATAACCACAAGTAAAATATGGAAAATGATGACATTCTTCTCACTGAGTTCCCAACATCAAACTTGCTGGAATAGAATATGATACTGGGGTTGTTATTTGGAATAATATCATACATCTAAAACTATATTCGAGCAGTTCCAAATAAAAGAAAACCTCCCCACTCGAATGCAGCTAAAGTTTCCAAATAAACGATATTTTCATGTTAAGTAATTGATACGAGTCAATCAAAATATAGTCTTCAGTTTTAACTACACTTGCCTACCACAACATACATAATCAATTGTTTTCAAAATATATTATCAAAAATATGACAACACTACAACATATCAATACAGGACCAACAAAGTAATCCACATATATTGTACAGTGTTTTTTCAGAAATTTTCTTCGCTGTCAAATTTCATTCCGAGTAACCATTAAACAGCTCCTCACATAGTTACACAGTCACTCTTCACATTTCTAAGACTTTCACATTTTTCTTCTTCAAGGTTTAGTCTGAGCCATATCAGGTGTTAAGAATGATGTGCTACAGTAACATTTGGTCCACAAACAGGAGTAGAGGAAGGTCAGGAATGGATTATGTCAGTAAGTTCCAGAGAAAAACTGGTCACCCAAATCGTGAAGTGCCACCCAAACTGCATGGGAACCCCATTTGGAGGTTCTACATGTCGACTACAACAAAACTCTTCCATACCGGTATGTATAAATAACCTTGTTTTGTAAGTTAAGACTTCTGCAAGGTTTCCAAACTGTTGTTTCCATGGTAAAGACAAGAAGGCTGTTCCCAGGCAGGGTAAAAACAGAAAGTACATCTGATGAAGACTTCACCTGGAATGTTTTAAAGTAGGTGCTAAACTGGAATCAGTAGAGGATTTTTCCCACCTAATTGTTGTGAGAACCGGAAATGCTGTGAAGTAGTTGGTCAATGCAGGGTTTGAAATACATTCGCTCTACCTTAATTTTATTAGTTATCTGGCACATTGCAATTTTGAAACACCTTCTGCAACCATGAAAGACATTATTTTTGCCTAACAACAAGACAAGTAGACTGTTATTTAACTTAATTATGTCTCATAAGTGTGAATTCTTATTACTCCACAAATTACAAGTTGGTGATTCTTGGAATGCAACCAAGCAAACTTTTCTGCAAGTTACAGGAGTGTAATATGAGCCCTGCTGTGGCACATCATTGTTAACAGGACTGACTTCAGGCCCGATCATCCCATCTTTGCCGCTGACCTCTAAGGCAACATTGACATTGACACAAGTAAGTACGCTTTTCCCAAGGAACCACACCGAGCAGGCTCTACTATTGGTACCTTGGACAGTTTCCATCTGACCTTGGAACAGTATTTGCTGGTCACGCTTACGTCAATGAGAATCAACATAACAACATCAGAAAAATATGACCGCAATTTTCAGGACAGATGCTTACAATGAGGCACCTGGACGCCACTGTACATTAGAGACAACGCGGGTTTGGTGCTGCTAGTTCTACAAACACAGGTCCAGGTTGGATCAACTTCATAACTTGTTTGTTGGGAGGTCTCAGAAGACAATATGCTTACATATTTTTCACTGATGAGGTACCTACAAGAGTTAAGTACCGGATGGGCTTATTTACAGGAAGACTACAAAATGCATAACGTTTTGGCATCAATTCAGACAACATAAGAATTATAGAACTCAAGTAAGCCAAACATCAATTATCTATACAACATTGATATTTGATTGTTTGGATTGGAACATTGATTCCATTTAGGTTCTGAAAAAGTGAAAAATATGGACAATCGTCTTTAAATTAAAGCGGAAAATTAGAATAACAGAAAATTAATTCTATTTTGGGCTTGGAAAACAAGGATGATAATAATATGTAATATTGTCTCTATAAGAGAACATAAGTTAATATGATTGCGGTGGATGGTTGGGACCCAACAAGCCAGTTACAAATTGCCGCCCCTGGGATGGAAAGTGAAAGTACAGGAGAAGTAATACAGGAGAAGGGACTCAGGAGCAGGTAGAGTCTAGAACAGGCCACAGTCCTTCAGGTTGTTCTTGATGATGACGTCTGTGACGGCGTCGAACACAAACTGGATGTTATTGGTGTCGGTAGCACAGGTGAAGTGAGTGTAGATCTCCTTTGTCTCTTTCCTCTTGTTCAGATCCTCAAACTGCATCTGGATGTAGGCAGCTGCCTCCTCATACGTGTTAGAGCCTGGAGTACACACGTGAAAAAGCTGTTACTGGAACAATCTGCTTTCATCCCACACCAATGTAATTTGTTGGTTCTCTAATTTAGAAAAAAATAATGCTTTACTGAAAAATGAGTGGAAAGTTTGTACCTTAGTACACACAGTTTCCAGAGGGGTATATAGTCTGATTCAAGATTCTCTCATAGCCCTCTGTTTTCAATTAGACCTATTTTCACTTTAAAATATCAGAAATAACCTGGTACAGCCTTATTGTTGTAAACAGAAATGCCTCAATAATAAGCTTTAAGGTAAGTCTCCTTGAGACGTACCTGTGTACTCGGGATAGCAGATGGTGAGTGGAGACTTGGTGATCTTCTCCTCGAACAGGTCCTTCTTGTTGAGGAAGAGGATGATGGACGTCTCCGTGAACCACTTGTTGTTACAGATGGAGTCGAACAGCTTCATGCTCTCATGCATCCGGTTCTGCGGAGGGGGGCACAATAACAGCTCAATACTCACAGGTATAGTTTTAAAAATTTCTTGTACACAAACAAATGTTTATACCTTGCTGTCATTTGAGGATTTGGCGATCATCTGTCACCTTCCTCAGGGCAATACTGACTGCTTCTACTTCACATTACAGCTAGGTGGCGCTGCTGCAGTATAAAGAATGCCGTCCCAAATATGACTAAGTTTATATCCCCCCTCATCATGGAAGTAGATCCAGTCAGCATTGCCGTAAGGAGGGGGACAGAAAACATTGGCTCGGTGTAAACACTTGGTTCTGTATATATCTCAGAGCGTTATCCAGGAATGTGAAGTATTTAACTCAAAGCTGCCCTGAAAAACATCCCTTACATCATACATAACTCCTGACGTTCAACAACTGTTAGTACAAATATTGGCTTGCAAGTGAAAAGGACTTGAATTAAGGATCACAATTTCAGTTTAACAATGTGGGTAGGTGTGGGCATGTATAGATTCTGAGCAATTCTGTTTCCATCTTTTTACATATTTTCTGTTTAAAGCAATTTGAGGTTGCTTGTCAAGAAGAAAATGCAGGTTTTACTGCTGCAGCTGTATGATGAAGCACAGTAAGCAGACTTGTAGGAGGGGGCAGAAGCTAGCGCTGCTGCAGAGCTCTTCCTCAGATCTTGGGGGTTACAGACAGAAGGAAACACAGAATGGTGCCATGCCAGGCTGTCTGTCCTACAGCATGGCATACAGTTCACCAGCTGAACATGGATAATGGGATGGGTGGAAGGGCTTCAAATACTTTTTCTTTGTTACTATTATATACTTCATGTGATGCAATAATTGACTGAATTCTTTAAAACATGTGAGGTTGCAAGTAAATGTTGATTTTATGTTGGGCAGGATGGTATTTTGAGCCCTGTGAAATGTAATCACAAACAGTCAAAACAAGGCAAGAAAGCAGTGCCATTTGCAATGGACAAATATTCTTGTACTGAGGAGTTTTCACAAACTGTTGCCAGCAACACCTGAGAAGTATACAAGACTGACAATCAACAACAAGCACATCAGTAAGGAACAGACTTGCATTTCATAAATACACCAGTGACTTCCCCTGGTTAAGAGAAATTCTAACTGATGGCAAAAGGCAGCAGAAGAAGATACATTGATGAAGGTTAGACATCCAGGTAGAACATTATTGTAATAGGAAATAAATCAAGCAACTTCTCTGAAGAGTCAGAAGATTAAGACAGCATCTACTATCTTTCATCATTGACTGACTCACTCACTGGCTCAAAATGTGGTATTCATTCTCAGTCACTGATGAGAGTCTGTGGATGCTATCTGAAACGTATGACTCTTCAGGTCTCATTGCTTGATTTACCTTGTTTTACGGTACACAGCAGAAGCCGAACAAATGACAGAAAATATCTATGTTTCCTTGTTAAGCCAACAATGCATGTCGTAACAGAGATGTAAATGTGTGTAAAACAATTTCCCATCAAACTACAGATCTCTACTTACCATGAATGAGCATTTTTTAGAGTTAGAGAAAAAACACTGCTATTCAGTTTAAAAGTTGGTCCAGAACAAGAAAGTTAGTGAATGGTTTTGAAGCAATCACTGATACTGTTGAAAACAGCACCGAGACAAAATTTCAGGTTACCAACTTCTTGTGTTGAACCAACGTTTAACCCTACAATAACTACAATAACAAGATGTTAAGAGTTCACCCAAGGAAGTCTCATGCATTTATGCACAGCACACAAGCACTGGGAGAGGCAGAACAGCGCGGAGGAGTTAGTCTGGGGTGGGGTAAGGCGGCCATGCACCATGGGAGATGTGCCCCTCTGTAATTCTACCTACAGCACCTGTAGGTTAGTTCTGAAGCCTGCAGAGGCTGCTGAGAGACAGGAGACGAAAGGGAACTGCGAGGGGAGACCCCACCACAGGGAACTGTGAGGGGAGGCCCCGTCAGTCTACCCACCACTTCCTCGTCTTCTTGCAGGACAAGGTCATACGCACTCAGGGCAACACAATATATTATGGCCGTCACACCCTCAAAACAGTGGATCCATTTCTTTCGCTCTGACCTCTGACCCCCGACATCCACCATTCTGTGGGAGTAATTGATACATCACAACTTCAGCACGTCACATGACTCACATTCATTCCCATGCTTCCAAGGGCAAGCCAGTACTGACAAGGGCATGTGGACACATAACTCTGCAACTTTCACAACACTCAAGTCTTTGACCCTGTGAGTCAGGGAAATTCAGGGATTGCAGGGTTCCAATATTGATGTACTCCAGTAGGCTTGTAATTATTTTCCTCAGAAATTCACATGTCAACGCTTATTAAGGTTATTTCAATCCATTTGAAAGAAGCAAGACGGAAAAACGGTTTTATTCTTGTTTTATGCACAAAAATGATCTTTGTAAGGCACAGAAACTGATAAGAAATACAATATGTGTCTGTGTTTGTAAAAACATGTGGGTGGTGAGAACCTCTGATTGGATCTCTTGTCTGCTGATTGTCTCATTGAGTCACAGCTAGAATCAATGGGTGGCAATTTTATGTCTATTCTGGAAAACATTCTCTGTGCTGGCTTCAAGCTGAATTGTTGGTTAAGTATTAAATAATTTTGTGCCACAGGTAAATGGCATTTCTGCAATAAAGCCTTAGAGTATGCTTTTTGTGCTTCTTACTGACAATTTTATGCCTCAATTGTTTGTTTGTTACTGGTTAGATTAAAAAGTAATTTTGGAATGTGCCTTTTGTTCTGATAAACAATTACTTTCCAACGAGGTTGGTAAACAAATGCTTTACGAAGCAACCATCAGTGCATCAGTTCTTGAATGAAAGGTTTTATAGACTCATTGGACAAATAGACTATCAAGCTGTGTGAACGTTTTGTAACATTCAAATTGGAGTCACAGGCAACATGAACTACTCAGAGCATGATTTCTGTTCCTGCCCGTGTATCTGCTGGCTTGCCCTCGGAGCGTCGGCACGACTAACCACGAACATCTAGAACGTGCTTAAGAGACCCACCGTCTCCTCATCCTCCGCCAATACCAGATCATACGCGCTCAGGGCCACGCAGAAAATTATCGCTGTGACCCCTCGAAACAGTGGATCCATTTTTACGTTCTGAGCGCTGCCCGCCAACATCGAACATTCTACGGCAGGGGTGAACGAGAGCGAAAATTTAGCACAACTTCTCACAAAATACATGGTTTTTGCAGAACTTTCTACAAGAATACATCAATTTAGTACAACTTTTCACAACATGTCAAATCCTTCCAGTACACAGTATATTTTACACTGAATAACTGTGATGGTGACTTACATGTGCTGTCATATTGATTTAGTTGGTAGGTGATAAGTGCAAATTTTGTGCAACTACTAGTAGTCAACACAACTTTATGTCCATTATTATTACAACATTGAAAAATGCTGGTGGGAACTTTATTACATTTCCCACAAAATAAACTCCACTTTCCCTCCCTCTGATATAGAATTAGGCCTCACCAATTAATTTCACATGTTTGTTCTTGGATTGTAAGAAAAAATGCTTAACTGGAATATCAAAATGAAAACAAAACCATCTCTGCCTTGCTATTCAAAGTTTCATGAAGTGAATATATTGAGATCCAAATGTTTTTTCCCAGTCCTATTTTCATCTTGCTTAAACAAGCCCAAGAACCAAAGAAATAAACTGGTGTGGCTCTAAGACTGAGGACTTACTTGAAGTGCAGGTCCTTGAAGGTGAAGTGCGTCTCCACGATGCCAGTTGTCTTGACACGGGTTCTGAGCACGTCTTGCTGTGTGGGAACGTACCCGCCCGCCGCCAGTCGGTCCAAACTGTTCAAGTAACTGCAGAATCAAGGTGTGTTAGAAAGCTATCATATATGGTTCATGTATGGTACATATATGGTACATGTATGGTAGAACTTATTCTCATCCAACATGGCATGGGAATTTTGCCTGCAAATTAAACGAGGAAAAAAAGATTTCCCAGACTTTGTACAGCTTGTGAGTTGTATGTTGGTACTCACTATGAAGCTGAGTCGTTGAGCTGATATTCTCTGGAGCGGCCGAAGCAGGCCTGCACGCCTCCGTCAGCCCATAGCCTCTTCATGATCCCCGCCAGCTCCGGCGTCATCTCACCTTCCTCCGCCGTACTCGCCAACGCAAACAGCTGCCGGGCATCGTCCTGGTAACAACACAAACATGTAAACATGTAAACAAACAGCTCCTGAATGTCCACCAGTTGGGTTCTTTGGGGATCCTCCTGTCTAGTGTTATGTACTACATTTATTTATTTATCTTATCTACTTTGCCAGGGTAGACCAGCATTTCTTTCGAACATAACTGTTGCACATAGTGAATATCCACATTCCACAGTAAGCAAGGCTTTTCCTGAGCCAGCAATAAAACATGTCAAATATGACAGCCAGTGATGCAGCATTTCGTGCCACCACATGATGCACACTAAGATAGGATCATCATAGGATTTACATTAAGCTTTGTTTCATGATCACGTCACAACTCTGTGGGATTTTCATAATCATGTGATCTACCATGTTATAAAAAACCTTGGACAAATCCTTAATACTTATCAGGCAAGAATCCCCAATCACAAAGCCATATAGAAATCAGCACAAATGTCATATTACTATTAATAGGTTGTATAGAAAAACCTATCCACAACAGTTGAATTCCAGACTGTTTTTCTTCCATTTAGACCTAGGCACATTTTTGCATGCTTTGCCTCACGTTTTGCCCTGGAAATGGGCATGGTTAGTGGAACCGTAAGGTTAATGCTGTATGTATGCATAGCCTGACATTCAGAGAGTGTATGTACACGACCCAAATACATGGAATCAGTCACCTTCACACACTCCCCTCATGTGTCAACTGGCATGACCTCCTACTACTACATCCTGTAGGAATACACTTGGACTGGAAATACTCGGTACATAATGCACTCTTGTGCATCCAAAATTGGAGCTGTGCAACTAATGTTTGACAACTAGGTTTTGCTGACATTGTACATTTCATGTTGTGCACTCAAAATAGTTACGAAAAATTTAGTAACATAGCTCTATCAGATAGGTACGTACGGCTCTGTCAGTATGACCGAAGTCGATCTTCAGGGTTCCCATGGCGCGGATGATGGCAATGAGTGACTGGATTGTGTTACTGTACACCACAGCCTTGTACTGCATACACTCCTCTTCTGAGTACCCGTCTTCATGGATAATTCTGTAACACAAGGAACCATCGGTTACTACTGTACTGGTAAGGACCTGTATAGGTTGTGCTTTAACTGGAACATAGGTGAAGTCTCCCCAGTACAAGAGCCCAGCCCATGTGTAGCCCAGCTGGCTCCATGCACACAGTAAACACAACATGCAAAAAAGGCATGTCTAAACTCAACTGGGCTGATGGGGCAGAATAATACTTATAGCAATTTGCAATGACACTGGCATGAAAATTTACAAGGCGAGATTTATAACAAAAAAACATGATTTCCAGAATTATCAGTGATGTGTGCTTATACAAGCTTGGAAACCCATCATGGAAGTGTTGGGGTTGAAATACTTTAATGTTTCCTGCAATTTGTGATTCACCAATGCCTACATTTCTTAGCCTGATAAGTTGCAAGCTGGAACCATATATTACTAGTAGTCTGCCATCTCTGAGCTTTTTCAGTGCAGTTCAGGTCAGTTTACATATGCCGAGCCCTGACTAAGCATGCCATGGACACACCGGCTGTTAATTTTTTCAGACTATGGTGCAAAGAAGGGCCTCGTCATGGTAAATCTTTTCAAATGAAGTTAGCAGTATGAGTAGCAGCACTCAGGGGTCTGACTAGATGATTTTTCCCACCAAATACAGCCTAATGGGACACCTTCAGGCCTGCACACTGGCAACTGTATGAATCATGAACATTTTCTTACTCTGACCCATAGGGACAAATATCACCGGTATTTTTAGTTAAGCTGTCTGTCTATCAGCTTATTTGTCATACATAATGCAGCACTGCCATGCATCCCCAGTATTGCTATTTGGCATGTGGGACTGCAAAGCAGCATGGCTTGTATAAGGGGGTAAACTCTACCATTACTGGTTGTGGAGCTCTTGTGCTACATAAAAGAAGCCGGCATTTCCCTGCAGGTTGCATGTTCAGGTTGGTTTGTGAAGCCCTCCTGATAGAGTCTGTTGGACTGAAACCCTGCAGGTTGCAGGTGGGTTTGTGCTGCCCTGATGAGTTTCATATTAAGCACTGATTAACCTGCTGATATCCCAGATAACACATACACCATATTGTCAGCAAATCATAAAATCCTACATAAGCAAGATGCTGAGAGAAAAGCTGATAGATTAGGACATGGATTCTCCTAGTCAATCAACCTTAGCTGAGGTTAACGCATAATGCTAAGGGACAGCGCTATGCAATGTGGCTTTGCTACGGCTTGTGTTTTTAGCCAAGACTTACATTAATTTATATAGGGACATAGCATATTGGACATAAGTGGGAGTTCAGATGGATACAAAACAGCCCAGTAAACCCAGAGGCAGATGGCAGTCAGGTATTATATTCCCATGGTAAAAAAATATCTTTATTTTCCCCACAGCCCCTGAGGGTGGTTATTACTCTGTTGGCTGATAGCATATCAAGAGGTGATTCTGATGAGTTATTGTTCATGCATTAAGTACCCTGGTAGCTAAATTCTGGGGCAGCTTTGCATTCAGGGATGAATATAGGAATAACATGGAGCTTGTGGATTCTTTACTGTTGCAGAACTAATAGTAATATACTAATAAAAATGGCCAGCCCCAGGTTGTTCACCTGAAAATGCACATTTGCGTCATGAATTCACCATGGAGAGGACATACCAGAAATGAAACCACCGCAAATATTTCAAGATTTACAGCAATGCATGTTTGTCAAATTTTGCTTTTCAGGTTTTCCCAGTGTGACCATTTGGAGGCAAGCAGTACCGTCTGATTAGTTGCTGATGGGAAATCTGCTTCCAACAGGATTGTGATTTTCTAGAGCTGTTGACTCCTATGTACCTCCCTCCGGTGCAGACTGGCACAAACAAAAGCTCCACAGGACAAAGCCAGCAGTAAGACCATATTGTGTGTTCCTTCTTCAGCACAGCAGAGGTAGGGTTCAAACATGACACCCACAATAACTTCCTTACATAGAAGTTTTTAATAAGGATTCTCAAGGGGCTAAAAAAACCTGCACCTGCACAGCCAGAATCTAGACATGCTTCTGAAGCCACAGTTCCTGACTCCGTGCAGGGACAGACACGCTCACAGTCACACAACACAGGTGGTGATCAACTCATCATTGTAATGTCACTGTATTCTATAGTATTAATTTGCAAAAGGCCGGACATTGCTGGATCAACTCAATATCCTGCTTTTTTGTGGACATTCTTTTTATTTTCGATATGTCATGCAAACCGTAATATCTGTTGAACGTAAGCTGGCATAATCTAATTCTAAGGATGATCAAAAGGCAGTCAAATGAGACGTCAACCCAGAGCCACCAAGTGAAGGATCATCCAAAATGACAGCAAAAGACAACAGCTATAAATACTTACTTCATTTGTTTTACAATTGTACTCTTCCCAGATTCACCAGCACCTACAACAAACAAACAAACACATGATTACTATTATATAGATTAGAGCCCAAATAGAATCATGATGGAATGACAGGTGTAACAGGTAATGCTAGCTGTGAGTGAATGAGAGATGAGTGACAACTTGTCACAAGTGATAGCACAGACAAGAATTAAGATGACTGCCAACCCAAAAATCAGCATGTATAAATCTTCAGGTACAAGGTAATACTAGTATATATTTGTTTATTTGTATACATCTAAAATGTAAGGTGTATATTATCATATATGTTGGATCCTTTCCCTTCCCCCCTAAAAAAGTATGTCTCCCTTCCTGAAAATCAAGATGTAGCAACTGTGAAGTTATATGCACTGCTCCTACACCTCACATCAAGCGTGACGTGTGATTCTGAATAACGTATTTGCTGATTTTAACTGTAAAATGTAACAGGTAAAATTATGTCACATCACATGTGCTGTATAAGAGCAATCAAACTTGACAGCTCAGTCCCATAACACCAACAAATTACAGTTTGGTTCTTTATAGACGATGGGTTAGAGTGTTGACACCTTAAGACACCCTGAGGTGTGTTTTTCTATAACGTCTTTAGACGATTCTAACCGTAGGAGACCGTCTTGCCTCCGGGCAAACATTAAACATGGCGGCCACAATTCAAATTCAGCCTCCATATTGAGGTCCATATTAGGATGTGACGAAAGGTTTGCATCTGTAGTGTCTTATGACCTACTAAATGTAAAGGTGTGAAAGTCGAGGGACCGGGTACCTGTCCTGTCTTCCACCTAAAAACATCTCTTACCTTCAAGTTCAACGCACTGGTGAGAAAGGTTTAAATCATCACAACACATGTAGCGGTTGGTCTCAACGAATTCATTTGATTTCCGCTCAAACTTCAGAAGTCATTTTCACTTGTTAAATCACGACCACTTACCCAGCAGGAGCAGTTTGACCTCTCTGGCGGCCTTTTCCCCGTCTGCTCGGAGATTTTTGTCGATCATTTTGGACCGTTCGGCCGCAGCCTTGTCCTCGGCACTGATGGCACAACCCATCCCGACAGTCGACAACCAACGGCCTCACCAAGCGTTTTACACGGCACTAGGCCCTTCCCGAGTCCCCTAGACAACACGGCTCACGACGGAAATATGGAATGGAATCCCAGGCTGAACCCTGGCGTGTCTGTTACAGTTTTTAGGCGATTTTAGGTGATAAAATCGTTGATAATCACGATATCACCACACCCGTTTGTCCATTCTCTCCGCTAGAATTACCGCGCGGCATGACGGGAAAAGCGCACAGGACCCGGATGTACATTGGCAAAGAAGTCATTCAAGTTGTCCCAAATATTTAAACTACATAAATGATTTACTGGGAAATTAAGCCATTTTCTTACAGTACCAACACTTTTAACATTATTCAAAACTTCCCATATAACGGAATTGTAGAGATCAGTGATTTCTTTACCATTAATAAGGTGTCAACGTTAATATTCTGTTGCTTAACTAGCTAATTTCCATATTCAGGACAATTAAGAGACCACTTTGCTGTCCTGGTCGTCGAGTGTAGAGTGGGGGTGTGGGTCACAAACTAACTAACAAACAACAAACAAGCAAACAACAACAGTTCCCGGCTACTGCAGAGCGCCATGCTGAGCACGGGGAAGCTGCGGCCGACTCTGTGCCTGGTGCGGCGGCCGTGGTGTGTGTCTGCCGGCGGGTTCCACAGCTCGGGCCGCCGGCTCCACAACCCCGACGAGGTTGACCTGTTTGACTTTCGTTACACAACCCCCTTCGTGAAGAACCTCTTCGTCGGCAAGTTTATCCGGGTGAGCGCTCGAGACAAGCAGCTGGTTAGGCGTCCACACACCTGTAATATGTAATGTGATGCTATAGTATAGAAAGGTGTGGTGAGGGACTGGGGGTAGGGGGGGGGTGTCTGGGGAGAGGGGTAGCAACCTCACAAGTTTGTCATTGAGATTTAAATGAATTGATGACACACCTGTGACCCGTGCCACACCTGTGACCACATACACATGCACATACACTCATACACATACACATACAGAGTACACATACATATGTAGTACACAATTAATACACATACGCATATGAAGTACACATACATGTAATACACATATGTAGTACACATACACATACACATACTAGTATGTAACGTTAGTACACATACACACACACAGTGACACACACACACACATAATATGTAGTACACATACATACTGGTATACACATACACATACACACAAACATATGTACACACAAACACATATTCACATACACACCAGTGAGTTGACTTGTTGGTTCTAAATGTTGATTTGACTTATTTGTTATTTAGTGACAATTGTTGACTTGTTTGTTTGTTGTTTAGGAACAAGTGTTCCCATTCCCCAGACTGAACCAACAGGACTATGACCAGCTGCAGCAGATGGTCGACCCAGTGGAGCGCTACTTCAAGGATGACGGTGGGTCTGGGTTCATAGTCTAGTTACCAAACCTCTTATAGCTCCTGAGTCCTACATCCTCTCCTATTTGTGGAGAGGATGTAGGACTCGGGAGCTATAATAGATTTGGTAACCAGGCTACTGAATTCAGGCATGTCTTTACGTTTGATAACCACAATTGTATATCATTAGCACAAGATTTTTTTACAGTACATGTAGTTGGATTTTAACTGTTGCCTCCTTTGTTGCTGTCTCTAGTGGACTCCAAACAGATCGACATGGATGCCAAGATCCCCCCGGACACTCTGCAGGGTCTGAAGGACCTCGGACTGTTTGGGATGCAGGTTCCTCTGGAGTATGGTACGTTTGATTGCTTGCTCAGTTTGTTGGGTGCCTGGCAGGCTAGGGGTTGGATGGTTGGTTGGTCAGTCATTTGATCTGTCAGAAGATCTGACAAATGTAGTAAGATGCTCTTCCTTTGATGGTGACAAAAAAGTATTTGGAGTTGGGTCTGCAGGACCTTGGTGTGACAAATCATATGATTTCACTTCCCTATATAGGTGGGCTGGGCCTGTCCAACACCGAGTACGCTCGTCTGGGCGAGATCACGGCCATTGACGGAGCTATCGCCGTTACGCTGGCGGCACACCAGGCTATCGGACTGAAGGGCATCATGATCGCAGGGAACGAGGAGCAGAAGGCTAAGTACCTCCCAAAGCTGGCGACGGGAGAACACGTGGCGGCCTTTGCACTGACAGAACCCACCAGGTGGGATCAATCAACTAATCAATGAATTTGTATCTGCTATAGATAATGTGTGAATTTCAGATGTAGAGTAGACTTTCTGCTTATTTTTTCCTGCACAAAAGCACCATTCAAAACCTAACAAGTCTGTTGTTGGCAGTAATTTGCATTTTTGGTGGATTTTCACCCCAAAGGCAGGAACCTAAATTTCAACAAGGAGAGAAACCCTAAAATCATTGAGTTAGGAAGATAGTACAGCTTTGTTTCATGCTGGACATGAATGTTAAGCTGTTTTGTTCCTCCTGCAGTGGAAGTGATGCTGCTTCGATCCAGACCCGAGGTACTCTGAGCAGCGACGGGAAGCATTTCCTGCTGAATGGCGGGAAGGTTTGTTTTCTTCCGATTGTTACAGGAAAGTGGAACTCAACAGGATGTAAGATGAGGTAGTAAATCTTACTGGTGAGATTTGGAAGTGTAGTACAAACTTGATTTCATAAAAACTTCAAATATGATCCAGTGAGATTTGAGAAAATGATGTTTTCATACAGTCTGCTGATCATCAAGTACATTTACCAACAAACCTTGGCGGAGATACTGTGAGTTGTCCATTTTTGTCCCAACTTTTCCTGAACTGATTTTAATTTGTCCCCTCTTAGATCTGGATCTCAAATGGTGGCATCGCAGATGTCTTTACAGTGTTTGCCAAAACAGAGGTCGTGGACAGCAAGTCCGGTCAGGTGAAGGACAAGGTCACAGCGTTTATCGTGGAGCGTAGTTTCGGCGGGATCACCAGCGGGAAGCCTGAGGACAAGCTGGGGATTCGTGGTTCCAACAGTAGGTGGAACTACAAGTGAAACTTTACTGTACAGCCTTTCCAGCAGGATGTGCTGGCAAGAAGGAAAATAGCTTAGAAGTTTGAAAATATCCGGTGACTTGGATCAGTTTTTTCTTCTTGCTCCAGGCAGACCATGCCAGCATTGCTCTTCCAGAATAGCATTTTATATGTCTCAACTTATGTTTGTTTACTGGGTCTCCTCCATCTAACAGCACCACCTGTGTTCTGTAGCATGCACTGTGCACTTTGAAGACACTCCTGTTCCTGTGGAGAATGTCCTTGGAGAAGTTGGTGGAGGATTCAAGGTCGCGATGAACATCTTAAACGGCGGGCGGTTCAGCATGGGAAGTAGCGGAGCTGGGATTGTGAAGAAGCTGATTGGTTAGTGAAAACTGTTATGGAAATACTGAAATAATAAAGCATAAGAGATCTTTTTTTGGGGGGGGTTATTACATGCAGAGAAACACATCATCGGGCACTTGTTTTTGTTTAGCTTCAACAATTGTCAGTGTGTAGATTCAGTTTCAGTGTGTCACTGACCCTGATGTGTGGCTTACATGTTGTTGGCTGTACTACTGGTCCTGCTGTGCAGCTGACATGTTGACTGTTTCTGCCCTGTTCCAGAACAAACAGCAGAGCATGCCACAACTCGAGTGCAGTTTAACAAGAAGCTGATGGAGTTCCCACTCATTCAGGTAGGGGGTGTCACATATCCGTGTCAGTGGGAGGAAGCCCAGCAACGCTAGGTGTCCGTCACCCTTTCTCACATCATATACTTGAAACACAGGATTAGTTTTTATGTGGGATGCAAAATGCTCAAGTTTGATTGACAGGAGAAGTAAATTTGATAGACAGAAGGTGTCTGTTTCATGAAAAGAAAAAAAGATAATTTTGACAGAAGATATGTTTATTCCTGAGGTGATGTCAGTTTGATTGATAGAAGTTTGTTTGAAAGAAGATGTTTATTTGATTAATAGGAGAAGTTTGCGGACATGGCGTTACGAGCCTATGCCATGGAGAGTATGGCTTACCTGACAGCAGGCATCATGGACCGCTGGCCAGGCGGGAACCACGACTGCTCTGTGGAGGCTGCCATGGTCAAGGTCAGTCAAGTCTCAAGGGCAAATAAAACTGCTGAAATCAGATAATGGTAAATGCCAAACTGTTCAAGATCAGATAACTGTCAAGTCAAATACAAATTGTCCAAGGTCAGATTACTGACATATGGTCACATTGTAGTTCAAAGTGCATGAAGTGATGTTTTTCCACCACAGCCGCATTCCTTGTACATGTACATCCAACAGTCTTTAAGTACTGAAGATAAGATACTTGATGGTCAAACAGAGCTTACCTTGTGTGATCTCCATGGTAACTCCATGTTGTCTCCATGGTAACAGGTGTACAGTTCGGAGAGTGTGTGGAGCAGTGTGAGCGAGGCCCTGCAGGTTCTGGGTGGACTGGGCTACATGAAGGAGTACCCGTACGAGCGCTACCTGCGAGATGCACGCATCCTCATGATATTTGAGGTAAGCAGTTTGTGACAACCTGAAGTTTGAAATGGTTGTACATGGTTATGTGGCTAGCAAGTCAGGCCAAATAAGTGCATGCAGATATCATTCATAAGAAAATGGCGGCCTTCCTGAGTATTTTTTGATGATGGTGATGATGATGACAGTAGTTTTCATATTTGTTCATTTGCTTACGCAGGGGACCAATGAAATCCTTCGTCTCTACATTGCCTTGGTGGGAATGAAGTTTGCTGGGGACATACTGAAGGAGAAACTCAAGTGAGCAGTTGAAGACTCCTATACATTCTTCAAATGTTGTAGAAGTGTACGTAGAGGGCATTTTGTACAGTAGATATCGTAATTTTTACACAGCTTGAAATGATGTGCTCCCTGCAGTACTCATCCGTGCTGCTAGAGGGGACCTTACAGAACAGTATCACTTATGATGTGCCACCTGTGTTCTAATATTATACTCATATCCCAGGGAGCTGAAGCGTGGAAACTTGGGCCTGATTCTCCAGACCATGCGCCGGCGATGGGGCCCAGGGTTTGGGCTGGGACCGAGTCTGGGGTTTGTGTCAGAGGATCGCTTCATCGGGGACGGCTTCAAGGCACATCCCAGCCTCACGGTGAGCTCTGTCCTGCCGCTTGTGTTTTTCAAATTTTGAAGTTCTGTATATTGGTGTCATAGATGCCAAACATTGTATTGACAGTAACATTGATACTTTACATCTGTCCTCAGGCTGGAGCAAAGCTGCTAGAGGAGAATGTGAACACAATGGGGGCTCTGACAGAAACCCTGCTGTCCAGGCATGGCAAGGTAAGATATGCCCTGGTGGGGGGTTGAATCTGAAGAGGTTAGTGTATGTGCTTTCATAGGGGGTTAATGTATGTGCTTGTGACTCTTTTGTCCCGGCACGACAAGGTAAGACTGTGAACTGGAAAAGAAAGAAATCCGTCAGTAAAAGTAATTCTTTTACATTTTGACTGTCAGAACACAGGTGTAGATTCCAGTTATTCAAGAAGAAGTTACCACATTGTATATCCATTGACCAGCCAGTTTCAATCCCATCCAGGGCATCATGGAGGAGCAACTGGTACTGAAGCGAGTGGCGGACATCACCACTAACCTGTACGCCATGACAGCAGTCGTCTCTCGTGCCAGCAAGGCGGCCATCTCGGGACTCCCCAACTATGACCACGAGGTACTCCGCTAGCACTCATAGTGACTAGTCAGTGGTGGACAGCTGCCAAGTGTTATTGCATCTAGTGATGGGCATGAGTCTTAATGGCTTTTTATATCTTTGTGTTATTTCACAGGTCCTGATGGCCAACACCTTCTGCCAGAAAAGCTACAATGCAAACATGCAGATGTTTGACGACTTGAGCAGAGGTAAGGCATTGGTCCAAGGAAATAAAGGAAGCTGAGTTTTTGTGTGAAAATATCAATCACCATCAGCCAACATGTCACACATTTGGCACATTTGCTCCTGACCACCCCCAACCAAGGTCGCAGTTGGTTGGGAGTAGTATCCATCCTATTCTAGCTTCAATTCACTCCTTTGATTTTTCAAAATTCATTATATTTCAGTAATAATATTTGTAGCACCTTGCTGACCACCTCCTAAACACCTTCCTGACCTACATGTATCTCCCTATTGGCTATATGTAATGAGGCTCAACTAATGTTGCCATTTGGCCTTTTGTCTTACCAGAAAACACAGATGCAGCTGTGCAGAAAATTGGAAAAGACATCCTGAAGGCTGGGAGTTACATTGCTGCACACCCGCTCGACAGAACACACGACTTCGACAACATCGATGTGGTACCACCCCGGCGGTAACGGGGGCAAAATTCTTTCTGCAACAAGGCTTCCTTAGGTCTGCCATTGTCACTGGATTAGTGATTCCTTGTTTTGAATTTGGCAATGGACAAAGCATTTTAAGCATATCAACTAAGCCTAAGTTTATACATGTATATAAACAAATTCAGAACTGAAATTAGAAAACAAGGGATTCAGACCTGAGGTGAGAACAGCTTGTACACAGTATCAGTGTCCATGTATTTATTCCATGAAGTTATTAAAGAATTTACGTACAGGGGTAATGAGTGCCTTGTTGGTTTGTAGTGTTTTTGTACAAATAAACAAAACTCAATACAATACTAGTATCTGTATTCTGTCTCAGTTCAATTTTAGATATAGGAAGGCTTATAGTTGGCAAAGATGCTACACCGTAGCCCAGAATGTCTTCTTTAGCTCTTATCTCTCTATGTTCGTTTCCGCTTCTCGCAAATAGATATTAAGCAGATGTACTATGCAGCATACAGAGTGTTTTCACACGACCAACATGAGAATAGATAGAAGAATACACGAAATGCCAAAGGTTCCTAACTTGTATCTCATGATCTTTTTCTGGAGTGAAGTACAAAGTAATAGACCCATTCGACTTTCACGGATCACATAAAATGCCTACGTCACAGGGTGGACATTTCAAAAGAACGCTGTTCTAAATCACGGAAATCGAAAGCAGTTTGCACTCGCGGTGCCCCCCCTTGCAGATCTCTATTTAATACTAAAAGGTAGGTAAAAGTGTCTTTTTTCGGCAATATATGCCGAAATGACAGGAAAACAAACACCAACTTTGTATGGTGGCATTCCATGCACAATGTAAGGTTATTTTGTTCTGTGACGTATGCAGTTTATGCGATCCGTGAAAGGAACTATTCGAAATGTCCCCCCCCCCTCGTGACGTAGTTTCTATTCAAAATGTCCCCCCAGTGATGTAAGCAGTTTATGCGATCCGTGAAAGATGAATGGGTCTATTAAGCTACTGCCCCAACTGTCAACATCATGGTTCTGACTTTCAGCTCTTCCCAACATACCAGAGTCTTGCCCTCCTGAACAGAGGGGTCATGGTATGTGCCCTTGTGTCTATGCAAATGGTGTTTTTGACAAAACGAACTGCGCAGTTAGAGGGTGTGACATTCAGGCAAGACACAGGTGCCACTTCCTTGACTATTTTTCCGACCAGGTGCACACTTGTAAGTCAGTCTGTAGGATTAACTTGTACATTTCTTCAGGACACTGTCTCTGGGTAAGTCTTCATCTTTGCCTTATGTTTGGTACTCTTCTGCTTGTAAACAAGCTGAATTATGCACCAAGACACCAACATACTAAACATATGTAGTGGATTTATATGAATGTCTGTGACATTTCTGCCAGAAATTAGCACTTTAAAGTGACAACTAGTTTAATATGTTTTTAATAGTTTTAATTTAAGAAAAAAATTTTTTCTACTCATTTCCTGGTCAGGAAGGCTTGTATATGGATGTATGGAAGGAAGTAAGACTACAAAAGTTGATACCAACTAACACAAAGACAAGCAAGATACAATTAAGATTTTTCAGGTGCAATTTATATTGCTTTGAGTTATAAAGCTGCGAGTTACATGCAATAAAGGAACAGCTACTCTGAGCATAAACTTGTGTCTTACATTGCAGGGGCGTTACAGTACAAGAAGAGAGGTCAAGATTTTCTGTTGAGTGTAAACTTCACAGGTACATTTTTCTTTTCAGTAATATTTGACCTAATGTTTTGTAAACTTAGTGTGAATGCATGTACTGTATATTGTGTAGAAGTCTCAGTACTAATGAAGATGTAAATGAAACCAAGCCTCAGGGTCTCACCAGTGTTTTTGCTCTTACTCCTGAATCAGGGCACAGAGAACAGCATGGGAGAACAGCTTCCAGGGATGCTGCTGTCCCTTCTGATCATCCTGAAGGTGTCTGGATCAACAGCAGCTTCCTGCAGCCTTACACAAGTTACAGGTTCTTTAACTGCTAACTGCAGCAGCCAGGGCCTCACCAGTGTTCCTCAGAACCTGCCAACAGGTGTCACTCACCTATATTTGCAGAATAATCTAATCACAAAATTAAATCAGTCTGATTTCTCACAGTATGGGAACTTGACAAATCTGGATCTAGGAAACAATGAGATCAGTGAAATTCAGGCTGGAACATTCTATCCTACACCAGAACTGAGAACATTGTCCCTGTCTCATAATAAGTTAATGAGCCTCAGATCTGAAATGTTTGCAGGGCTGGGAATTCTGGACTCTCTTTATCTAGACAATAACGAAATCGGTGACATTCGGGCTGGAACTTTCAATGAAACATCAGGACTAGGAACCTTGCATCTACAGCACAATAGGATTACAGTCCTAAAAGCTGACATATTTGCAAAACTATCAACAATCTCTACTGTAAACATTTCCAACAACCCTTGGCAGTGTGACTGCAACATGGTTTCCTTCAGGCAAAAGATGAAAGGGTCATATCTATTTGAAGACCAAATCACATGTGAAGGACACAGAGGGCAAAAGCTCAAAGATATTAGTCCTGAAAATCTGCAGTCAGACTGTGAAAAACCAACCATGCAGTCCGAAGACCAATGGAATGTGCCTACAGCTGGTAACCATGGCTTTATAGTGGGATTTATTAGTGGGAATTCTGACATATTTTCCCCACCTGTTCTTGTTGGCATTGCAAGTGCCATTTTTACACTAGTTATTGCAGTGATTGTTCTCACAATCTGGTACAAGAGACGCTCCAGAAATATTAAAAAAAGCTCAGATCCTAGAGTTTTCTACAACACTGCCAATGTCACAGCCAGAGCTCATAACAAAACAAGGCATGGTGACCTTGGGGCAGACGAAGAGGAGTATGACTATGTAGACACTCTGTCACAAAGATCACATACAGGTACAACCCTCAGAGGGCGTCTTAGCAGGTTCGAAGATGAATATGATGTTATACCACCTTCCCTTCCACCAAGAAACCCGACAGGTCTATCAGCTGCTGGCCAGAATGGGTCAGCAGCTCTACATGGTGCTGATGCTCCATGGGGAGTCATGGATAAGGATAAATGTGAAACTGTAAACAATGATTCTCAGTTCAACAAATATGGAAACAGCAATGTGATAGCAGCTGCTCAAGATGCTGAAACAGATGTACATATAATCATGCATGAAGATGATTACTTGTCTTTTGTCATTACTGAAAAATACAAGCCACAGCCCAACAAGAACAGCCAAATAACTGCAGCTGCTGAGGATTATGTAGCTTCCCAACAGGGGATGAGTCATGAGAATGATGTTGAGTCAGCTGAAAACCAGACACAGGCTGACTGCCAGAATGAACCAGCAGCTGTCCTTGGTGCTGAGAAGCATGTCCAGTACTGGGGTGAATGGTATGAACTTGGATGTAGGAAGTTGTAATAAGTTGTATGAAGTTAGAACTAAGAACAATGTGATCGGCAGGATGTGACGCTGACGTGGCCATATGACTTGGGCACTGACTATTAATCAAGTGTGCTAATCAAGAACTGATGTAAATAAGGGCACGTACGTGACATTGCAAGCTACGGGTGCAGGGAAGAGCTAAACAAATCTGCTGATATTTCAAAAGGAAACCCTTGAGGAGCAGCATACCTACACATCCCTCCTGAACAATCTATGATTCCCCTCCAAAGTTTTCCCGGAAGAAAACCAGACCCAAAACAGCTGTGGGAACAAGACTTGTAAATGTGAGCACAATGCATAACTTTAAAAATTTTGTGGTGTTGCATATTGAATGACATCATTCCAAAAAGACTTTAATTTTGTGCTTTGTATTAAAATCAAGGACTCTAACTTCTCTCTAAGTACAACTGACATTTTAAAGCAACCTTTGTAATACATGTATCATGTTACTCCAGTCAATTAAACAAGAGTTATGAGGAATTATGAGGAACAAATTAAAGTATTTCAAGGAGATTAGATGTCTGACATCTTGAAAGATGTACACAGATCTTTTGGGGCATGTCAGAAATTTTGAGAATTCTTTATGAAATTGTGTGGTACAGCTGTGTGACTTTGTTATCTGAATAAAGACATTTAGGATGGATTATTTCTTGCAACATGTGCGTGTATAGTGTACGCTTTGCAGAGCTGATGTGTTACTGTATGTCATGATAAGACGATCATATGTAGATGAGCCATTTTAAAGGGCAAACAAAATCTTGTTCCAAATGTCATAAAACTACTTAATTCTGCTCAATAAAACAAACCACACAAAGATTCACTCTGAGACTCATACCTAGGATTTCCAGTTTAAAGAGCAATAAATGTAATTCATGCAATCATTGGCAATTCGGTTCTCCCGAAGCCCATTAGTGGTTACTAGCCACCAAGTGTAGAAACGTCCACCCACTGAAAGCTTGCACTCATACAGGTTAACCATATATTTATTAATGTATCTAGCATCCACCTAAAGTTGTTAAATATATACGAAAAAAGTTTATATAATATGATTGTAAATATAAGTCTATACTCATACAGTTACTTGGTATCAAAAAGTACGAACTTTAAATCCGAGCCACTCTCTCCTTCCTGGGCTCTGCTGGTCTGATACAGAAGTTCAATATGTACAAAGTATCAAAATTATTATGAAAGTTAACCTGAATTGCTACATAGCAGGAAAAGGACTTTACTTTCCTCCACATTATACTGAAGAAGACCAGAGGACTGGTAAAAAATTTGGCAAGTCCCAATTCTTGTATTAGAGTAAAGTTAAATCCATTTCCATGTATCAAAATGTTGCACCCTGTTTGGCAGGAATGGTAACCTGCCTGATCAATTATTACCTCAAATTTATGTTATTAAGCAAAACATACAAGCTTTGTAATATTGTATGGCACAGAAAGGTTGAACATGCAGTATTTACAACTGAAACCCTGATCCCAGGACAGATGTTACTTTTGTCTTGTATTACAAGGTTGACATCCTCCTTAATTAATGTCTGATCACTGGTTACATTCATATCATATGGCAATTGTCAGCTAAGGTCAAGCAACAATTAGTATGTTTGGAATATGGCAATGGTAAAAATATTCAAAGTCCTATATAGACAATTCTCTGCCACATCTGATTAGTGTATCTGACACATATTTATCCTAGTATTACAGCCAGGAAGACACAAATCCTTGCTTATATCAACATCAAATCATTCTTGATTAAAATTCATTTTCTTACATCAATAATTTTATAAGTTTCTAAAGAACTAGGGAGTTACAAAAATGTAACTTTACATGGCCTTTCTAAGAGTAAGGAGCTTCTAACTGCACCATTGAAGGACATTTGGAAAGTCATTTTCCTAACTTTATGGACACAAAGCTGGAAGCCCTTTGTTTCAATGTCTTCCTTTTTGCACAGTTTGTCATTTCCTTTCAGAGTTAGCTTACCTCTACATTCATTAGTATGTTAACTTGAAGCTTACTTCTGTGTTAACATAAGTTGTATGTTTGTAGATGTAGACAAAGAGGTTGAATTAAGAAAGTAAGTCAAACATCAAATACTACCATAGATTTGAACCTTCTTCCAACAAGTCATGTTGGTGGGGCCTTATACGATGTTGGTAGTCCCAGGGCCTGTGGGTGCAGAGGGAGCTGACGGAGCTGTAGGTCCTGAGGGGCCTGTGTAGGCTGGTGGCGGTGCACCAGGCTTGATGCCATGTTTCTTCATGTAGGACAACAGCTGATCAGGCACCTCTGCTAGGACATCCTTGGCCAGCCGTGCCTGGCTGAGGACCTGATTACCCTGCCTGTCCACATAGTCACGGAATGGAACAAACTGCCAGGGGGTGTAAACAAAAACAAATAAACAAACTGGAGCCTTGTTTAAATGTTTGCAGAGAAAAAAGGATGTGTCAGCCCTTCAGTGAAAGGTCTACATAACAACAGTTGAACCCACCTGTACAATGTCCCTCTCAGCCTGTCTGCCCCGGTATGACAGCCGGACCTCATCTCCATCCAGCACCTCCATAGCTGTAAACAAGGTAATTATAAGTACAAGGTGAAACCAAGGTTTGCAAAAACATCACATAAAGCTATGATTTATAAAGTCACACAACATCATGCAGAATCAAACCAGGGTCAGCTGACACAAGACGCTATATATTGGAAAAGAACAGTGTAAATCACACGGGCGCTAAGTGGAAGTCATGAGAAATTACGGTATGGCCTTTTCTATGTTACGAACTTAAGTCTGTAGGGCTGACCTGGTCTTATCTGAGACCTTTTGGTAAGGTGCACAGTTTGTGGAGAACAAAAACACGTACCTTCAAAGTCATCATTGCCAACACCAACGATGATGATGGACAGTGGCAGTGTGGCTGCCTGGAAAACAAACAAGTTGTTAATCAACATGCCTCAACAACAGCACAGGTTTTCTCACTGTCTACTCCTGTGCAGTAAGAACAGCAAACTCAAAATGAATACAAATTCTTATACACATCTACTAAAGCATCTTACATTGACGATGGCCTCCTTGGTCTGTTCAAAGTCGGTGATGACTCCGTCTGTCACGATCAGCAGGACAAAATACTCGCCACCCTCCCTGCTCTGCGAAGCCAAGCTGTTAATCAAAATAGCAGCTGTCAATCAACTTGGCAGATGTCAACATGGTAGCTATCAATCATGGGGAGGTTACCTAGCAACATGGATGATGTGGTTACCTAGCAACCTGCATGGATATTTACCTGGCAACATGGTTGATGACAGGGGAAAAGTTGGTTGGGCCATAGAGCTGGACTTGCCGCAGTGTCCACTGGTAGGCCTCCATGATCCCTGCCACCCCAAAGCAGTATGGGTTTCCAGGCTGGCCGTTCAGGGGGAAGCAGTGTGACACGGTGTAGCCGGGCGGGGTTCTGGCACCAAACCCAAACGCCGGGAACAACTTGTCACTGAGTAGGGTGGAAGGGAATGGCGAGTTAGGAAAGAAAAAATATACAAGGTAACATTCATTGTTACCTGTTAAGGTCCTCAGTGTTTGTCACTGAGTAGGCAACAATCATCATTCTATAATCCACTGATCTATGACCTGGGCACCAATGAGTTACCATCAGCTAAAACAGGATTGAGGTCCTTTGTTTTATGTTGTCACTATCTGTGGCACCTACAAGCATTTGAACATTACCTGTTACCTGTCATAGTCCTGGATGATCTCCCCAACGGCCCAAAGTGCTGTTGCATACTGGTTCATCCCGTAGGGGTTGATGTAGTGCAGTGACGTCGGCTGCTGTGGCTGGCCTGGAAACAAACATAAACAAACAATTACACAGAGTAAACAGCAGACCTACTGGAATTTGCATGATCAATCATATTGTAATGCATGTTTATGATATATATATAATTTATATATTATACATGTTTTGTACCCACCATTTGAGGCAGTGAAATCAATGGCAACTGTGAAGTTCATCTGTGTCCTGGAAAGGAAAATGACCATATAGATAAAAGAAAAACTGAAATCATTATAGACAAGCCTGACTACTGATACAAACTGAAATCCATGCAGGGCTAAGCAGGTGTTATCTGACACCTTAAATCGAAAGTCAATCCTGCTGCACATCCATAATGGTTAGCAAAGTTAAACCCTGGCAAGTTAAGAGTAGGAGCTCCCTAAATGTGAGTGGATAAAACCAACCTGATCTGTAACATTAGGTGTGTCATACCTTGACAAGTTTACCGATTATACAATGCAAAGAAAAACATATACTGCTGTGGACTCACCCTCCCCTGACATAGTCCAGGAAGGAGTACTGCTGCTCCACCTTTGCGTACTGCAGAGTCACCGTCCCCGAGTTCTTGTACTTCTTCTTCTTAGCTTTTTTCTTGGGGTGGATCACCTGGAGGAGACCAATAAAAGCCTTTCATCTCACTGCAGTCACTGTGCATCATCATGCAGGTTGGCAACAAGCCAACAAACTACATGTACATACAAGTTCAAGTCTTGTTGTTACTTACATGAAAATTGCTGACATTATCGGTAGTATTTTGGATCACTTGTAATCCCACTGATATGGAAATACCTGTTCCCTCTGCCTGATTCCTACCTGGCTTGTAATCCATCTTACATTGCTCTTGAACAACAGTTGAGTACATGTAAACAGGAATGTCCCACTTCACTGTTACTTACATCAAATGTCTGTGTCCCGGCAGCTCCAGAGGTCAGCTGACGCAGGTTGGTGGTGAACACACCGATGAGGTCATGGCTACTGGGGCGGGAAATCGCCATGACAACAGTCTCTTAGTAACATATCACCATGACAACAGTCTCTTAGCAATACCATATCACAATGGCAACAGTTTCTTAACATTGTATCACCATGGCAATAAACGGATAATTGTACTGCAAATCACCATACAATCAATTTCATGGGCCATGGCAAGTACTAGTACATGTCTTTGTCACACATTTCCATCATAGAAACAGGTGGATGTAAAATATTGCCATGGTAATGACTTTGCTTATCATAAATTGCATACTAACATTCAACTCAGATTTGCTAGATGGGATACTCATTAGGATATCAGAACATCTAGAAATGGTGCTGAGAGTATAGATTCAACTTACAAGCTTGACCTTTGGAAGACATATCTGACAGTACATTTTTTAGTAACCAGATGTGTGCTGTGGATAGACTCGCCACCGACATGCACTGAACAGGCAGCATGCAAAACCATCAAACATCCAACATTAGAAATCTGTCTGCAATTCTGCATGAAAGATTGTTATGACACCTTAGCCAATTTCTGTTTCTGTTCCTTAGGAAAAACAGACTCCAACTTACCCTCCATCCCTGTTCCAGTCATAACACTCCACTTTGATGGTCCTGAAATAGACAAAATGGCAGAGTCAACAACAAGAGGGGCTTGCTCAGGAATCCATGGTTAAATCTGGTTGGGAAGTGTGTGTTGGTTCTCACTAAAAAAACTTTATCACATGTATCATGTGGAATTATTTGCAAACTGTTGAAAACATTACTTGAAAAACCAGTAAACCATTACCGACATGACAAACCTTGGGGGCACATCTATTACTTGCCATTTGAAGTAGGATTTATGACAAATGACTTAGTAGTGCATGAGCACCCCCTACCGGTCATAGTCAGCATTGCAGAAGGTCCTGACGGGAATGGTGAAATGTTTCCACTGCGGGTTCAGAGTGTTCTTGATCACCTCCGTCTTGTGACATGTCGTCCAGCTGTGTGCATACAGTTCAAAGTAGTCATTTCAACTTTCACAAATTTCTGCATTTCTTACAAACTATTCATGACTCAGATTTGGTAATAATCAAGAATAATATGTACATAAAAAACAACAGGAGCAGGAAATACATGTGTGTGCACCAAACTTTCATTCTACTTAGAGACACTGACCAGGAACTCCAAATCTCCAAATCTACATCTAAGTTGCACTGAGAATCTACAAGATACTGGACTTCCATAAGAAGTAAAAGCAGGTGTCATATTAATAGGAAAACTGTTGTAAAAGAGATTCTTGCCTTCCATCCTCGTTGCAGCGGTAGAAGAGGAGGAAGGGGTCAGACTTGCCGAAGAAGTCCTTCTTGTCCAGCTTTGTGGCTCGGAACTGGAGCGTCACAGCATCCTGTAACAATGACAAGGTGGTCTCATGGATAGGGCTGTTGACTTGGTCATTTGAACCCAGAGCCGAAAAAAAAATAATGTTATGCCCCTGGGACAGGCACTTTAATTTATACCAATCACCATTTTCCTCACTCAAATGAAGGGAAAGTGAGTAGGTTTGGGATGTTTGAGGTAAACAAAACAAACAAACAAAGGCATGACCTACCTTGCAGCTGCTGAGCTCCTCGGCTGACAGGATGATGGTGCCACATTTCTTAGCTGGACCACTTCTGGAACAACAACAGTTGATATCATCCTTCATGTGTTCTAAATAATTTAAAAATGCCTACAAAATGTTTAACAATTATGCATATTTTGCATATCATTATTCATGTAAGGCTTTGTATATAATTGTGGTGTTTGGCCTAGGCCTGCAAAACAAGGATGTTAAAAAGTGCAGGTCAACCTCAAATTAGTGTACTGCCTTAATTTGCTACAGCTGATAACCTTGCATCTTTAGCCAAAGACATTGATGCATTGGGACATGCTAATTTGTTGTTTTTTTTGGGGGGGACTACAAATAGAGGAGCAAGTACAAACACCAGCTAAGACACGTGGCCTCTCTGACCTGATGTTGAATAGCCTCTCTTTGAAACCAATCTGTGGAAGTCTGCCGATGAGGGGAGGGGAGGGAAACACACACAGAACAACAGAGTGAAGTTTATTTTCCCAGTTTTTTCTAGTTATGTATGAAATGTTTGGAAGGATGAAATGATGATTTTTGTAACAGTTGGTCAGCATGTTGCAGTTCAACATCACAGGCCTTCTTACCCAGCTGCCTCTGGCAAGGAGCATGTACATGTGTACCTAATACTAGTGATAATAACACAGCAAGCATTGCAGGCCAGGACAGTGAAATCACTTGTTTCAGATAGAAAATAAAATAAAAACTGGTGAGTTGTGAGAGCTGGTGGTCGGGATATACATATATAAGCTAATGGCTGTTTACAGTGATTAAGGACCAAAGTCACTGTTGAAGTGATGAGACTACATACGTTAGTGGTTTTTCGATCTTGCTGCCCGGTGCCCCGACAATCTCTCCCAGCGTACATGTGACCTGCCCAAGGAAGTCCTACAAAAAAAAATATCAACATAACAAGAAGATAAATGCCACCAATTCACCATTAGTTGCTATTGCTACGTTTCGGCATCATGCTAAAATGAATGTTAGAAAAACACCATTTTCACATTCTTGTTGAGTATAAGTCAGCAAATTATGGATGTGGAAAACTCATCATTAACTTGGTCTGCTTGTTTTTATTATGTTTAAGACAAAAAAAGTGGTGACAAATCTACTCACATGTTTGGAGAGGTCAGCACTTTGGGAGTCAATGTCATACCTGGAAATTCAATGACAGAGGAAAGGTATAAATTGACTTTGTCATCACTGCAGCTTGGAAGTACATGACATTCATGACAGTTTTATGAAGTGAAGTGTTCCTCCCAACTGTTAACATCTTGATCTCTTGCTTCGAGATATTTCAAATACATGTACCAAGTTCTCTTTGTGTTATATGAGCATTTAATCAAACTCAGACTGCAAGACTCACACTTTAAACATCAGCTTCTGGGACTCCTCAAAGAAGTAGTCAATAGTGAACTTCTTGACAAAGTCTGGGTTGAGGGTGTTCCATATTGTCTCTGTACGGCCGTACTGGGGAAATAGGAAGACCAAGTCATCTTTAGTTATCAATTCAGTAAAAACTAAAATCACTTCACAACTAATCATTCATCTTATTTCTAATTTATATTTTTAAATCTTAATCCATTATTGAACAGTTTCTCGGCATAGACCATTTATAAAAAACATATACCGGTACTTATATATAACTTGGGATGTAGAAGACGTTGCAAAAGTCCCTATACTTTTCTTTGTTTATTTTAACCTTTGCTGTGTTGATAAAGTACCCTTATATCAGCCAATTCAATATATACATATCCCACCTCTAGAAATGTTGCCAAAAAATTAACAATTTGAAAAACCTAACAACTTTCAAAGCCATGCACTGTGTGAGACAGGATGGTAGTTTTCTCACCTCTCGGTACTCGGTGGAGGCAGTCGCCTGGACAAACATCACTGCCACTGTGGGTGAGGAGGGGTCAACAAAATTAGGCATTTTTAAACTTTAGAAACATATTAAAATTTCAGATAGGTATCTATATGACACAATAAAAAAAACATGCAGACAGATTCGTAGATGTAACGTTACATGTAAAATTGTAAATGTATCAGAAATGTTATCAGTGTTAAGTGCGGCGGTGCAGTACCTGTAGTGGTACGCCCATGTGGGGAAGTGAAAGGGGAACTCGTACGATTAACTGTTTTAGCCTGAGCTGAAAAGAGAACTCACTTGGATCCGACTTGGAGAAAACATCCATGTCCAACAGGTTTCTGGGGGAGACACGGGATTGTACATTAAATTGATTATTAACATTCATTGCCAGATGAGGAGGGACTGTACATTACTATTTACTGTCACAGTGTGTGAAGGTGGGACTAAATATACAATATATTGACACTCAAGTCACTCACAGTTAACTGAGAAGGGATTGTGTATTTATCTACTGTTATTATATACCCATTAGTGAAGCTACAGTAATATTTGTCATACAATTAAGCAAATGTCTCTCTTGAGCAACTTTTAACACAGCAAGGTCTTAAAGTAGCACCCACCTGCATGACAGGGATACCTCCACCTTGGTTGCAGGGATGACAGTCTGCGCTGGGTTCTGTGGTTGATGTGGAACTCCCGCCATCCTCGCTCTGCTGCTGACTCTACTGGTCACTAAAAATTGGCTTTGTGCTGTCCTGCTATGAATAATATGCACAGTCAAATCTATAAATTTATGACAAAAGGCAAAAATCAAGTTTCTGACTCTGAGCAGCAGACCAAGTTTTATCTCTCTTTTGCACAGATATTTACAATTTCAGTAGTCAAGTCTTAAACCGTAAGGGAGATGGGAGAAAGATGCTCTTCTCATTTTCTAAAAATGCCTGACAGCTATCAAAACAACAACACTGGATGGGGGTGGAGCACCCCGCGACTTCCCTCTTACACTATCATAAATTGTCTAATACCTTGCCAAAAGACAAAGACAAAAGCATATTATATATAGCATAGGACAGCATGACACACAGAAATCATACAGTTTACCTACGATATGCCAACATCCGTGCGCTTTTTTCATTACATAGCGTACAACAAGTAGCAACTACACTGCCATGTTACCTTGTGTATTCAGCGGTCTTATAGTCTTGTCAACACTGCACTTCTCTCAAATATCTATTATCTAAAATTATCTAAGGTTACTACAAAAACACTTCAAATGTTGGGCTCTAGTCACTCCCACCAAGCCTGTACGATATAAACTACACGGCGTACAGGGAACCTTTGTCTTTAAAAGAGAACCCGACGCTATTGTGAAACCACGACCGATAGTACTTTTCCACAATGGGCTATTCCAAAAAATAAAGGAGAATGGGGGGCGGAAGAGGTTGGACTGGACAGGGGGGTGGGTAAAATATCTGGACTGGACAGGGGGTTGGGTAAAATACCTGGAACGGACAGGGGGGTTGGGTCAAACAAATCTGGACTGGACAGGGGGGTTGGGTCAAACAAATCTGGAATGGACAGGGGGGTTGGGTCAAACGAATCTGGAACGGACAGGGGGGTTTGGTCAAACAAACCTGGAACGGACAGGGGGGATGGGTCAAAATAATGAAATTGGACCGGACAGGGGGGTGGGTAAAAAAAATTCTGGACTGGACAGGGGGTTGGGTCAGAAGCTGATTTGAGACCTCTTCCACCCCCCCTCCACAGTTATTTTTTGGAACAGCNCAAGTGCAGTTTAGTGCCACTGAAGAAGGGTGAGAGATGTTTCAACTTGAAATGTCCCAAAGTAATCTCTGGAAAATCATGGCCATCTTGTACTGTTTTGCTCCGCATGTCTGCTCATAATTGCTCAGTCCAAAAAAAATTGCACTGTGCATTTTTCCCTGTGTAGGTAATTCCTCAAAGGGAAAATGCTCAGTGCATTTTTTGGTGCTTTTCTTCATACAATCATACGATGCCCAAATCTATGGTGGAGCTTAGTTCAGTCTCCTCATAGTGATGTTGAATGCTGAAAAAATTAAACTCTCCAAACAAGTTTAAATACGTTCAATACTTGACAAGTCATCTCATGCACATAAACGCTCAAAACTAAAAAACGTACTAGTAATTGCCTAATATGAAAAAGGCAGGTATATTAGGACAAATCTGGAACGGACAGGAGGGTTGGGTAAAATGGATCTGGACCGGACAGGGGGGTTGGGTCAAACGAATCTAGAATGGACAGGGGGGTTGGGTCAAACAAATCTGGAACGGACAGGGGGGTTGGGTCAAACAAATCTGGAACGGACAGGGGGGTTGGGTCAAACGAATCTGGAACGGACAGGGGGGATGGGTCAAAATAATGAAATTGGACCGGACAGGGGGGTGGTAAAAAAAATTCTGGACTGGACAGGGGGGTTGGGTCAGAAGCTGATTTGAGACCTCTTCCACCCCCCTCCACAGTTATTTTTTGGAACAGCCCAATATTGCACAATAACAAAACATTATGTTAGTGAGTCATGGTCAGAAATGGGCGGGGCCAACAACTAGTACTCTTCCAGAATTTCACCCTCACGACGCAGTGAGCACGACAGTCTGCTATTCATGTTGTCGGGAAAATAAGTAGAAGGGTTTGCTGACTTACCGTGCGTTTACTGTTACCTTCTACAACTACTACAATGAGTCGCACGCAGCGTTGAACCAACCTATCTAGGAAGTCGTTTGTCACATCCAGAGTTATGCCAACAATGGACGATTCCAAAACATAAACGTGAAGGGGGGAGTCGCTGCAGGTCCTTCTGAAGTTCTGTCCCAAACATCCCACTCCTTTAAGTCATAGTCAGACTAATATATAACGTTAACTAGATCACCTTCAACGACATCCATCTATATTTTCTTGTTAATGCCCAGCATGCCTCCGGGTCCTGGGTGTAAAGTGTGTTTACTAACCCATTTGTATTTTGAAGCCGTCCATGATGCATATTTTTGTCTCGCACCAGTGTTTTTCGACTTCTTGATAACATCTAATCGTTCTTCTAATTTACCTTAGTACATTGTTAACTTCCCCAAAGCAACATAACTTGAGAACCTTTTTTTAAAACTCTATCAAATGTTGTGTTCACCTGAAGCAGTCGTACCAAGTTTGGGTAGTTAGGGACAGTCCCTATCCCTACTAACACCTTAATCCCCTAACTGTTTGGTGGTTTGTCCCAAAGACGTTACTAGAGTTCCAGTGACACTTCTAGCTAAAAACATCTGCTTACCTCAGTCAGGTCAAGGAGCTTTCTAGGTAGAAGAAAGGGTGTACTAGTATTTGTTTCTTGAAGACGCTGCTGTGACCAGAGGGCGTTGTAGTGTGTCGTGTGCAATGTCTCTGGGTGATCTGTCCCCGCCCCTGACCTTTAACCTGCAGTGTGAGGTCAGAGGTCAGGACTTGGCGGGAACGTTTGGCCTGAGGATCGTTGTGATTTTTGGTATGTGGACAGCTCCTTGACATGGTGATAGAAATTCTTGATATAACCACTTAAAGGTCTACCATCTTCAACCTTAGCCGTAGTGAAGATAGTTTTGAGGACGAGAGGTCATGATAGGACAGACTTGACTTGTTCTGGTTTTATTTGGCAGTCAGACAAACAAAAACACAAACATAACGTTGTAGCAAATGTTTCAACCTAAAGCCACCTGTGTAGGGCATTAGATCAAGGAACACACTGCATATTTTATAATATGTAAAATAAATCATCTTCAAACAGCCCAGCAAACTGCTCTACATATAACATTACTATCACTACTCACATTGTCAGGACAATGTGTCTGTACAAATAAGTAATACCATTTTGCACACAAAAAAACCTTCCATATACCAGGTATATCCAACATTGCTGATCAACATTTGAAACGGTGAAACTTATGAAAAGCAGCACTTTTAAGAAGATATTATGTCATGATGGGAGATTCTACTAAAATCTACATAAAATTTTCTTGGAAAAGTTCTTCCCAGTTTTATACACATGGACGGAACCAGTCAGAACGGTATTTATAAAATTGTAAGAAAAATACAATACTTCATATCACTTGTAGCTCTGTACAGAGTTTATCAATGTGATGAAAGCTACAGATTATGTTTAAGGATACTTTGGTTCAACAGAGTGCACATGGAATGGAAGACTAGATCTTGTGTCACAGTCATATTGTCATATGCAATCAGACATGTCAGACTAGCTATCTGAAAAATGAAGTCACCTAAAAACCACCACAATGCTGGAAATTTATATACAATTCAAACAGCCATGAGTTAAACTCTCTACATTGAAACAGAACAGCTTTACGTATGGGAAACAGGTTAATTGTTTATAAACAGATAAACATGTGTTTGTCATATCAGTTTACACATTTTTTAGAACATAGCCCAGTCCTCTTTCCAAGTTAGTCTTGTAAACTAGCTTGGGTAAGACCTGTACAGAGTTGACTGCCTGCCAGCACTGATTGCATATTTATTGTTCAAGCTTAACAACAATTACTCAGAAGTCTAAGCCCACCAGAGTGCCTACCAGTAACCAACTCTGTACAGTTCTTAGCATTAAACTCTTGGAGTTTCTACACGTTTGTTTCGTGTTCGACTGAAGTCTGTCCGGGCATGAGGTCGTCGATGGACTCGCCAGCCATCAGCTTCTTCTCCATGGCAACCAGCAGCTTGACGCCGTCGATAACCTGTCGAAGCAAGAAAAATGGAAACGTTACTACCAGCTATATCACACAGGCTAGGTGAGTAGTGTTTACGCTGCACATGGATACAATAATGATACAATTATCACTATACTATTAGTAGAAACTTTTTAATTCAGATAGAGAGGTAGTTAGAGGGCCAAGGTCTTATGTCAAAATTAAAACATCCTGGAGAGGATTAACAGAGCAGACAGTGTAGAGAACTAATTTTCTTATTTATTTCACAGCTTACAAATTTAGTTTTCTTAAACTACCCAGGAACTTTCTACACAGTAAATTTTACCTGTTGTACAAGGGAGACCTCGGAGTGCCCGAGTCTGTCGGAGTTGGAGATGTCGAAGATTCCTCCCTCGGCTGCGGTGTCCACGCCTCCCGTTCCTCGCTTCTGCAGGCTCAGCTTCTCCAGAACCTCGTCAAACTTCTCATGGGTGCTCATTTTCGGCAGCTGAAACATACATGGCAACATTCTCCAGAACTTTCCTCTCAGGGCCGTTAGAATTTACCATCAGTCCTCAGCCGAGATTGAGATTAAGATTATAATTGCAATCAAATCAAGATGGTTAGAATTTGGGCTGCTAACATGAACAAAATTTCGTTAGATGTTGAAATGCAACATCTTAGCAAAATTTTTCCTTGCAAACAATTTTCTTACAAAAGTTTTGAACAGTTGCCAGCATAGTCATTTTACATATCTTCAGCCCAAATGTAAGCAGCCTTACCTTGACGTGTACCCCAGCCCTCAGCCCTGTGCCCAGGTTAGATGGACAGGTGAGGACGTAGCCAAGGTGTTCATTCCACATGTAAGCCTTCCCCATCTTCTTCATTTCCTTCTCTACCAGGTTGAGCCCGTTGCAGAACCGCTCAAAAACGCGTTTCATGTTGCCACCCTTCTCCATGGAGATCAGGCGGGTGTGATCCTCCTCGTTGATCCACACCAGGAAGGTCTTGTCGTTGTTGTGCCTGGGAAAATGTTACCCAGACACATGGTAAGTTTGGCAACTCCTTGCATTTTTCTCATTATACAGCAAAGTTTAATCTGAATACAAATAATTCGTTTTGCGCTTTCCACATTGATATTTGAAAGCTCATTCTATGGAAGAAATGAACAACAACTGCAAGTTTCTCCCAAAACTGTGATTGTTTCCTTTTGCAATAGAAACCCATGACATACCATATGAAATGCACCATATTTTTTTATCCCAGCCCCCTATCCCGCAAAAGAATGTAATGGTCTTATAAAATTACCAGATGCCACGAGCGTCAGGCCAGTCACGAGCCATCCCTGCGCAGGTCAGGAGCGGAGAGACAGGCTTGTCAAACAGGAAGTGGTCATCGATCAGCTGCTGCTGCTCCTCTTCTGTCATGCCCTTCAGCGGGTAGTACTTGCCCGAGAACTCTCCGCTGAGGTTTCCCAGTGCAGTGGACACGATGCGCTCTACTTCCCTGCGCTCGTGGCGGCTGCACAGCGGGGGGAGGCTGTAGCCACGGATGCTGCGACCTGTGCGCACGCGGGAGGACAAGACAAAGTCGGGATCCAAGTCGTCACCACCATTCAGCTTGGTGGCATCCAGGTCGGTCTTGTGCTTGTCGGTCTTCTTGAAGCCCTTATGGCGAGCTTCGATGACTGGGTCAAACAGGTCGGCAAAGACAGTGTAGGATTCCTCGTCTCCTGCCACTGCCCCCACTGTCATGATGAATGGGTGGCCTGGGGAAGGGGAAAATATAAAAAATGTCAAAAGGTGAAATCAACCACAGTAAATCTGTAACATTACTACCAAAATGATTCCATAATCATCATAATAACACTCATGATGAAGAGATTGTCTGAGTGGACAGGAAGAACAGCAGGAGATTCTCAGACAAATGTTACATGAACATGTAGTTGAAGGATTCAGACTTACCAGGGTTGTCTACACCTGTCTGGATACACAAGTCCAGTGTACATCCATTCTTAGTTTTCTTGTCTTTAAGAGTGTCGAAGATCTCCTTGGTGAGGCACTTGGCCATGTGGTTGTTGTGCTGGGAGAATTCGGGGAAGTTGTCACTCTGGAGCTCAATCTTCACCTCGGATGGTTCCACCAGGGGGCCACCTGGGGTGGCAATAAAAAAGGAAAAATGTGTCTCTTGTTCCAGTTTTAGCTACGTCTATTCCTCTTACCAATCGTAACAAGGACAGATGCCATGTTAAGTGTTCAGGTTAAATCTAGCACGGAAATTTTATAAATTTCTTAAATCAACACATTGAGTACATTTAACAAACAGTAGTAGTCATAGTCATGGTCAATATGTATTCTGACTGTTGATAATGTTGATAATTAGCTGTGTGCTGACCTGGGATGAGGTCGCTGATGTCCTTCTTCTTCTCCAGCCGTTTCTCCATCTCCACCAGTAACTTCACCCCGTCCACCACCTTCTGGACCAGCTCAACCTCCGAGCATCCTAACCTGTCTGTGTTGGAGATGTCAAAGATTCCGCCCTTTGCTGCGGTGTCGACACCACCAGTGCCACGCTTCTGTAACCTGAGCTGTTCCAGGATGTGACTGAAGTGCGGGTGTGTGCTGAGCTTTGGTAGTTTCACGTGCACGCCAGCTCGCAGCCCTGTTCCCAGGTTAGATGGACAGGTGAGGATGTAGCCCAGGTGTTCACTCCACATGAACTCCTTCCCCTGCTCTTTCACCAACTCTTCCACCTTCTTCAGCCCATCGCAGAACCGCTCAAACACCTTCTTCATGTTGCCGCCCTTCTCCATGGAGATGACCCGGGTGTGGTCCTCCTCGTTGATCCACACCAGGAAGTTCTTGGCGTCGTTGTGCCAGATCCCACGGGCGTCGGGCCAGTCACGGGCCATCTTTGCCGATGTGAGGAGAGGCGAAACTGGCTTGTCGAAGAGGAAGTGATCAGCGATCAGTTGCTCCTGTGTTTTGTCGTCCATCTCGTAGAGCGGGTAGTACTTGCCCTGAAGCTCACCCTCGAGCTTCCCCAGCGCTTCGCACAGAACCTTCTCAACACCCCGCCTCTCTGCTCGCGTGCACCACGGTGGGAGGGAGTACCCACGGATGCTGCGGCCAGTACGCACACGAGACGACAGCACGTACTTTGGGTCAAGGTCATCCCCTCCTTGCAGCTTGCTGGCATCAAGATCAGTTTTGTGCGTGTCCGTTTTTTTGTAGCCGTTGTGCCGACCTTCGATGACAGGGTCGAACAAGTCTGCAAACGTTGTGTAGCATTCCTCATCTCCTGCCACCAGCCCAACAGTCATGATGAAGGGGTGGCCTGGGGAGGGGAGAACAAGTATTTGGAACATTGAAAGATATTCCATTAAAGCCTTAGTTCACATTAATTTAGCCTTCTCCCTGCAACATGTGACAACCAATGCATTGTACTTATCAATATGACAATATTCTTAGAAAGGCTATTATACTAGAAATTCTACCAATAGTAAGGTAGTGTAATGTAGATTAATATCAGTATGTTTGTTGTTATATAATAGCAATTGTTGTGCTGTAAATTTTTATTTATTTCACAGCTGACATGGTACATACCTGGATTGTCCACACCAGTCTGGATGCACTCGTCAATTGTGTACCCGCTGTCAGTTTTCTTGTCCACCAGGCTGTGGTACAGCTGTGGAGTCATACACTTGGCCATCCAGTTGTTGTGTTTAGTCAGGTCAGGGTAGGCTTTGGGCCACACCGTGTACACATCCTTTCCTGAAAAGGCAAATGTTTGTTTGTTATCAATCAAGCCTTACTCTGACACTATAATTATGATAACAATGAGAAAAAAAGTAAACTTGAGACTGCACCATGGGAAATAAAGCAAGACAACCAGCCCACCTGCTTCCATGGCCTTCTCCATGTTAACCAGCAGCTCCACGCCATCCACCACCTTCTGCACAAGCTCCACCTCTGACATGCCAAGACGGTCGGCATTGGAGATGTCGAAGGTTCCTCCCGTGGCTGCCGTGTCGACGCCACCTGTCCCGCGCTTCTGCAGACGCAGCTTCTCCAGGAAGTGTTCGAAGTCCGGGTGTTGACTGACTTTCGGCAGCTGAGGTGACAAATGGAAGTGACATTTGCATCTATGCAGATAGCAACATAATAACATCTGGTTTTATAATTCAAAATTTAACAGAATGTGCAACACAAATGCCCGAAACATTGCTCTTCATATCGATGTTCAGTGTTATGGTATGTGCAACGATAGTTTCAGTACCACAGACAGCCTATACTTTGTCTAGTAGTCACTGTACTAGAAACTGCATTCCTGTACATGTGACAATATACCTGATAGTATGTTGATTTTGCTGATGTCGTCACCTTTTGGAATGTGCCACATGTAGCTATACCTGGCTCAACTGCTGCCCAAGATGTCACATATGTAAGGCTATTGATCATTGATTGATAGATAACTAACCTTGACATGAACCCCGGCCCTGAGGCCTGTCCCCAGGTTTGATGGACAGGTGAGGATGTAGCCCAGGTGAGGGTTCCACATGAACTCGTAGCCTTTAGACTTGATGACATCCTCCACCTTCTTCAGTCCTGTGCAGAAGCGCTGGAACACACGCTTCATGTTGCCGCCCTTCTCCATGGAGATGACCCGGGTGTGGTCCTCCTCGTTGATCCACACCAGGAAGGTCTTATCATTGTTGTGCCTGGGGAGCGAAGGAACGATGTGAGAAGAAGCTAGATCACTCTGTAATTATATGCCAAATATCATTACCATTATGATCCAAAGAACACCAGCGGATTGGTGAATTGGTGATCTTGAGGAAAATTTGGTGACCTCTTGTTTTTCCATAATGTCATTAGCAAACATGGTGTCAGTTATTTCCCTCAATCTTTTGGTCTGTTATCGATACACCCTAAGATTTCATGAGAGGAAACAGTTCTGAGTAGAGGAAAGTTGTTTCCTACCAGATGCCGCGAGCATCAGGCCAGTCACGAGCCATCCCAGCGCAGGTCAGGAGAGGAGAGACTGGCTTGTCAAACAGGAAGTGGTCATCGATCAGCTGCTGCTGCTCCTGTTCTGTCATACCCGTCAGTGGGTAGTACTTGCCCGAGAACTCTCCTGAACACAGAATCAGACACAATCATCTCAGATCTATATGTTTAAGTCACATGTTTGCTTTGACGCATTCTCTGATTTTTAAAGATCTTTGAATGGCTTCAGCCTTTTTTTCCTTATAACTTTTGTAGGATGTAAATAATGGTTTGCAAACATGTTTCATATTCACACATCAGCATTGATATCTACAAAGGACGTCATCCATAGGATAATATCTCCGTAGCCTACCATCAAACGTGGCGAGGGCCTCCTTCAGAATCTTCTCCACATCCCTCCGTTCAGCACGTGTGCACCATGGTGGCAGGGCCAGCCCGCGGATGCTTCTGCCAGTGCGCACACGTGAGGACAGAACGTAGTTGGGGTCCAAATTGTCGCCTCCGCGCAGGTTCTCGTGGGTGAGGTCCGTCTTGTGCTTTGCATCTTTCCCGTACCCACCATGACGGCCACTGATTATCGGGTCGAACATGTCGGCGAAGGTTTTGTAGCTTTCCTCGTCTCCTGCCACTGCCCCAACTGTCATGATGAAGGGGTGGCCTGCAGGGGGAATGAAAGCATAATAGATTATTATACTATTATAACTGGGTTAACACATGTACAAGACACATCCCAGTTTGTAGACATCCACATCAAAAGCTCCACATCTACGCCCAATCTTAACTTCTGAATCAGCTGACCCTAAAGTGCCTGACATAAAGTTGAAACATGAGTCCTGACCTGGGTTGTCGACACCTGTCTGGATACATCCGTCCAGCGTGTAGCCAGACTGAGTCTTCTTGTCCTTCAGCCTCTTGTAGATTTCTCCAGTCAGACATCGTGACATCCAGTTGTTGTGGACTGTCAGATCAGGGTAGTTTGGGATGCTAAGGGAGAGGGTCACAAGTGAAAATCATGTAAGTCTACAGGCAATAGGTAACTTATTGCACCAGCGATAGGAGGAAATGGTTTGCGGACTTTTTAACCTGTTTTATTTTGCTTTATTTTTGTCTTTCAAATGTTCCTGATGTACATAATTTTTTTCTTTTATTACAATTTTTATTAATTTCATCAATTAACATGCCAAATTTAATATGTTTACATTGGCATTTTCATAATATATTCCTATTGCAATTTCAATTTTTATCTTTTAGTTCCTTTTGTCTTATAACATGATTGGTCTGTTTGTCATCAATTATTTCATTTTAGGGAGGATCTTGAGGACTTCACATAATATTGTTTTGCTGTCATTTTTGTATTTTTGCATTATTCTGTGGGGTACTGGAAAATGAAGTCAGAGTGAATGAAATGAATTTGTGCTTATATGATGTCCATGCAGTAAAAAGCTTATTGCAGCATGCAGATCATTGTTTATACAGAGGAGTGTTTATTTTTGATACTAGTTAAAGATGGATTGCACATGACCCAGTATACATGTTTGCATGCAAGAGAGGAATATTTCTGTGACATTATAAAGGCATGCAGAAAGGTTTAACTGAAGGACCATCTTTCCATAAGGTCTACCTGGTCTCCTCATGGTGTTCATGTAGTGCAGGTGGTTGTAAACTGCTGTGTGAGACAAAACAACACAATGCCGCTGTTGGCAGTTGGGCTGACTTTGTTGATAAGTCAGCTCAATCTTGATATCATTGATGTTAGCTTTATGTTCAAAATTTTCTAAAATCCTCTGAATGTCATGCAGCTTCCATGTTTTATGTTTTACGTTTAGGTTTTAACTAAACAACACAATTTAAAATATTACTAAGAACTAGGTGACAGAAGATGACAACATGATGACCCATGCATGAGAAGGTAGAGAGTGACTATGATTGCACATGCCCGCTTGTCAAGAAAAGTACCAGTGTATAAAGATGGTTACCAAGACCTGGAGTAAACTGGCATGCAATGTGGGAAGTTTCTACTGCACAGTAGGAGAATATAATCCACAGACTTGTGATGCGCTACCGGTATACCTTGTAAGGCTACAGCTGCAGTTTCATTTGTTGGTTCTCAGACAAAAAAAAATTCTAAACTGGAAGATCAAACAGAGTCTATGGGGATTAAACTCTGTACTTTGGTACATATTTTTTTCAGATTCAGCCCCCTGGCCCCCTGTTTAATCTTACAAACATGACGTTTTATTTTATTTATGACTGTCTAAGAACCAAGGAAATGAACTGGTGCAGCCTGAAAGTCAGACCATGAACATGCACATGACCCATGATGATGCATGCAAAGGAGGAGCCTTTATTGCACAATCGGAGTGACTGTTTAAACAGGAGAATGTTGATGTAAAGTTGATCATGATTGTCACATGACCCTGAGCAGGTTCGTGTATGTGACACAGTAGAGGCATGCAGAAGTTCAAGAGATGGCAGCAAAATTCAACTTTTGGACCTTTCAACCCCAAATCCTACTTACTTTGGGTTTTATATTTTGTTTCAGGTAGGACTGGTGCAAATGAGGGGAGATTTTGACCCAAGCTAATAACAGTCCTACACAGCTTAATTTTACTGTCCTCATACACATTCCATTCAATTGTAAGTAGGGTTTGGGGTTCAAAGGTAAAAGGCTGGATTTTGTTGTCTCCCCCTTTGACTGAAAGACTGTCGTTCCACATGTGACTACCTGGTCTCCTCCTGCTGTTCATGTTGATCACCGGGTTTTGAACTGCTGTGTGAGATAAAATAACATGGCTGTTTTATACACTCATAATATGTCACCATAGTAATATTACAATTAGTCAAGTATTGGATTGATGGTTTCTAACCCCACTTCAGTACACATGGATTTGTATCAGGTGTTCAGGTGCTCATCTGAATCATTTATGCCCAAGCAGGAGTGTGTCTATTTATTGGACTGATGCAGCAGCTCTACTTGATTCTAAACAAAGACACTAGACCGGTTCTACACAAAGACACAGTCTGAATCAGAGTTCAAAATACCCACATGCAATGTAAAATTTCCTCCAAAAACAAATTAACAGCTTGAAAACCAGCTAGCCAAAAGAACTAGCTCACATTTGGCAGAAAACAGAAGGTAGTATTTGGAGCCCTGTGTATGCCTCAATGTTGAGATGTTGATTAAATACCATGGAGACTACAGCAACAAGCCAAGTTCCGCCACTTTGATTTGGCAGGAAGCAATGCTGCCTGACCTACAGGTCAGTAGCCCTAAGCCAGGTAGCCGAGCACCCACCCTCAGGTGAGACACATCCACAGGTGAGAAATGGAGGCAGCCTGTGGTGGTACCACACACACAAACAGAAGAGACATAGAGGTAGCCTGTGGTGGTACCACACACCCACATGTGTGAAATGAAGGTAGTCTGTTGTGGTACCACACACAGGTGACAAATGGAGAGACATGGTAGCCAGTAGTGGAACCACGCACCCACAGGAGAGGCGCTGCTGTAGCCAGTGTTGATACCACATGACCGCAGGAAAGACATGGACTTCAGCACCACTTACACATGTCAAATAACCTTCCAGTGTACCCAGAGCTGACCTAGAAACATTTTACCAAATGCTGCATAAGAGAACTGCCAAAGTTTTATTACCTAGCAATGTCTGTGTAGGAACAAGGCTGGTCAGAATTGTCACTCCTGAAAGCTGTTTTGTTCATTCATTCAACAACTTGCGCACAAGTATCAGATCTGTATTTGATGGAGCAATTTCTGAACACCTGATATGAGGGAAGATTATATCAAGGAGGTTAAATAGGATATTTAACCGTAATGTTTCAACTTCCAAAAAATTTATGTTTACTGATACAATGTATTGCCTATCAGCAAACCAATTACTGGCATCTCTACCATGAATAGGTGTGTATTGTTGTTTCAAAGTGTGTATTCAAATTTTACAAGTGTGTATTCTGAATAAAGAGTTTTAGAAGTGCAGCATCATATTTCACAAGTATGCATTCCAAATTAATAATGCATTCCCAAGTATGCATTTCAAATTCACAAGTGTATATTTCAGTGTTAGCAAGTGTGTATTTCTATTCTCAAGTGTGTATTCAGATTTCTCGAGTGTGTATTCCTCCTTTCAGATGTGTGTATTTGCATTTCAGCAGTGTGTATTTGCAATTTAGACATGTGTATTTGGATATCAAATCACAACCACGCTTGAAAACGATTTGTAAATTAGTTTTTGGTCCCAAAACAAAAAGGTATAAAATCTCAATATAGCTTTGTTGTATTTATTATTACAGACTATTAACTCACTGAAATGGTAAGATTATTATCAACTTTTCTATGCTAGACAGTCAGTTGTCAGGTGTGTTACATATCCACCTGTGCTATACTAGACAGGTGTGTTATAGAGCCACCTGTGTTAGACTGGACAGGTGTGTTATAGTACCACCTGTTCAAGACTAATCAGGTATGCTACAGGACCTGGTGTACTTTGCTACTCTTGACAGGTAGGTTTGATGACTACCTGTGATAGTAGGTATGTTACGTTGCCAGACTTTTTTTTATTTATCTATAACAAACAAACAGTCCCTATGTTACTGTACACAGGCGCCTGACTTCACAGGTATGTTACCTGTTACATGGGGTACACCTGTAGTGAAGGGCTGGTATGTTACATAAATCATTAGTCACGCACAGAATGATACATTGGTTTCAAAGACATCTGTTGGCATCCAATCAAAAAACCAAAAGATATAAAAGCTTCCAAATCCTGTTCATAGTTTTACCAGACATGGCGGCCTGTTTAGAAGACACAATTTTTAATCTCTGTGAATTAAAGATGATCCAGGGATGCATCAGTTTAGATAAGTTGGTTTGTTGTATGTTTGGGGCTACCATAGCACCCACTCATTTGTCACTAACGCGGGTGCACAGTGATCTGGGTCTCCACACACCAAGTCTTTTCAAGACCTGACGAAGGGCAAACACCTGAGAACCTGATAGCTGGCAACCCGCGGGCTTCCACATAACAGAAGTAAACACCTTTTCAAAACCCATTGTGCGGAAAACAAAGGCCGTCCGCCCTGGATAAATACGCCGCAAATACGATGTCCGAAAATTGATAAAAGGCAGTCTGGCTGGTCGGTATTGAATTACGTGCATTCACTCACATGCAGATACCGGTTTATCGACACATGGGACAGGGGGTGGGGAAGGGGTGGTCAACACTGACGCTAGTTTTTAGGGGGTAGGGTGTGGGGATAAAACATGCAGAATACAGACGGTAGCTATACCTACATGCTGTTGTGAAATTGGCCCCTCAACACACAGGAGCAGCACCTCAAAATACATGCAGTCTGCACGGCATATCGGTACTTACGTTTGATGCGGAACTGCAAAGAGAAACGAAAGACACAGATTACAATCATGGTTATCCATCAGAGAAAACTAGACAGGTGAGCAGGTACCAATTAAATCAGCATGGTAAGCATTTGTTGTATTTCGTCATCAGCTCAGAACGATCTCGTGCAAGTGCAAGAAAATATATGACAGACTTGAAGGTCAAGCCGGCATTCTAACATTTGTCCATAATAAGAACGCATTACACACCTGACGTCGCTGCCGTGTGAGCCTTGGAGTTTCCACACCCCATGGCTGCGGTTAAAAATATCAAAACTTTTGCAGAAAAGGTGAAAACGTGGGCGTACGGAACTGTAGTCCCTGCCAAGGACGCACCCTACTGCTCGATCCCACTGGGGGGTAAGGCTTCCCTGTCCCCATGGCAACACGGATCACGTGGGGGCAGAGCCGCGCGCTCATTGGTCAAAAGTACGTGTCCTGGGAATGGCCACCTGTTGCATGCTGGGAGGTCCCATAGGCACAGTCACTTTGAATGAGTACTACTACTAGCTACCAGAAAGGCTAAAAAAAATCGGAATAAATGTATCTTGTGAGACACAGAAGAGACAGGGGAAAATTGGGATTTAGGACGAAGTTATAATCACATTTTTTACCGTTTTGCTATCTATGTTTGAATGCATATGAAAGTTCATATCTGAAGAAAATGCAGGCAGTCGATGGGTTGCTACAATCATGGAGGTATAAAAATATACCTCCATGCTACAATATACTAAGTACAATGTAACGTTAGAAGATGGCAGTTTTTCTCTCATCTTGCAGATGCTTTGTAAGTAATTTAAAAAAAAAGACATAACATTGTCACACAATTATCAAATACCATAAAATTTCTTTATTGTGAGTGAAAATGCATCAGGTTACCATGCCACAATTTGTGATTGCTCAAATATATTTTACTACAAAAACAGATTAAGCTATGATACATTTTGACCCTAATCTTAAGTCACATAGGAGGAACATGTTAATAAACACTGGACTATAATGTCATAAATGTTTCAAGACAGTTGATCCTAGGATTCTATCCTTTACCACTAAAAAGCCTGGCATTACACCACCCCCTCTCTTACTAACCCTATGACTGAAATACTGCAGACATGGAAACAAAGATGGAAAAGACAGATTTCCGGCAACTACAGCTTTCCATCTACAAAGTACATTTCAAACATAAGGGTGCATAACCCATAAACAGTCTTTGGTGTAACTGGCAATGTCCAAAACTGCCTGGGAAGTTTCTAAGTTAGTGATACACTCATTAGTGTACAGTCCTTACACTGTTACAGCATTGAGATGTATTAACGTTATAACAATAATTACAACCTGTATCCTGCACTGGGTTGAAAAAGTGTCGACTCCAGATGAAGAAGATAACACATCATACACCAAGATGTTTCACAGATCTTTAGACATCATAAAGACATTTCCTTTCATTTTCTTGTTTGAAAGGTCCATGTTAATATCCAGACTAGGAGATGTGTGATGAAGAGTCCAGATGATAAATGGTTGTACAAAAATGTATTCCGGTTACCCCGGTATCATCTGGTTGTATGATGTTGTTGCCATGGTTGTTACCCAGTTGTTAGACTGAAGACAGCACTGCTACAGCTACTCTTTACTTCACCTGAAACATCACAGAACATGCACATTTTTCATGGCATAAAAAACTTTGTCTTTCCAAATTAAAAGTCATTAGAGTTCAGACATAACACAACTATTAGCTCTATTGGTCTATCATGCTGATTTTCATAAAGATTGAAATACAAGCTTGGGTTACAGACACTCTGCTCTTGTAAACCAGGTTCACTCACTCAAACCAGGTTGGTACCATAGCTTTACCAAGTTCTTAAGTCATCAAGTGCAACTCAGTCTCTTTGCTACAACACTGGCTTCAGGGGGGCAGAAGTTGACTGTGGTTGTGCAAAAGGTTTGTACCAAACGTTAGCAGATTCCATGCAGACTACCCAATAAAAACCCACCGTGTATTTGTCCCATTTCTTCTCAGGGTCGTAGGGTTCCCAGCGGCTGGCAGGGAAGATGTGCTTGTTGCGCTCGTACCAGCTCCGCAGGACGACCTTACCTGCATGGGACTGTTTCAACAAGAACAGAGAATCGGCCACACTACCAGGGTATTCCCAATCACACTCTAAATACTACACCTCAACAGAGGATAAAAGATGACAGATCACAAGCCAACCATCCATTTTTGTAGTACCTAGGATATTTGATTGTCTTTTAAATATGATACTAGTAGTCACCCTGACTACCAGTCTACTGTCTGGCAATCTCCAGGATAACAGCCCTAATGACTGTTGCCATGGCAACCAGCTCACCTCGTCTTTCTCCACGGTCGCGTCGTTCACAAGCCGGACATCGTCATGTACATCAAAACTGAAGAGCGGACCTGGCAACAAGGTGGTCACATGATAAGATACTTCTCCCTCATTGGTTGAACAGAGATGTAATACAGTATATACATGTACTAGTAATAACAAAAGAGACAGATTTTCTAAAACAATGAGGTTGAGGGTGATAATAATGATTTACTACAATGTACTTATGTATGACATCCATAGTATTCAAAGTTGATAAATAAATGTAAAACTCACCACTCTTGCCTCTTGCCTTGGTGACAATGAAGTCATAGAATGTGTAGTGCTGCAGAATGATAAAACAACACAGGGTCAAAGCAGCTCAACATAGTCAGATTTTGGTCATAGTTTCATTTGTTAGAAAACACAAGATGGCGACAAACTGTGGTGACAGTGATTTCTGCTCAGTAATAAGTGATGAGGAGAACAAACAAAACTGTCGAGGACTAATCAAGACACAGGAAAGTCGTCCTGTTAGTTTGATGGTCCTCAGACATAAGCCATCACTTACATGTGGGATGATTAAGTCCTCCTTGATGTACATCAACTGTTCTACTGTAGCCGACCTGATGTCAAAGAGCAAACAAAAATTACCACAAAAATGTAATTTCCTGACTCCATCATGCTTCTACCTATGCCTGCAGGGAGGGGCTTCATAGCACCCTGGAAAGGGAGAGAAACTACTATTTTGCCTATAATACCTCCAATACCTACTGCCATCATCTTGTCATTAAAAAACACAAGGTACTTTTGTTTGAACCTCTTATCCAACTGTATGCACAAGGCCTCTCATAGCAGTTTTTGCGACAGCCCTCTTGCCTGACACCAAGCTTGAGATTTCTTTCTAATGAAGTTTTTGCATGACAGATCTCACAGTTTTTACCCAAGGTCTCTTACCTGAGTTCTGTGAAGTCTTTCCTGAGCATCTCCAGGCACCTCTGCAGGAACTGCTGGATGCTGTTTCCCTTCTTCATCTGGAAAACAAAATCACAAATGTCTGAGGAAAACAACCTACAGCAATTCTATGTCAAAACTGGACCACGAGAGAGATAAAAGCTGTAGTGTAGACACAGAGTGACAGTCAGAAGGAAACTACCTGAGGTATATTTTGATCTGTACTCTTGCACTATAAGAAGTACCAAACCAAATATGAATATGAGAAGTACTTAATACTAGTATTACTACCACTCAAACCAGGTACATGTGACATTACCTTAACCGTCCGTCTGTGCCCCGATCCGTCCCAGTAGCTGAACGTGATCTCAATTTCCTCATCTACAGGAGGGAAAAGACAGGTGTTTACTCATGTCACTTATTTCTCAGCCTGATCTTTTATTTTACAGCATGAGAAAGTATCTATCTGTATAACACACAAATGTACTACTGTCAGAAGTTACCATGTTTGAAAACATCCGAGTGGATTAGGCAGTTTGTAAATTATGGCATTCACTGAGGTGAGGGTGCATTCCAGTCAACTGTTATCAACAATTTCAGTCTTACTTTTTATTTTCTCCTGTTTTCCCTCCCATTCTTGACGTAACTCTTCACGCAGTTTGTTTTCTTCTTCCTGCACAGTGGGGGGGGGGGGTGGTGTGGTGAAACATGGCTCAAATCATGACTTTAAGCAAACTTTAAGGAATAAACTTAATCCTGCTTAGACGTATTGATATATCTTTGCACTTGTTGTGAAAAGAAGAAAAATGACAACAAACTCAGATATCAGATGGGGGGGGGGTTGGAGGTGGAAGAAACCTATTGGGGTAACTGGGTTGTACTTCTGTTTGACACAAGATTGATACATGTACAGCCTTACTGAAAAATGAATATCTAAATGTTACTTTTGTTAGATCAATTAAAACATTCATGCAAAGAAATCTGTGAAAAGACCAACAGCAAGAAGACTTAAATAAAAAGATTGGGCAGTTGAAAGTACAGAATACATGTAGGACTGAGCTGGACTGATACTAATTTAATATCAGCTGGGCTGGGACACCATCATTCCTGGAGACCCTCACCTCCCTGTCCCTGTCTGGCAGGAAGCTGGTGTCCACATCTGGGTTCTTCCCAAGTTTCTTCTTCTTGAAGACTTGAAGAGAAAACAGAGATCTTGTTAAGAACACTAACATGTCAAGGCACATGTCATTTTTTCTGTCACTAGGATCAGAGCCTGAAGATTAAATCAGTGCCTTTATGTCAAAATTAAATTCCATCACAATTCCATCATCATTGGCAATACAAGAGTTAAAGACAATGACATAAATGAGGAGTTTGCAGTAAATTACAGTTGGCTGTACATGACTGGTACCTGGCTGTATTTCCTCCTCTTCCTCCTCCTCCTCCTCTTCATCCTCATCTTCATCTCCATCCACAGCGAACGACAGCTGAGACAGTTGGGCCTGTTTCCGAGCTCTCTCCCTTCTTTCTTTCTTTTCTTCTTTTCTTTCCAACCTATAGACAAGAGAAGCACAAACAAGTTGACGAGAGGGTAATATGACTGTCTCCCCTAATACCTGTAATGTCTGACTTTATTTCACCCTACTTGGGAAATGCACACCAAGAAAATTTCATATACAGAAACAACATGATTAATGTGATTGTGAACAAAGTTGAACTGCGATTTCCAACACAAATTTTTGACTGTCCAACTCCAGTCTTTGTCAAGGACTGACTTCTGTGATGTCATGTCATGCATCTACATACATTCAAGTAATGAGAGACTATATAATGAGAGACTCCATGCATATGATGAGATATGACAAAAGTGGTGGATTAATCATTCCTTGACAAAGACAAAGTAAAGCAGTCAATTGCAACCATTTGGGGAAGTGCATTTTTGTGATGGAAATTGCAGTATACCAACACAAATGAACTTTCTTCAAGGTACGATTATTGAGTTATTCCTATCTAAAGAGAAGAGACATGAAAGATGTACTAGTAATTGAACTGCTCAAAGCTTTTTCCCCTGATGGCTTCTAGAGCTACTTTTTTTAAACACAACTAGTATTTCTTCATGAAGATGAAGAAGAGCATTTTATAGGTAAGAGTAGGAAATAAAATATATTAAGCCATATATAAAGAACAGTGAATGTACTCACACTTCTGCTCTTTTCTTGGCCAGGTCTTTTTCTCTCTCCTTCACCAAAATTTCTTGCTTTGTTTTCATTTCATTCAGGGTCACAAGACCTGAAACAGGAGAAAACATATGGTAGCAACTAACATCTATCTGTGGGTAAAACTACTAGTATATCCCACTGCTGCTAGGTGCAGGAAGTAGAACCAGTCAGTATTGCCCTAAAGAAGGTAGCAGAAAGTCTACTGCAGGTGAATATCTCAAGGTTGAGTGCACAAAGTACTATTCATACAATCCAGATGTGCAAATTCTTACCGACAGTCTCAGACTTGAGCTGCGCCTCCACAGCGTCATAGTGTGAGGAGAACTTGGCATTGATGTGTGTAACCTTGGCAACACGCTGGGCTTCACTCTGTGTGGGGGGAACCAACAAGTCAGCCTAAAAACTTGGGCTGATCCTCGGCTACAACATGTAACTTACTATTACAAGTAAATGTAGTTGATTACTAGTTGATTACTGCATAGACCAACTATTCTACTCTGAATTCACAGAATTTCCTGTGCCCAGACAGACATGCCAAAGCCTAAGACTTCTCTGTTCTTCTTATATATCATAAGTTACCCCCTCGCCCTTCAGTGGGGGGGAGGGGGGGCGTGGAGTCAGAATAGGATGAGCACCAGACTAGCCGTTGAAGCAAGGGCATTCTATACATATAATATTATATTATATTCGCCGTGGCTATATACACTCCCGGTGTGTATATAAAAGACAAATAGATTTTATATACACTCCGAAATACTAGCCTCCTTGGTAGGCCCAAAACTTGGGTTTTTGTGAGTGTTTGAGGATTCAGGGGCACCAAGTTTAAACCTCGGTCTTCAAGTTTATCTTATTGGATGATGAAAATCAGAAAACAACACGGAAATCTCCACCGAAGTTCGGTCGAGCGGACCGCCCGCCCCGCTTGCGCGGGGCCCGGGACCCTCCGCTCCCGGCGGCGGCGGCGAGACCGGTCGCGCGCCCCTGGCGTCCTCGCTACCTGGTTGATCCTGCCAGTAGTCATAGGCTTGTCTCAAAGTTTAAGCCATGCACGTGCAAGTTTAAACTGTCTCAGTGAAACTGCGAATGGCTCATTAAATCAGTTATGGTTCCTTTGATCGTCACATTCTACATGGATAACTGTGGTAATTCTAGAGCTAATACATGCGGAAGAAGCGCCGACCTCACGGTCTGGCGTGCATTTATCAGACCAAGACCAACCCGGGGTTCGCCCCGGTCC